ATATCATGTGTGCCGATCATGATGATAGCCGAGTCGTTACAGGAGTTCCTGATCCAGGGCTTCACCAACAGGTCTTTAGCCGTCTGGCCATCTCTGCACATCCCCCAAGATGAGGGGTAACCTGTAACCAAATCACCCCATACGTTTATTCAACAGTTGGCTTGAACAAAAATCCAAATTGATGGGTCTGTCTGTGCTATGGCATACATAACACTATGTACTCACTAACATTACAACGTTTTCCCGTTTGTTTGGAAGACAGATTTTAAAAAATCTCGAAAGAGCAGTAGAATTAAAGTCATGTTCAAAAACTACTTGATACTTAGTTTTACTATACCTTTAAACTGTCTATCTCTCTTAAAGAGATTTACGCATTATTTATAATATCATATGTTTGGAATGTATTTATTAGCTGCAGTTGTAGGCCTAATAAATTAAATAAATATCATAAATATGAACAAATGCTTTACTGTGTTCAGTCAGAATCACGAATTCTGAATTATAATGTAAAGTATACGGTGCACATACAAATTCTTCGCTTTGTTAGTCATAAATATAAATATAAGATATTAAACACGTACCCTCATAGTGTGGTATTAAATCTGCGTGTTGAAGACTAAACCTCAGCATGATAGAGTCGCCCATCAGATCTGCCCCTGAAAACTTAGGAATAGCCATGGTCAAGTATAATAATCAAGCAGAAAATTGAACAACACAAAATAAACCTAAAAAGTACAAGTATTCAGTAAGCAACAAATTCAAAGTAATTTACTAAATTGTAAAATTAAATTCGCAACAATAAAAAGCACAACTACGAAATAATGAAAATATGCTACAGGTACTAAATCTTTATCAAATTAAATACGAGAGCTTAAGATAAGAGCACGAAAACACAGTCAAACTCTGTTAGCTGTGAACAGAACAGAGGAATCAACTGAACTGAACTGACTTCCCTGCAGCCATGTCAGCCCTTAAGTACGACGCAGGAGGTGGTGGGGGTAGGGAGGTAACGTCACCCTTAGTGACGTAATCTTATGATCAACCAATGAGAGTGATCTCCCCCTCTACAATAGCTATAGCCCTGCGCGTGCGTACTAAATCTTTCTTCTAATTAATGTAACATGCACATTGTGCATTGTAAATTAAAATTATTCTAATTTATTTATTAGCGAAACTCCCTTTACACAGAAAAGATAAATTAAATGAAGACTTTTAAGAATAAATTTTAATTAAACAATTTAAATTTAGAGAAATTAGGAAAAAAATGACAAACTATTCTTCTAAAGTCACAAGAAACTATAGAAATAAAAAATGTTACTAATTACAATTACTGGAAATAACATTGTTACAAGACCTATCTACAGTTTATACATTTTAAAACATACGCTATATTAGAAAAGCAAATTAGAAAAGATATCAATACACAATATGTTTAAATTACCATAATTATCACGATTTTTTCGTTTTCTTTGAAATATAAATATCAAAATAAATATAAGAGAAATATAACAATATATTATGGAAAGACAACATTTCCTAATATAAAATATCGCCTCATTTTGTCAAACCAATGAGGATTGTTGATGGGAACCGTTTGCGTCAGTGTAGAGGATTTTTCAACTCTACCATGATTTACCCATTTGGCCATTTAGTGTTAGTTGGTCCATTTTATCCGAGTGATTTAGATACACATGATTAGTTTGTTAGAGTTTGTTGTTAAATATAATAAGTAAGTCAGTAAGTCAAGGTTTAATAATATGAATGTATTTTGGAATAAAGGATTTATGACACATTTAAACTATAAACTGGGATTTAACAAAGACTCTAGAGGACATGATTTAATCTTTTGTAATTATGTTGTAAATATTTTCTTTTTAATGATACTGGGTGTTGCAATTCTTGTCCAGTCAACTATGTGTGGAATATAGTTTAAATAGGCTAATAATAATTGTTTACTACTTAAACGGACTTAGATTAATCGCTATAGTTGTTTTGTTGATATACGTTTTTATTTACAGTGTTACAATGTGCGGCAATATGTGCGTCAATACCTAATTAATTGTAATAATTGCTATTCGGCAGTACTAGGCCCTACATATCTTTGAATCATACAAAATTATTAATTATCCTACAAAACATTATTGTTTTAGCTTTCATGTAGAACTAGCATTTTGGAAACCACTCCACTACATAAATGTTGATGATAACATAATTATTGTAAAATATGAGTATTTCGCTGTAAAATTATGTCAACTAACATGTAGTTAAGATTGGACTTTTTTGTTTTTTAATAATGACAATGCTTATACCGAATGGCTAATGGCTATAATAAAATGATTTTTTATTTATGTTTGAAGTACTCCCGCTGTTTTAATGTTTGTTGACAATAGTAAAAGCGTGTATACTAAAATAATAATTGTTTGTTCTTTTATGGTGGAGCCATATTTATTTGATCCTTAAAATGTTGTAATTTATTTAGAACAATAAAACAGTGATTTAACACAAAAACATAGTTTTGAACCATTATTGATACTGTACTCTCGATGTGATGTGTGTTTTCAATAACAATGTTATGACACATAGCATTTGAATACGCTCTCACATACCACCTCGCGCTGGGATGTTGGAACTCGCTATGACGACTACCCATGTAGCACAGATGGTTGGGCCAACGTTGGCCAACTGTGGGACAGTTGGTCGATGGTTGGTTGGAGCTTCTACAACCAACCAACCGTTGTCCAACTGTATATCTCGTAGTTGGGCCAACCAATATTTACAACTGTGGACCAACATTGGTTCATTGTTAATGAAATACATTAATATGCATTGCTGGGTATCATACATCAAGCCAACCGTTGTCCAACCGTTTTTCACTCCGTTGGACCAACAAAAGATACTTTTGTTGGACCAACAATGGTCCATAGTTGAGTTTACACGACTTTCATTCTCTGGGTCTAGCTTTCACAACATAATTATAATAAAATATCTGGTTTTACAATACCTTTATCAGTTCCAAAAGTTTCCAAAAGTTTTTGGAACTGATAAAGGTATTGTAAAACCAGATATTTTATATATTACAGTTCCGGCGCTACAACAATGAATTTTAATAATTTTAATAATGCAAATATTTTTTAAATTAATATTCTTTAACTTATTTGCAACAATTTAAGGGGAAAGAGTAATTAATCATATAACAGGCAATTATAATAGCATTAACAATCTAACGGTAATTAATTAATCATTCAAATACCAGAGTATCCTCTCTAACTCCAAAAAAAAAACTACTTATGATGCCTTAACAGATTAACAGAATCATATTATACTGTGTAGTATCAAAAATGTTTGAAGTATTGCGACCATTGCAACTGTCGGCTACTCTTTCACCACTTGAAAACTCTCTATATCAGCAATCACAGATAGCTCAGTGGTAAAGTAAGAGGCTCATAAGTCGAAGGACCCGGGTTCGAGACCCGTCTGGGCCAAAAAAATTTTGTTCTAGTTTTTTTTTTTCAAAATTTGTTTTTATGAACTATTTAATCAATTTACTCAACTAATAATTATGCTTTTCGTACTAAATCTTTATTATTTTGTGTGAAATAAAACGGTTGGACAATGGTTGGCTGGAAAACAGTTTAAAGAGGTGACATTTCTACCGTTGGCCAACTGTGTGGCTCCACAATTTACCAACGTTGGCCCAACCATCTGTGCTACATGGGTAAAGAATGTTTCCCACATTTTCAGGCGCATAACTTAGTGAATTTGAGGTATTGTGTCGTAACACGTGTTTGTTAACATTTGTTGATTTGGTCAATACTTTAGGTTAACTTTTTTCGACTTAAAATCATTAAGTAAAACCCAACTTTATAATATAATTCAAAAATAAGTTACTAATAAAATATATAGAACTATTTCTTACTTTCAGAAAACTGCTGCTAATACGTACCAACATGTTCGAATCTTGGTATTTGGGATACGTGTATTTTGAATACGCCATTTTTTTGAATACGACAATACGCGTATTGTAAATGGGATACGCGTCGATTGGTGAAATTTTGAAGTCAATAATGCGTGACCAACATTCAAGAAGCGTTGCTGCTGCAAAACAAACTTCGAAGCAAACTATAGCAAAATTAATACTGTAATGAGTTATTTGTTACTAGCCAACTGCTTATTAGCCGTGGCTATTTACTTATTAAAATCCTCATGATCGAGGAAAGTTAAACCTGTCATGAATACTGCAGGACTTACTTTAGGTAGTACTTTTTTAGTTAGTCCACCCCAGTGCCGTCATCTCGCTCTTCATAAACTTATCCTAGGCGATAAGTAGGCATATGGAAAGTAAAAATGTGATTACCAATATAATCCTGGTTTATAAATAATAAAATTTAATTGTTTATACTGTACTCTGAAATGGAAATGTGTTTTCAATACATGCCTCCTTTGGTGGCACATTTGAAAACCGTTAAATGTTCTACACCCTCCCATACCTCACGCAGGGATGTTGACCTTGCTAAATAGTAACGTTAAGAATGTTCACTTAAGAATATGGGCACATTTGCTAGAAAATTCTTGGTAAAAATTAAAACAGTATAACAAATAATATGCTGGAATGCGTGTTTTGTTAACATTTTTTATCTGGTCAATACGGTACATCAAGATCATCTTTGAGTTTCAAAATAATTAGTAATACTACAACTCAAATGCAATTTAGTTATCAAAGTTAAGATACATAGATACATAAGAGAACACACACGGTTATAAGCTGGTTTTTACAATTTTAGAAAACCACTATCTGTACACTCATTATAGTATCACTACAAAGTCCACGTTTCGATTACGATTTGGTATTTGATGTTTTTTCTATTCTCGCGTCGCGTCGTCTGTTGACTGTTGTTTTTTAATGTCAATGTCATTGTCAGTATGTCAGTGAATGTGTTGTCTTTGACTTTCCTCCAGTCTTTTGTTGTGTTATTATTTTTATGTGATGGGTACTGATTCTAAAAAGTAAAATAAAGATTAAAATGAGGGCTCAAAACACACATTAGCATAAATCATATATTTTTTAAGTCTCATATGTCTTAACGCAATGAATAATTTGTTTTCCCTCAAAATAACACATTCATGCTATTCTTAAGTTATAAGAGGTTATGTATATGTGAAGCCGTAGACTAGGACTAGACTAAACTAAGTAGATCACTTTCATTCACAGGTAAAGCTATAATTACAATAGTTTATTATAAAATGGGAGTAATAAGCTTTAAAATAGCGTTAGCCGGATCATAACTTAAGCCTATATCATAAGAAGTGTTACATTTTTTATACTCTACTCTGACAAACAGCATTGCAGGCATTTGCAAATAATTATATTGGAATACCATTACAAGGGGTTGTGTTTGCATTTAACAATGCAAAGCATAATACAATGCATAATTTATTAACAAGGCTTAACATAGTACGGTGCAGATTATAATTTTGATTTGATAGATTACTACATAAGTTATAACATAACCTATACTTAATGTCAATAACCCAACTGCAGGAATATATTAGAATATATTAAGAATATATTAATAAAGGCTTATTTTTAAAATCTAGATCATTGTAACGTTTATCAATCGGAAATAAATATTAAAAAGTATCCTAAGTTAATACTTTTAGTGCTGTATATTTAGATAAAAGTCTTGTTAGGCATATGTCAAATAAGCTACCGGTACCGTAAGTAACTTGCCTCATGTTTGCTATAATAACTTATGCACTCTTGTGCATTCTTAAGTTTACCCTTAAATAGATTCAAAACCCCATTCTTGATATTTAGGCCTTTTTTTTATTACAGCCTTTAATACCAACACTTTTTGTATTCATTGATCATTTGATTTTAGGTTGAAGGAACTTAAACTCATCATGGTGTTTTCCAAGGAAGTCGCTTGCAATCGATTAGTCAATTTAAAGCTCTCAAGAGTACTAGTACTTGTAACTTTAGCACTGGTTCTAGTACCTCTATTTACCCATTACTACTTGTCAAATGTAAGTATCAATGCAATTTGAATCTATTAAGCCTAAGTTATTAGACCCTACTTAAGTCCCTACTCTTATTTACCATTGGAAAAATCAAACTAGAGGTTAATGTAATTGGTACCAACATGGAATGTACAAAATACTGTACTTCAGTTCTTGTCTAACTCTAGTAAGTTAGGCTACCTAAAGGTTTGTTCTTGGACATTACTTTAAAATATTTAAATAGGCCTAAGTTACCTGCTAGGCAATCCGGTCATATTGCAAATGCAACTAAGTTTAAGATTAAGTAAGTTTTCATTTCATTTTCATTTATTCATTCAACGGTTACAACCAATACAGTTAAATACATTGTTGTGCATGCTTAACAGTAACAAATAAACTGATAAAGAGTGAATACATGGACGGCTGTTAAAGTTAGAGTCAGCTCCTAACTTGTGGAGCTGAGACTTGACTTCTTGACTTCGACTGTGCTTTGTAATGTGTAAATAAGGTAGGCCTACCTTACCTTTCTTCTGTATTTCCAAACTTTATAATTTATAATTCTTTGAATCTCAAGGTTGAGAGTGATGTTTCATTGGGTGATATCCATCGAACCCGATCTAAATTGGAAGCCTATGAAGAATTTGGAATGTTCCGAGGAGCTGATTTGAAGACAAGAATTGAAGAAATGCTTAGAATTAAAGGTTAGTCACAACATTGTAAAGTTACCTCCGGTTAACATTTTGATACTTCCAAAGTTAAAACATAATAAGGTTTTAATTTATTGTTCTAACTGTAAATATTTGTTAAAATTATTGTATCATGAAAAGGTTGAATGAATTAGTATGGTATGTTGATAGTTTGATAGATAACAAAATGAAACATACAACAACAAACAACAAAACAAAATAATAAAATGAGCTGTTCACTTGATTTTGAGTTATTATCAGGAATCTTTGGATCTCCAAAATGTTCGAGCCACATCACGCCAACAGTTAGCCCAAGAGATCGGTTCGAGCCGGAAATAGTTTTTGTGCCAAGCTTGGTTCAGGTGATTTATATAAAAGGTGTGAATGGCTTGATTAGAGCCAAACTGAGCTTTAACTCAAGCAATATTATTTAACTCCCAAAAAGTGTTTGCAAAGATCTATTTCACTGTATGGCAGAAGACAATTTTAAATATTTTTAAAACTGATTGTATTGTGACAGCTAATATGTTATTAAATTGATACTTTTCAAAGCAAACCGATATTGGTCTGAGACTCGAAGATCTAAATTTGTTATCTGACATAACCCAAAGTATAAAGTCTCACCCGCAGACTCCTAGTTACAATTTGAGTCTGTACGGTACAAGATGAACTATGTGTACGGTATTACTTGTTGGATTTGTTGTTGTGTGTCTGTATCTAATGTTAGTAGTTTAATGTATATATTAGAAATAGTTGTTTAGCCTCCGGATTACTGTTGAACTCTGTTTGTTAACAATCTTCAAATGAACTGATTACTTGACACCTTGAGGTCTGAAGATGGTTCATTAATGAACCGAAACTAGTTGCCAAAATCAGCAACAAAAGATTACTATATGCAGGTATTGTAAACCATTTTAAGTATATATCAGACATTGGGACTAAGCTTAGCTACCACAGGTAGGCCCTAAACACTTTCTAGCTTGGTGTGTTAAGTTTTTCACAACGTTTCCTATGTCTAGAGACTTGCACACCATAAATTACACATTGTGTTACAGTCCTAAGCGCTTGATGCCAATGATTATACAGTAGTAGTAATGATTTGAATCTAATGTTTTCAGGCTCGGTGAGCACTGAACTGCGCGACCTCGAAGCCAAGAGACAGAGACTGACAGCCGACATTTCGTCCCTCACTCATAAAATTGAGTCGCTGAAACTAGATTTACTAAGGCAACAAACAGAACTGGAGAGACTCAAACTATCCGTTGAACAGGTTAGCTACCTGACAAATATATTTTGTTGTATTTTTAACAGAGGTTTTCAAATTTGTGCTAATTATCTGGGTGCCTTTAAAAACAAGTTTTATACAGTCACATGTCTTTTTTGAACTGAAACCCATATGAAAAATGCTACAAGCTATCAGTTAGTTGATTACACACGGCACAAGTTGTGATGGATAAAACTACAGTAGAACCCCACTAATCCAATGTAGGCTAGTCCGACTCCCTGCTTAATCCGACCGTGCCTTCGCCTATCAGTGACAATTTTATCGTTGGTAATATTGTGACTACTTCCTATGGTCGTGTAGAGATCATTATCGCCTCTCGCAATGGCAGCAAAAATCTTCTTTACTCCCCACAATCACGAAAACATCATGGTTTTCTACAACCATAGAAACATGTAAATTGTCATACTCCGTAATCGTGGCTAAATATTGAACACGTCTCCTGCAGTCACCGATGCATCGTTTGCTACTCCCGCGATCGTGGCTAAGTATTTCGGACATCATAATTTTCTTCCGTATATGTCAGTTAAGCCATTAATGCAGGTAATTTAGCCATTTAATATGCTCCCCGGGTTATCCAACGTTTTGACTGTTCCGACCATGGTTCCGGTCCCTTAGGTGACAGATTAGCAGAGTTGTACTGTACCGATAAGTCCACTTGCTCATTTTCCAGTATGCTATCCTATACATGTAAGTATGTTAAATAAGTTGACCTTTCAGTTTGCCTTGGTTAAAAAGTAGTCGTTGTCATAAATAAGCGTTCACATAAGAACTTCTTTTCATTTTTTATTTTGTGTGTTTTTACGCCAGTGGCAATTTTTACGTTTTGAAAGGTAACGGTCCAAACCGTGGTCTTTTTACTATCTAACTTTGACCTTTTTGTTAGATAGCATTATTAATTCATAGCCCAATAACAAATGGTATCTTGGTCTGAAAACAATCTCTCATGGATTCGAACCAGCGACCTTCAGATTTGAAGGCGAGCACAATAACCACTCGGCTACCCAAACAATTATATATCAATTGTTTGGGTGGTTGTAGTGCTTCTTCACATTAGTGCACTTTCTCAGGAGGAGCTCATAGATAGGATGCTGAAGTTCATTAAACAACTCAGGTTTGACGGACTCTGATGTACCATGTGGGGAGCGCAAAAAGCCCATCAGTGGCTGACGTGCAAGAGGACAAGGTCCGCCCCAATGAATCAATCAATTGATCAATCAATCAAAAGCACTTCCTCGGTGGCTCAATTCAATCATTTTTATTTTAAATTGAATCCTATCTACTAAATAAACATGGGAATGGAAAGCCTAGTTCCTTAAATAGTCAAAAAAATCATTGTAACTTGTCAAGTATGAATGTTTTCATATCGTCTGTGACAGGCGCAAGTGGCTCATCGGGAGGCTCTGCAGCGCAACACGCCAGAGTTGTCTCGGCCACTGCGGCTAGTTGCGGGGGGGCCGCCCCTCCCCCTCCCCCCGCCATCACCCCTCTCCCCTCCCTGCAGTATGTGGCAGTGCTTCGATCACTCACGCTGCGCCCTCACCTCTGGTCTGCCAGTCTACCTGTACGACACAGAACTGTTCCCGGCCACCAGCTACTTGCGCACAGGTATTACCACGAGTCAATGGTTGTAATGACTTAGCCTATCGTACAAACTGCATCTAAAGGCTAAATAAAATTATTTATGATTTATGACCACGAGTTGCTGATTTCAATATACAATTTGTTTTATTTAATTCATGACTCTTGGAAGCTATCTTTTTGCACTATAATTGTATGGAATTATAACATTGTAATTTCTTGAAATATTAAGTTATTTGTTTACAAAGCACTTTATACTACAGTAGAACCTTAATAGTTCGACAATTAGTGGACTTAAGGGGTGTCGAACTATAGGGAGTAAATGGAGTTTAATATACAGGAATGTAAACCACAAGTTTTAGGCCTATGTAGAAATCAAATTTATTAAATGGTAAACAGCTTAACAATTATTTCACTGGCCATTGGTCTCAAGTCAACAATAAATGACAAATCAATGTTCAAGTCAGCTTACATCACAATAGTAACCATTAAATATCACTTGACAAAATAGCTCAGCCTGTGTCGAACAATCAAGTGTCGAACTATCGAAGGTTTACTGTATTTCAATTCATTATGTAGCATATAGGGATGTTATGTTTTTGTTTATCTTATTATAGCAACATTTTTTTGTTTTGTCGTAATAGACACCCATTATGAGGCAATATATTATTTAACATACTGATTCTATTTAAATTACAATAATTAAATAACTTATATATTTTGTATTGTTCTATTCCCTCACAGGTGTGAGACAGACTGTGGGTTTCAACCCCCACTACACCTCAGATCCCCACGAGGCTTGTGTGTATCTGGTCCTAGTGGGGGAGGGGGAGGCACACGATCTAACTAGCCTCAGAGATCTCCCCTATTGGGGCGGCGACGGTGAGTTTCAGTTTTACGTTTCTTTTTAATTTGAAATTATTTTCACCAAAGGAGTTTACTAGGTACTCTAGACAATTCAGAACGTTCATACACCAGATTACTGGGCATCTCTAAAATTTCCAATATTGCAAGGATAGAATAAACACAAAAATTTCAAGTTTTAGGCCGTTTATCTCTGCCACACATGTCTATTCCTCCTATTCGCTCTTGGTTTCATTGTTGGTTTGTCTCCTGGTACTACTTGTATGTTACGTTTTGTAAAATGTGTAACTTTTTCATCTATGTTAAGGGTGTAGCATAGAGCACAAGGGCCTAGATTTTTTAGGATTTTTTGAGAGGATAGCAGGCTTACCTGAATGGGAAAGAGTCCAAACTGGCACAGGAAACACAAAACAAAACTGTACACTATATACACAAAACATTAGAATATTTCACAGTCACTGACAGCATTTTCAACTAAGGAAGAGAGAGTTTTCGTGTATATAGTGTAAAGTTTTGTTTTGTGTTTGGACTCTTTCCCATTCAGGTAAGCCTGCTATCCTCTCAAAAAATCCTTTTTCATCTATGTGTTTAATTTTCTTTCGCTTTAATTTTTGTATGATTAATCCACATCAAAAGTTCTCTATGATTGTTTGGTAAACTTCAATCTACTGGTTGATTTGCTCAGGGAGGAACCACGTCCTACTTTACCTGTCCCGGGGCAACTTGTCGCCCCCCACCCTCACTCCTGAGTTGACAGGCCGAGCCATCATCGCCCAGTCTACCTTCGCCCGCCACCTGTTCCGGGAGGGGTTCGACTTGGTGCTGCCCCCAGTGCTAGGACCCCCTGGGGGTGACGTGTGGGCAGAGTGCGCTCCTCAGCTACCTGCGAGGCGCAAATACCTACTGACCTTCCAGGGGCATCCTCCCTCTACTCACATTGTCTCTCAAGGATTCAACGGTGAGTCAACTTAGTTCTGCTTTTTATGTTATCAATTGATTCTATTTCTCTGTTAATCATTTGACATTGCTATGTGCTCAAAGACTTCATTGAAACTTTTACGACCTATAATATGTGCTCAAAGAGGACGTTGAAACTTTTATGACCTGTAATATGTGCTCAATGAGGACGTTGAAACTTTTATGACCTGTAATATGTGCTCAATGAGGACGTTGAAACTTTTATGACCTGTAATATGTGCTCAATGAGGACGTTGAAACTTTTACGACCTATAATATGTGCTCAAAGAGGACGTTATGACCTGTAATATGTGCTCAATGAGGACGTTGAAACTTTTATGACCTGTGCATTATGACCACATGCATCGTTTGGTTATCAGTTAAACCTGACTAAAGCTAGTAACTTTTGGATGGTCCAAAACTTAATTAAGCTGTGATCATTTGGCTTTCAATTAAAATCAGCTGATTGTAGTTAAAAATCATAATCTTTTTCGCCTTAAAAAAGAGCACCCTGACATTGTAGAAATGTAATCTAACCAGTAACCAATTTGAAAAATAATATAAAATAATCCCTTTGGTTGCACAGTGACGGAGCTGCACAAGTACTTGTCACAGTCAACGTCAGACGTGTTCCGACTGGACTGGTCGTGCAGCAACTCTGCAGCCCTGGTCTCCACGGAGGATGACTGGGACTTGTGTGGTACTGAGACATCCCGTGCCGCTCTACTGAGGGAGTCTACGTTCACACTGGTGCCTGCACCGCGCAACACCAGCTATGTGTCGTCTGCGCTCAGTCTCGCCCGGCTGTATGAGGCCCTACGCGCCGGTGCGATCCCAGTCATAGTCGGGGGCGACAGAATGGTACTGCCTTACAGTGAGGTCAGTGTTTTTTTTTGTTTTATTTTAGACAAGATCTAGAGCAATAGTGGAAATTGTGGAGTTCTTAATGGGTGTACTATATGTACTACGTTACATATGTAGTTTTCTATGGAAATCGGAAAGGTATCCTTTAAAACTGCTTCTTTTTTAATTATGGTCCACAGATTAGTAAAGGAATGAATTTATTACAGTGTATCGTTTTTAGACCTATTTATCTATCAAGATTTTAGTACCACACCAGTTACAAGATTCAATCATGCTAGATTGTCTCTAATAAATTGATGTAATTTATTTATTACTAGGCCTATATTGTAGTTTTATTTATTAGTTTTCGAAGCAACAATATTGATAAGTTTTTAAAAACTTGTAAGAAACTAGATTCATTTTAACCTCTCTTCAATTATAAAAATGGGACCAAAAGACCAAAATAAGAGATTGTTGAATACCGTACTCATACTATTACAAGAATAACATGAAATAACTTCTATGCAAGAACAATATTATTTATTTTACAAATGGCTTTAGCTCTCAACTATTTTCCAAGCAGATTATTTCTATTATGTGTTGTTCTATTATTTGTTTCAGATGTAACTGGATCAATTATAATTAACAATGACTGTACTAAGCAAAAAGTGAGTTAGATAAGAGCGGTTCATTGTGTGGGTGGAATATTTTGAGTACAGGCTACAATAATTTGCTTAAATGGTTGAATTTTGTTTTCTGGGGGATTTGAGGTTTCCAAAAACTTTTTAGTTTAGGTTTATTTTGCATACAACAGCTGACACATGCGGGTCTATCCATATCAAGTGATCCAACAGGGGTTGCTTGACCATTTTTAAAATAAATAATATTTTTATCCTAGATACCTCTATCAATTCTGGGTTCAAAAGTGATTTTAATTTTTTTTTATCTCTTTTGTTACTTCTACGGCGGCCATTTTTGTTTTGCGGAACACGCAAATTTTTGCTCATGTTAGGGTTTGCGTTAACTTGCACAACTCGGTAACCATGAACACTAGAGTGATGAAACAAAAAGCATTTTAATCTGGAAGAAACAGCCTAAATATTATGTTCAGTACATATTTATTGAAATTTGTATCAAAAACAGTTTTAAACCCATCTCAACATTTCATAAGAAAACGGAAAAATTTCAACTTTTGAAGGCGTATTACCATTGGAACGAATAAAATCTCAGACTTGATTTTTTTTGTGTGTATAGCAACTCAGTAGAATTGTTTGTATTTCAAATATCAACCATGAGACTTAATTCCTTTAAAAGTTAACATTTTTCAAAAACTGAAATTTTTTGAAAAATTCAAATTTTGAGTCTCAATATCTTTGTTGGGACAAAGTTAAAAAATCTGAAATTTTTACCAAAAACCCCTCTTATGGTTGTTATACTGCTGTATGAATTTCATCTTTGAGATTTACTTTTAAGCTAAGTTACAGTATCATGAAAATCGCAAAAACCCCATAAGCTCGGCCACCGTGGCTAGTACTGTAGGTAGCTTAAAAATTAATTTATAGGTGTAGGTAATTATTTTATTTAATGTAAACTTACCTAACTTACTTTAAAGTAATGTATAGCCTTTTCTTGCAAATTTCTTGTCTTATGTGAAATTAAAAAAAAACTTTTTATCAGATTATTTTCATTCGGGTTTACACCTTTTTTTCAATAGGCCTAAATATTTTGAACTCATTTATTAATTTATTGAACCACTTTCATTTTAATCAAGAATATTAGAAATTTCACATACAAAAGCTGTTTGAAAGACAAGTTCTTAAAGTATACAAATTTTTTTTACTTGTTAGTGTGTTTTGTTCTACTTTGATCATGCTAATTAGGAAGTTTGGTGTTTCTTCATTCAGTTTGGGTTTGTCCTTCCAGTGGTTTTTGTCAGTTAAAAGAGATTTAATTTTCTCAAAACTTTGATTATAGGCACCCAAGCTTGGTCTTTCTAATTTGTTTTAAAGGCGGTTGGTTGTTGGTCCTGCTGGATCTTTATTTTGATAACTGATGTCAATCACCTCTGCCACCCACCACTGTCATACACAAATGCAATAGAGTCTTTGGTATGAAGTGTAATTTTGGTAATTCTGAGCAATTACTTGGTCAACCCCAATTTTTTTCCTATTTTACTACGGTCATCAGGAGGTTCTCAGAAATCAAGAAACATATAATTCAAGGCCCGCAAGGTTAAGTTAGGTTAGGTTAGGTTAAGTTAGGTTATTAATTAACCTAACCTAACCTAACGTAACGGTACTGTTACAATTGGCCTTAGAGATGTATTTGAGACTAAAAAAAACATAATAAGTTAGGTTAGGTTAGGTTAGGTTACATAGAACACACCCGTCACATAGAAAAAAATTGTCGGAGGAACCACTAGCCATAGCCATAACGGTACTGTCACAACTGGCCTTCCGCGCGTCTCCCGCAAGCCATTGTTATCGCTTGGACTTTGAACCTTCTTATCGCTCGGCAACCTGTACGATGGCCTTGCGGGCCTTAAATTATATGTTTCTTGCTTTCTGAGAACCTCCTGATGACCGTAGTAAAATATGAAAAAAATTGGGGTTGACCAAGTAATTGCTCAGAATTACCGTAATTTTTACAGCTTTTAGTTGCTAGTGAGGTTACGAAGCACCTGTAAATAGAATTAACTAAGTTTTATTTAAGTTAAATGATGAATAAAACTTAAAATTTAGCAGGATTTTATTTATTTTTAGTACCGTAGCGGTACATATAGGCCTAATTTGTACTTTGGGTACAAAGTTTAAGTTAAAAATCTGTTTTGGATTTTTGAAATGTGTACATTAAGATAAGTTTACATTAAATAAAATAATTACCTACACCTATAAATTAATCTTTAAGCTACCTACAGTACTAGCGACGGTGGCCGAGCTTATGGGTTTTTTGTGATTTTCATGATACTGTAACTTAGCTTAAAAGTAAATCTCAAAGATGAAATTCATACAGCAGTATAACAACCATAAGAGGGGTTTTTGGTAAAAATTTCAGATTTTTAAACTTTGTCCCAACAAAGATATTGAGACTCAAAATTTGAATTTTTCAAAAAAATTCAGTTTTTGAAAAATGATAACTTTTAAAGGAATTAAGTCTCATGGTTGATATTTGAAATACAAACAGTTCTACTGAGTTGCTACACACACAAAAAAAATCAAGTCTGAGATTTTATTCGTTCCAATGGTAATACGCCTTCAAAAGTTGAAATTTTTCCGTTTTCTTATGAAATGTTGAGATGGGTTTAAAACTGTTTTTGATACAAATTTCAATAAATATGTACTGAACATAATATTTAGGCTGTTTCTTCCAGATTAAAATGCTTTTTGTTTCATCACTCTAGTGTTCATGGTTACCGAGTTGTGCAAGTTAACGCAAACCCTAACATGAGCAAAAATTTGCGTGTTCCGCAAAACAAAAATGGCCGCCGTAGAAGTAACAAAAGAGATAAAAAAAAATTAAAATCACTTTTGAACCCAGAATTGATAGAGGTATCTAGGATAAAATTATTATTTATTTTAAAAATGGTCAAGCAACCAATTATTTTATTTCTGGATCACTTGATATGGATAGACCCATGCAGCAAATTTCAATGCTTTTGGAGATTCAAATGCTTCTTATCATCATCATCAAATTGCATCTCATTCTCATAAATTAATCAGTTGTGCAATTGAATCAAAAGTCAAACTTAGTAGTTACTACGCTACTACACTGGCTCCAGACTTTGCTGTGTTCTATACTTGTAGCAAAAATACTTAAGCTGCAGAGTCTCTCTTTACAAAGATACAATTTATAAAAGTTCTGTATTTTTTCAGAAAATTTCTGAAAAACTCTTGATGTTGAGGTGCTTCTGTATTGGTTTTCTATTTCTTTTTTGTTCTATAAATTTCTGAAAATCCACAAATTTCTTAGCTCAATTCAGAGTTTAAAATATCCTTATTTAAAATAGTTATAGGACTTATAGGTTTCATAGCTTCTGGAGATTTAGCGCTTCATTGATCTAAATATTTAACTTTGTCTCTATTATGAGGTTTATATTGAGTACCGAAACTTTACTTTTGCTAGTTGGAAATTTCCTTTCATTTATTGCACTACTCTGTGAAAAATGTATGGCCAGAGTAGAAAAAATACCTTTTTTTTACACCATACAGAGTTGAGCCAAGGAAATCGTTGGGTGTATGTGACAACAATCTCTAAACATTCATGTGAAACAGGTGCTGTCGACCAAGAAGTTTGTGGTGTCGATCGCCCAGAGCCGGCTGCCAGAGCTGCACTTCCTGCTGCGGAGTGTGTCTGACGCAGATCTGCTGGTGCTGCGCCGCCAGGGTCGTCTGATGTGGGAGAGGTACTTCGCCTCACTACAGGCCGTCATTGACACTACGGTGGCTGTGCTGAGAGACAGGTTGAGTCTACCACCTCGGCCCGTCGTAGACACGCCTGCCTCACTGTTCACACACGACTCTGTGGTAGGTGGATGAAAAGTCACTAGGAATATGTGTTTTCTATGCCAATGTCCAAATTTCTGAATATAGTGTAATTTGTCAAATGCTTAAAATGTTTTCATCATCACAGCTAAATGTTTCGGTTGCACTCCTCACATCGAGATTACCCAAGTTTACATATACAGTATCACAATTGTTGCAGATGATTTTGCAGATAGTCTCGACGTTATACAACAATCACCTGGTACGGTATCACTATATTTAAAAAAATAGACATGGTAGACATAAATTAACTTTTTGGACAACAAATTGGAAATGGTCCTGAACTTTATCTATTTTCTTGGCTTCAAATTTTTACATTACACGGGAAGTCTATTCTGTGTATAGTCAATATCTAAGTAGGACTATTGTTTGACATAATAAATCACAATATTGTATTGTTTAATGACTATTTATTAATTACTAGTGAACCTGTGCGGCTCAATGCCCCGCAAAATAATATATGAATAAAAAAAAAATTCATCGTATTATATATTGACTCGACAACGAAAATTTAACAGTAATAATGAAGCCTTGGAAGGGGAGCATTCCAGCCATTTTCTAGCTGGGTGTGTATTATATTTAGTAAATTAATAAGTGTTCAAGTTCAAGTATGTTATAGGCAGTGAGCAAGGTTATAGGGTAGTTATTTTTTAAAGATTTGTAAAACACATTTAACAAAACATTTTATCATATCAAACCAATAGGCCTATGTATCATATTTTGAGGGCCATAAAAATGTTGCTTGAAGAAAACACACTTTTAAAAATAAACACTAAAAACAATATTTTTATCACAAAAGCACTTCTATGAATACTACGATTTTAGCCCTAAAGTTACCTTCAGGAAGATTACCCTGGCCAGAGTTTTCATTAACGAATATGCGTATCCTATTAAAAGATGTAGCCTTACTTAAAACAACATATAATATAGTTGCTCATGACTGAAATTGGCCTGGGTAAGAACAGCGCTGCAAATGCCAAAGGTAACAGAAATTAACATCTTTCCATTTTAAAAGGTAAGTTTGTTTCAGACGGGTAAATTTGTATCCTTGAAATCAAAATACGTCCCCACTCACTTGTTCCAGTTAAGACTTTACATTCTATTAAGTTGTTAACCATTCTGATCATATGAAGCCTTGTGCCATTAATAAGGCCCTTTTTAATGTATTAATATTCCTCATCAATAAAACCACTGCCCCCTTTTATTAGTCTAATCTGTGTCTTGGCAATCCACTGACCTCTATATTTAAAAACTCAGTTGGATTTTCTAGATGGGTGTCTCCGCCTTCGTCTGTTTTCAAGGACCCACTCTTCTTCCCCTTGGTATACTGACAATTTTACCTGACCTTGTCAAGTTCATGTAGTAATTCATTAATACTGTTAGTTTATAAAGAAAATTAGATAAAAGTTACTTGGCTTGGTGCTTTCATAACTGCAAACTCAAAATACACCCACAAGTAAAAAAGAATCAAGATATTGGTTAAAAAAAAACTATGTTTGTGTAATAACATTATTTACATGAAGTAGGTGATTTGTTTGATTTGTCGATCAGCAGTTTAGTTTCAAATGAATTAATATTGTCAAAGATTTGTGATTTAAATACATAAATTATTATAGTAAAGTTTTCTAAATCATGGTAACTTATTCTCCACTAAATTTTACTATTCCCAGCATTAAAATAAAGTAGTAAGATCCATTATGGATAAACTTTAAGGTACTCAATCCTTGATTGAAATGTAGTAGGTATACATTAAGAGTCATAATACACAGCAATTATTATGTAGTAGACTTTGACTATTTTCAAGTAACAAACATATGTTTCTGTAAATAAAAATTATCTCCCATGTTATCCTTATGGAGACATACGAAACTTTAAAGGGCCCCAGGGCCTCAATCTCTCATTATTTCTCTAAAAAGAAAGTTTCCTGCACAACTTCACGTTACCCTCGTTCCAATGACACCAAAAACATGTCAATCGGTTCAGTAGTTTCGGAGGAGTAATTGTCACAAAAAACATGCTTGCGTATTAAATAAGTATAGATGAACTGACTAGGAAAACAAATTCATTTCAATGGACAGCTTGTTACTAAATTAATTACGTATAATCATTCATATTTACAATCTTAATCTTTGAGAGTGCCCCCAGCTTATACTAAATATATTCTGTGAATTAACTTAGCCAAGGCAATGCCTGAAAAAAGTTTCAGGCACAAGTTCACATTGAAGTGATTATACAAAACAACGCTGGAGAGACGTAACATAAACACTTCTCATTTACTAACAGGGGTGTGCCTACGGTGGGGGGGAAGAGCGAGCCTGGACCCCTTCCCCCTCACCTGGCTGGGAGGTATTCCATTCCTCACAGGCGTTCCGGAATTCGGGGCATGCCTAATATCTGGTGAGGCCTCAAAAACTAACATTCTAAAATTCTGAACGATGCTGTCTAAATGATTGTGATTTTTGTCTCATTAAGAAGCCAGTTTATCCAAAAGTAATGTTTACAGGGTGTCTACCAACCGGGAAAGGGAATTGTACTTAAATTTTTACTGGCCATGAAATGTACGGGAATTGTCCTTAAATGCCAGACAATGTCCTTAAATTTTTAATGGGCCATAATTTTATTGATCGCTAGTTGGTTAGGAGCACATAAAAGGTTTATCAGATGTTTGTTTACATTTTCATAATTTATTACTAGAGTAATTATGCAATAAAAATCCCATTAACAATCTCAAACCCATTAATATTTTATCACGACAATCAAGTGTCAAGTCAAGTACTTCCAAGAACTGTTGACTCAGCAGCTAGCTCATAAAAGTTGTATCACTTTTATTCCTTTACAACTTCTTTTTTTATTACTAGGGTAATTATTATTAGATCCCAAACCTATTTTATCGTGAAAATAATAGCTTTATAATGGCTGTTAAATTTCACTTCTTACTTGTACTTTCGGCTTGAAGATTCAATTTGCCGCGGCCAGTGCCTAGTGTCATAAAACTGTTTATGGTTTCATATTAAACATGTAAATAATCTACAGTCTTATTTTGTAAGTTAAACCCTTTTTTATGGACATTTTATCTTTCAATTGACAAAACCACTAGCATTGTTGTTTGCATTAATGTTTTATCACTATGTAGGCCTGCTTGGTTTCAAATTATGTCATTGCATTTTCTGTATCTTTGTCTTATATTGTTGGCTATTCAGGTTTCAATGTTTTTTGTTTCCCATATATTTATTTATTGAGTTGTATGCTTTAAGCAATCAAAATCTTATGTGAACTAGAATGATGATGGTAACTTTGCTGCTATTATAACCTCATTGTTTGTTACTCAGTTTATATAGGCCCTCCTAAATAATTAGGTCTAGGCCTGGGTATTTTGATTCTTGAAAGAGCTGTAAAATATATTAAGAAAATGTAATTGACCCTATAAGATAAACAACTAATGATTGCTATGTGTCGATATTAACTTTACAAATGAAAATACAATAATCTTACTCTGTGCTTATTGCTTATTAATAGCCGCTTACCATACCTTGATTTTGTACTAAGAATTGAGTAACAATATGCATTAAAGATTTTTTTTCAAAAGTAGTCGAGAACCTAACGTTGTGCCAGGGCGAATCATGCCAAATTAATCCGCCTGGATTGGATAAGCTATGTTATGAAGTTTACGTGACGGATGGAGATATTTGTCGCTATCGCAGGAGAGAATGATTGCGTTTCTCTGTTACACTATAATAGCTTTACCTAAAGTATAGGTAGGCCTATGTTTGTTTACTTTCAATAAATTTCTATTTTGTAATTTTTAACTCTTATCTATTATTATTTACTTTTCTCTCTGGTTCAACTACGGTGAATAACAAGATTAATACAGTTTGACAAATCAGGAAAATTATTCGGTAGGCCTAATGACACCGACAAAGGTTATGGCAAAGTGTCCTTAAATGTACGGGAATTGTCCATGAATTTTTTATCCAGAATGTAGTAGACACCCTGTGTTTAACATTGTGTCTCTTGACAGTGTCATAATGAGGTTGTCTTTGTTTAGCCGGTGAAGACGGAGCAAGTAGTGGAAGCGGAAGAGAGCCTCGGACCATTGGAGCCTCCTTACCCTTCCCCTTCCTTTCACAGGAACTACTCCGTCTTTCTAGTACAGGTAGGCCTTTACCACGGCTACTTTAGGTTAATGTTTATGGCAAATTACTCTGTGTAATTTAATTTATTACTCTGTGTAACTGTAGTGCAGATGAAACAATTAAAGGGTTTTATGATAACATAGTATCTGATAGAAATAAAGCACAATAGGTCTACAAACACATCTTTATGTGTCTGCACCTACGTTAACATGTGCAAGATGGTGAAAATATTTGAAATTTATAATGGTGATTTATTTAGACTAAAGATCGTTCAGTGGTCGAACACTTGACAAAGAATATGTAATAAATAGACTTCTCTATTTTCACCCTACAATGTAAATAAAACATGTGATTGGAATTTCTTCCATTTGTTTTAATTTTCTGTTTATATTTTGTCACCACCATGGAGACTTATAAGCCCATGTTAATTTTTGTAATTTTAAATTAATTTTGTGCTTATTTTTGTGCATATCTTAATTTATAAGGGGATTCTGCACATCTACAGGAAAAAATATATCTTTCTAACAGTATGCGTAGATTTTTCCTGCGATGCACACGAGCTGAGAAAAAAGGTTTCCAAGAAACATGCTTGCTTATTAATATATCAGATGTTTTTAAAAGGATCATTAAAAAACAAAAACTAGTGTGTAGCTTCATACACACCAATAAATAATTTGGTTGATCATAATATTTTGTCCTCAGCTAAAGATACTGTTGATGTAAATAGAGATTCATTTCAGGGTCACGAGATGTGGAACGATTGGGGTGATCCGTTCCGTCTCTACCCTCACCTACCCTTCGACCCTGTGCTTCCCTCTGATGCCAAGTTTGCAGGTAAAGTGTTGTTTTGGTAAATTAATTTAGACTTAAAATCTAATCTTATCCTACTAAGGCCCGGTTTCCCCAAAATGGTGTAAACTTCATTTATAATAAACTAGTTTATTTTTAAACTCCGTTTAAAATGTGTGTTCGGTTTCTCCAACATTTTACTGGCTTCGTTTAAGATAAACGGAAATTCGAGCGGTTGGCAATCCTGAATGTGTGTTTGTAAGGAATCTTCGGCGGGCTTTGGGCTAGTGTTTCTTACAACGCTCGCTACGCTACGCTACAACTCAGTAGTGCAGACGAGCAAAGTGCGAATGCTGCTAGAATAACATCACTGTTTAAGGTTATGTTACGTTATAAAGTTGATTTTTCTTTTACAACAAGACGAATTCTGTGCCTTATTTTAGTAGGCCCTCTTGTTCTTGGTAATAATAAAGTGTTATAATCTTCATCTTCAACTTCTTCGAAAATGTCAATTAACTCTTCCATTTGAGTTAAGGCAAATACTGCAATTAATAGTAGCCTAACTTGCAAAAAAATAAATGTACAAATAAAAAGAACTTAATAAACAAATTTAATTAAGATATAAACAAAACTTAACTTAATTATAGGCCTTTACAATATAAGCTAGCCTTAAGCCAAGCCTCCAAATAAATTTGTTGATGCTTCAATTATTAACCTAGGCTACCTATTGTTTTGGAATTATTTGAGGTTATGTTACTGTTGTAATTTTAATTTGAACTCAGTTTATTTTATCCCCAGTAGTTAAACCAAGTTGAGAGGTGGTTTAGTTTGAACTTAGATTAATGCCTAGTTTAAATTTGGAGAAACCCAAATCAAAGTTAAACTAAGTTTAAATTGCCGTTTAACTTAAAACTAAGTTTAAATGAGTTGGGGAAACCGGGCCTAAACGCTGTAAAAACATGTTTGGTACATAACTATTTCCGAGTGTTATTGTCTTATTTAACTAATTTATAGTATTTTTGGTTGGTCATTCATCATCTGTTGTGGTGTACGGCAGGCTCTGGCACTGGTTTCCGCCCCATCGGCAGGGGAGCTGGGGGAGCTGGCAAGGAGTTCTGTGAGAGTTTGGGAGGCAACCATCCTCGAGAACAGTTCACTATCGTCATGCTCACCTACCAACGGGACCAGGTACAAGCTTACACGACACGTAATACCACTAAATAATAATAATAATTTTACTAACACTATTCTATTTTCTAGTCGAGTTACGAAAAGTCAAGTCGATGCAGACACTACACTGAATGTTTACTGTGCTTGCAACTGTTTTTTCTCAATTGAAAATTGGGGGAACATTCATATTTAAAGTACTTTTTCTTATAAAAATATACTTTTTTAGGTTCTGATGAACTCTCTCAGTAGACTGCAAGGCTTGCCTTACCTCAATAAAGTGGTCGTGGTGTGGAACTCTCCCCGACCTCCTCTGGACGACCTTCACTGGCCGGACATCGGAGTCCCCGTAGAGGTAAGCGGAGAATGGATACATGATAAAATGAAGGAACATTAGACTCAACATTAGTTTCAAAAGCCTTTGGTAATAATTTGTATGGTGACATCGAGATCCGCTACAATATTGAAGCTTGTCTCTAAACCTTAACCTTAGCTTGCCTCTAAGCTTGTTTGTGTTGTTCTACCTTGTGTTGTGTGTTGTTGAAGTTATTTACAATATTATTGATCGGCCATATTTGAACAAAGTCCACATGAGAATGAGGGTGAGGTGTTTTAAATAAGCTAGTGTTTATTGATTGTAAATAGTTTCAGTTTGTGTATTGAGACATTTTTTTGTTGTTTTGTTATGGTGGTGGTTTTGAAGTCAAACAATTTTCAGCTTCATTGTAGTACTAATAATGCCAAGTACGAATACCATGAATGATGTTTTTAGAAGCCTGCGGTTCCCCAGAATATTTTAGGTTGGGCCGGGCTAACAGTTGGCACCAAAACATATAGGTAGGGCCAAAGAATAATTGTAGGCACACAATCACTTTTAGTAATTCACCAGTACCATCCATAGTATACCTTGTGAGTAGAGATATTCATAAATCAATCTCAATATATTTGAAAGATGTGTTTTGAATAACAAATGAGATTTTATCCTAATTGTTATTTTACACTGATTGAGTCATTGCAGGCCTTTGGCAAAAGTAATTTGAGCAGGGAAAACAAGTTACTTGTCAATTGCACATGCAAAGGTTTATTTATTGTTGATACAATTTTAATACAAGCAAAACCAAATGTTAACAATTGAGAGTTTTAACAGTAAGTTTGACGCTTGAAATGAAAAGCTTTAAGGTACCTATCAAAAATCATTTTGAAAATATTGTCTGCTATCATAGAGGAATATTCTTTAATATCACATAATCTTATTAGTTTTAATTAACATAATATAAAATGATGACGATACTACATAGTATTTTTGCATCACAAAACAAACAAAAATTTGCATGAAGCTTTGTTTACCTTTTGAGTTAATTTAAGTCACAGAAAGCTCCATTTGACCCTTATCATTTGTGTGTGCTTCATTGCAACATTTTCTCAGTTTAATAGTAATACAAATAACTAGCACGCTTACCACAAGGAAAATAAGTGTAAAAAGAAGATAAGAATTGGATTCTGTATCTTCAACACACGTTCGCTGGTCCTTAGAAAGTACAAAGTGGTCGTAACATTGACACGCAACCTTACTTGCATTCATTCGTATACACAAGTGGGAACAATTCTTCTTTTCACACAAGTATGTAGTACTGGCACCTCTGGACTCGTAAGTATCCATCTTGAAGTCCAGGATTTTCTCAGTTTCAGTCAGAAGAATGGTCACATTCACTACAGGATTAGACACTCTCGCTTTGTACAGAATGTAACTATCGTTGTTTACACTTCCCCAAACTATTGTTCCATTGACAGCGTCCATTCCGAACGGTTGATGAAGTTCTGGACCACTATAAATAGCATCAAACTTCGTGAAACAGTAGTCAACGCTTAATAAGTAGTTCTTGTCGTCTTCCTTTGAGCAAATCAAGTATATTTTTTCTTGTTGAATGTCGAGTGCAAACTGTTTCAGATTGGGAAATTCGTTCATTTTCAGGACGGTGGTGCTGGAAGTGTTTAAATTGTATTTTACAAGTTCTGTGTCCTTCAGATATAGTAGGAACTTCCTGTACGGGTCTATTGCAATACTTGTTACTTCTCCAGAATGAATATGCGAAATATTGCCAGGTCCATTTCCCCAATGTATGCTCTTAGTATCCCTACAACTCCAGTACAAGGTATAATGATTCCAGTTTATGGCCAAGTCACCAATGTGGGTACAGTCGGTGTTTAATTCCACTTGACTGTGCAGGCGCTCCGAAAATAAAGTACCATCAACAATGTCTTTTCCCAAAACGTATTTAATGAGCCGGCCACGTGAAACAAAAGAACTTATTGAATAATTTTTTCCTCCTATATCTTTAAAAGACAGAGTAACGTTTTCAAATATCCACTGTTTAATTGAACCGTTTTCAGTTGCATATATTATATTAGTTTCAAAAGCTTTGGTTTCAAATATTTTGTACAGCGACAATGCACTTGATCCGCCACAATGTTGATTGGGTACATTAGAACAAGGTTTACAATTTGTACTGTTGATCGCAACTAAAATGCCTTGAATTACATCACTGCAAAAACATTCTTCATCGTTGTATCCTGCAAAAACATGTTTTCTCCCAAAACATTGTTTAATACAATTGGAAAAGTCTGGTGTTTCAGAATGTCTATCAGAACTGACCTTTGGTGATGCCCTTCTAAAACATCCTAAATAGTACTTTTCAAAGTCATCAGCTGAGATCAACAATAATATCTGTAACAGGATGATCATAACTAACCACATGTTGTTCACATAGCTTCACATATACAAATGCAATATCACTTCCTTAGAGATTATTGTAGCTCTTTCCTTGTGTGATAAGCATTTTTTACCACATCCCAAGATTTTCAACTTTCATTCTGATTATCTTTTCATCTCTTAAAAAAATCACATTAGTTATTGTTTTTCTTGTTCGTAGACGCCTAAAATTAAATAAGCTATGAAATTGTTAATTTTTACAAATAAGTCTGTGATCAGAGAACAAGAGTATTTAGCGATAATAACTGAGGTTAATTTATTGAATATTTAGATAAAGAAAATTAGTTTTTATACGTCTGATGCTAGTGTTGAATATTAGATACATTTGTATATATTTCATTGAACTTTTACGATAATATTTACTATCTTCTGACACAGGTTTTCCATTTTGTTTAAATATTCTAATCAAAAATGTCTGTATTTGATTGATGAATGGCTGATTGAAACTATTCTAATTTTATATACCTCTTCAATGAGTTTTACATGGAATAAGTTCTCCTGTGGACAATTTTAAATTTTTTTTCCAAATTCATTCAAGTTCTGATCAGTAGCAAGAGTTGACAAGTAAAAAATCAGGCATACATTCTCTGTTCATTAAAGGTAGTTATCTAATTGATTCATTAATCATCTACCGGTAATTGATCAGTTAATTTCATTTAATTGATTGATTATCTGATCTTTCAAAAATGTTGGAAAAACTTTAGTAGGATTACACGTTTAGGCCTAATGTAAGTCGTCCTGTAGTTGGAACAAACTTTTGTATAATAGTTTTTTTTTGTTTGAGGAATTACTTTAGCTTTTTTAAAAATAACTCTCTTGTTTGCCACTCTTTGTAAAAGTCTATTTTAATTTCTAAATAATTTACTGAACATAAAAAATTGATTAATATCAAAGTTGAGATTGTATTGTGAATATTGGATCGAGGGTTGTCCATAAAATCTCTTATTTTGTGAAACATGCTGTAATGTGTAAATGACATACCTATACAGCTATAGACCTAATAAATATTGATTTTTGAAAACTATTTAAATCTCCCCACCACTCAACTTATGGTTATAACTGTCCCAATGATTCACGTGAAATCTTATCTTAACCACACTGATTAAAAATAAACTCACAAGATAGTGTTCCAGAAGTTAGATAACTTTATCGGAGAAATAACCAGATGTATATTCTGAAGCACAGCTTTGTTGTATAGAAAATGTTATAGTTATGTATAAGATAACTCAGTTCATTTTGATAGGCAGTTGAAATTTTAATAAACTAGTTTCCTAAATTATTATTTGCTGACCATTTAAACTCCAGCAATTACTCATTTATTTAAGTATTTATCTTTATTGGAAAAATTAAAACAATTGAAAAACAAGTTTTGTAGTGACATTCACAGTAAGAGTAATAAGTAGCAAAAACCTGATTTAAAAAGCAAACACAAAGAATCCATCCATCCCATAAGTTTTCATCTGAGCTATATATACTGTTTATTTTGAGTAAGCCTCTACGACTAAGCTTCACCATCAGCTGCACACCACTCCAGGCAGGATACAATCACTTGTCTCCTGGCCAGTACTAACCGTAGCAATCCCTGTAGTATGAAATACCAATCTTACAATTAGCACATTCTCTCTGACTCGGCCACTGGTGGTGCACGAATAAAATTTCAGTCAAATTTAAAATTGTGTACTACAAATTACCATAGACTCAAAAAACACAAAAGTGTGTTTATAGGAATAATTAGATATCATTAACTATTTATCAACTGTAGGCCTACTACAAAATAAGATAATAATTATGCTAATTAAACCATGTACCACCCAGGGACATATTTCCGAACTAGCTGTGTGCCCGTTCTACATACGGGGATCTTATAGTAGTCAGTTGAATGTGACAAAAATCAAACAATGTTGGGTTTTTGGACATTTGTAATTTTATTTCTTAAGTAGGTAGGCCATGTATTCTATGGAAAAGTACTGGTATCAAGGATCGTCGTCGAAAAGGTTGTTAGATGAATAAATAGGCGTACGTACCCAAGAGATGGGCTATGGGCCTATTTGCTGTATGGTCCAGCGATTGCATTACACGGTGAGTAGGAACAGAAAGTGACACATTGGAAAAGCTAGTTTAGCATCATCCGTTTACCTCTGTTACAATCAGCCACTGCAGTTGTGATTTTTTTACTTTATACTTTACTCAATCGCCATTGAAGTGCCGTAAATGAGTGGAAACCTTGTTTGTTAATGATCGTCGCCAATAGCTTACAATTTGTAAGCTATTGGCGACGATCATTAAGTGTCCCAGCCATATACAACACTGATTCAAGGTATTTTTTCTGGTTATCAAAACTCAAGAACAATTTTATACACAAAGAATTTCTGGTTCCTGACCTGGCCTAGTTATTTAATTTCATTTACGGTTACACTATGATATTTCACTTGTGATTAATTAAATCCGTTATGTAAGAAAAACGTTTTTAATCTCACTTGGTTGGTATTTGCTTTCAAAACGTGATTCGAAATGGTTGTGGTATTTGTAAACAACATTTGTAAACATATCAGTGACAGCTAGAAAAAATAATCTTGATCCGAACAGCTGTTCGTTATTTCATAGACGATTATGTGATAACAATTGAACGAACATTTAACAAAAATCGCACAAAACTGCATTTTTGAACGTCCGTAATTGTATTTACAAAGTAGTGAGGCCATATTTTAATCACTAAAGACACTCTTGTCAATCCAGTGAATACATTAAAATGACTTGGATCTTGATAGGTACTCTCGTTTTCACGGAGAAAATTGCGTAAAATGCCACCTTGAGTGTTACAGACAGACAGAAAGACAGACAGACTGACAGACAGACAGAAATAGAGATAAGCCTCGTTTCTGCTTCTTTAATGTATAAAACGTAAAAATAACCTAAAAATATATAATTTTGAGCAATGTACAGACAAAACTCTAATTTTATTTATATAGATAGGCGGACTAGGCGCCCGCCTAGGGCAGCAAATTTTAGGGGCGGCAAAATTTTGAGGGCAAAAAAATAAAATAAAAGAGGTTTTAATCTAAAAAAAATTTTAGCAAATAATTCTGGGAACGGCAAAACAGCCATTTCAAATATTTTGATTAAGTATAAAACTATTTTAGAACGCATTAAAGTCATACAAACGTCATACAATAGTTTATTACACAGCTGTGTGGAGTTGTCCGTGCTGCCCTATTGGTCTGGCGGACACGCTCGCTGGGGGAGCGGGTCGCTGTGCCGGCCGCTATGTAGTGACAAACGAAGAAAACACTCCCCTTTGTTTACTTCATGCACCACTACGCAGCGGCAGCGCTAGCTGCAAGTTTCTTTTGCTAGGTTAAAATCAAGAAGGAAAGTGTGAACAAAATACTTACTACTGTACCAAACTTAACTAGTTTAAAATTGTATATTCTTTCTGTAAAAGTACGTAATTTTTTCTTTGCGATTTATGTGTTTTTTGTAAATTAAAAAATAATATAAGTAAACATATTTCTTTCATTTCAAATCAAAGCCAATAGCACGTCTCTCAAGTGGATCTGACTAAAAGTGTTCAATGAAAAGCGTTATAAGAACCATTGTATACAGACAATTTGTGTGCCGTTTCAAGCCGCAAATTGGGATTGTAAAAATGCTGTTTAGATAAAAAAAAGTTGCATTCCGTGTAGGCCTATCCCAGTCAGAATGTTTTGCATAAAAACGGTACAAAAAACATCCGTTAAAAGGAGTCGAAATGAAATAGTATATTTCGTACCTAGGGCCGAAAATGAGGTTTCGCTGGCTCGAGATAGTTTTTAAGTTTGAGATGAAGTCGACTTAAAACGACCAAGAGCTGCAAAACCATTTCGGTCCGTGGTACAAACGCTATTTTTCACCACACTATACCTTAGTACCACTATTCAGTATTCACCACAATAAATCAACATTGATTTAGGATGCACACTGATAGGCAACACAACTACAACTTTAAGGTTATGTGAAGAAATAATTTGAGGAATCAGCAAAAATTAAAATAAATAGTTGCTAGGCAGCGGTGACAATAAAACAATTCTATTGCAATGCTATGGATACTGATTGTGTATTTAATATGCATTCATGTTTTAAGAAAGTACGCGATCAGCTGATTTTGCGGCCCTAGTAATAATTTAGCGTAAGAACCTGCTCGGTCCCCAAATGACGATGACAGCTGGCATGGCCAGCAAAACGCAACTTTCAGCCACCAATTAACGCATGTAAAACAGCTAAAAACATCTTAGTGTGGTGAAAAAGTTATTAAATTTGTTGATGCAGCATGCAATATTATTACCGATTATTTTTATACAAAATCAGCTGACAGGGCATGTATTGGCCATTGGGGTGATATTAGTGAGGTCGGGGTGTGCGCTGAAAAGTGGGTGGTGGAGCGGGGGAGGGGGGGGGCGGCAAACTTTGTTGCCTAGAGGCGGCAGATACCTAAATACGTCCCTGGTCCCACCTGTAATACACGTCGACCTGAAATCATGTTGAAAAGAAGTACATTACATGAACTTAATAAAATCAGTTTTTAAGTAGTAAAAATAGTATATATCGTACTACTAGTCACGAAAGTGATCCATTTCGGGGTGAGATAGTGTTTTACATGCGAGTCGAACAAATCGACGAGCATGGGAAACACTATCGAGCCCCGAAATGGGACTTTGTGACGAGTAGTGAACAATACTTTTTTTCACAATAAAAAAAACTACTTCATCAAACTAAAAAAAATTATCCGATATTTCGTAATCCACTAACTTTTATAATCTAAACACAATTCCGCTGTACAATTATTTTAGTGTAGAATTCACTTGATTTTAACTTTGTTTATGTCTGGCAAAGTATTGTTTGTGTAGCTTCTACAAACACGAATGCACAGTAAAAACACCCACAATGTCTCCGAAATGCCATTTTGTTGTGTACAATCACCATAGTAACCAATGGCGCACGTAGGAGTTTTCAATAACTTAATAAATCGGTAGAAGAATTATCAAAGCGAACGTGTTAACAGATATACTATTTTGTTTTTGTAGGTTGTGAAGGCAAGCACCAATAGTCTCAACAACAGGTTCGTGCCGTACGACGCAATAGAGACTGAAGCAGTCCTCTCCGTAGATGATGACGCACATCTGCGCCATGACGAGATCATGTTTGGATTTAGGTTTGTTACTTATGCTTTGATGTTAATACCACAGACTAACCAACACAAGTAGACTTCTCATCCCATTGTAAATTTTGAAGCTTGTTTTTCCTGTCTAGTTCATGTACAGTGATACTGGGGGCTAGTGTCAACAACATTTTTATTCTATTATTTTAAGGGTAACTTAATGATTTAAGCTTTACTGTTTGGTTATATAATTAGGGGAAGAGTTATTGTTTATGATTAGATTGTATTATTTGGTTAGTTGAGGTTTTAAATTACTAAAACAACAAGAAACAAATTGTAAACAAAACATGACCTCAACAGTGCACCGTACAGAACTAACAATAAAATTTGCTTCAGCTGGTCCATAAGGATGAGAAATAATCTACTAAGGGATTATGTTTTATCTATGGTAATACTTACATTTTTGTAAGCAGTATAATAAACATAAGTATATAAGCTCAAATATGTGAAACTTGATTGAACTGTCATTCTGTTGTAGGGCTGTTTCTGTATCGAATCTTGCCCATACCTTGAAATAATTTAAATAACCCTAATGATAAATGCATACAAAGGGATTTACTGAGAGCTATTCAAATTTCGATTTTCCTGAATTTTTAAGTTTAATTAACCTCACCTCGTTAATTTTTTCAGTCTATTTACATGAAACATGACCAAACGTTTAAATATTTTGAAGAAGAAACGTTATAGCACATTAATTTGTCTATGTTACCAAACTATGTCTATGTTTTTCCAAGGTCTTGTGATCTTAGATCTTTGGTGCAAGAATAAACAAAACAACATCATTATCTCTTGATATATACATTGGGAGCACTTTCTAACCATTAAAAAAAAAAATATTTGAAAAATTACAAAATCTTACAACATTTTATAAACAACTTGCTTAAAAAGCCTGGAAAATTTGGCTTGTCTGCAGCTCATAGAGAAAAACTTGTTCTTGGTAAAAATCTACTTTTTCACTTGGTCAGTCCTTATCCATATTTATACAGAAACAGGGGATTTATACAGTTTACACTGGTTGTAGAACTATTGAGTGGGAGGGTTAATGTTATACATTTTGCCAATTTTTCTTCATGTCTTGATCACTGTCTGTTTCATCAAATGTCTTAATGTAAGCATTCCAGTTGTGTTTCATTTGCTTGTTTGTTTGAAGGGTTTGGCGGGAACAGAGGGACAGAGTGGTCGGTTTCCCTGGTAGGTTCCACGCACTCGACCTCAACTACGGCGGTTGGCTGTACAACTCCAACTACTCTTGTGAACTCTCCATGGTGCTGACAGGTCTGTGCTCAAACTAACATGTTGCAATCCATATTTTCTATAACTAAATTGAAATATTACCTTCGTCAACCAGCTCGTGTATTGTAACAAATGTTACGGCCATTTCAGCATCACAGTGCATCAGACGGCCTTAAGGCGTTGTTATAACAAAAAAACATAAATACACAAAGCACCGCCAGTCAGCTACTTGCTCGAGTGTAATAATGTACGTTCCTCAACCGACCTGTTTTTTAAAAACCTCGTTTTGACGATGTGTGTGTTTATGTTTTTGTGTTAAAACGACACGTTATGGCCGACCGTCTAATGATGGCACTGTGATGCTGAAAGGTCCGTAACATTTGTTACACTACACGAGCTGCTTGACGAAGGTAATATTTCAATTTAGTCAAACATGTTGTTTGTGAAACAGTGAATAGCCCCGTGATTTATAGTAGAAGATAAAAGAGGTGAATGCAGAGCTAAGGTTGGGGTAGCTTTTAGTCGGTGGAATGGGTTTTTTGTTAAAGGGTTATTCTTAGGACAAGTAGAAGGGAGGTGCTATTTTGTAGTAGGTTACGGATTCAGAAGGATGACAGGGTTATTTCCGTGATAGTTGATATTTTAGAGAAATGATTGGTTGAATATTCAACATCTGGTTCTTAGTTTAGTTCAACGTCTTAGTTTCTTAATTTTCAACAGAAATCTTAGTTTTGAGATTAAATGTGCTTGAGCAGCCAGGAGTCAGCAGACTGTCGTCTGATCAATATTCTGCATAACATAACTTTTAGTAGTGAACAAAATTGTTATATACTTGTAAACAATACGTTTGATGGAAATTCTCAAATTCTGATCTTTTTAAACAATGTAATTTAGCTTTGGTAGAATTATTTTAAATGGCAATTCATTTAGATTTTCATTTTTAAGGCAAGGTTTAAGTATTTATTTAAAATCTAAGGACTTTTACTTAGATATTTAGAAAAGTTTATTTTTTTTAATTACATGTCAAGCAAGACTATCATTTAGACTGTTCCATTACAAAGAATGTCAAAATTTGCCTCTGGTTTACTCAGAATTGCCTCCAGGATTGATTATTGACTATGTACATAGGTTTACATACCTAAGTACTTAAGTCATCAATCCTGTTAGCCTATGGAGACTAGTTTCAAAACAGCAGCTTCATTATCAAGCCTGTTGCCTCATAAAATTATTGGGACATCTTGTCGTTGCCAATACCCAAAAACGATTTGTGTCCGTGTTCGTGTTGTATGTTAAATGTATTTTTGTGTATTGACGACGATAAGATGTCCCCCAATAATTTTATGATGGAAGAGGCTTGAAAATGAAACTGCTTTTTCAAAACAAGTCTCCACAGGCTAATTTTAGGATTGATGACGTAATGTATGTAAACCTATTTTGCCTCTGGTTTAAATACGGAAAATAATAATTCATGGAATATACTTTTATATTGTCACTTTATTTTTTTGAACTGTCTTTGAATGTAATTTGTGTTACAGGGGCGGCATTTGTACACAAGTACTACACTTACATGTACACCCACTGGCTGCCTCAGGCCATCCGAGACAAGGTGGATGAGTACATGAACTGTGAGGACATTGCCATGAACTTTCTAGTGTCCCACATCACTAGGAAACCCCCTGTCAAGGTACGGTAAAAAGAACCTAGTGTCCCACATCACTATGAATCCCCCTGTCAAGGTACGGTAAAAAGAACCTAGTGTCCCACATCACTAGGAAACCCTCTGTCAAGGTACGGTAAAAAGAACCTAGTGTCCCACATCACTATGAAACCCCCAGTCAAGGTATGGTAAAGAGAACCTAGTGTCCCACATTATTAGGAAACCCCCTGTCAAGGTACTGTAAAGAGAACCTTGTGTCCCATATCACTAGGAAACCCCCTGTCAAGGTACGGTAAAGAGAACCTAGTGTCCCACATCACTAGGAAACCCTCTGTCAAGGTACGGTAAAGAGAACCTAGTGTCCCACATCACTAGGAAACTCACTGTCAAGGTACGGTAAAGAGAAAACCTCATTATTGATTGATTTGGAAGTCAAATCAAAATTTATTGTCATACCAACGTTTGTACATATCATGTCTATGAAACAGGTGACATTGTTAAAAGGGGCTTAACATATTCATTATTCTATGGTCACGGCATAGTCATAAACAACTTCTGTGGTCAAAGCAAAATCGAAGACAGCTTCTGTGGTCACAATTTTCATACATCACTATAAGTAACGACATCTTCTGTTAGTTTGACATATACTTTAAGTTTACTGTTGTTGGTTGCAGGTGACATCACGTTGGACCTTCAGATGTCCCGGCTGTCCCGTGTCACTATCTGAGGACGAAACTCACTTCCAGGAGAGGCACAAGTGCATCAACTTTTTCACTCAGGTGGGGATAAAATACTATAATCAGTTAAATTATCCATACTCAGTCATACTATCAGTTAAATTATCCAGACTGGGTCTGTACTGTATTTTGAAAGAGGTTGTGATAGATGATAAGGTAGTGCCGAGGAAGTTAGTTAGTTTTTCAGTATCAGTTCTTATTTTCTGTTAATTCACTACCACTGCTTTTTTATTGCAATTCCGATATTTTTAACAGTTAGCCTAGTCTATGAATATATCAATTATAAAATGAAACTATTCTATATTAACCTAACCAACCAAATTTGCTGATTATGAAAAGATTCTGTTAGTGAATAAACCGGAATAAAAAAAAGTTGTGATAGTGAATTAATGGAAAATTACCTCAGTATCATTTAACAACAAACTTTTTTTGAGTTCTATTTTGATAACATAATATAGGGACAATATATGTTATTTTACTTTGATTTGATGACATCGCATTTTCATTTGCAGGTGTTTGGCTACACGCCATTACTGAACACTCAGTTCCGAGCAGACTCCATCCTCTTTAAGACAAGAATACCTCATGACAAGCAGAAGTGTTTCAAGTACATCTAGAATTATCTTAAATAATTCATTTGTTTTAAATCAAAAAGGTTGGCGGCCCCTTTCACCCGTACATTTTCTTCACCAAACAGGCCTGTGGCCTATACATGGAATGTATGCATAGCAAGAGGTGAGCAGCTACAAGAATAATCTATATTGATGAATATTATTGGTGGCACCCACGACATCGCTGCCTTAGATTCGTAATCTGTTGTGCTACTGACTGAGCCACTCTCTCACTCACTCATCTGTCAACTTTTGCTTGGATATTCAATTATTAATTTACAAGGTAGCTTGCCAAAAGGTATCAGTTTCAAACTGAAAATCAAATATTAATTTTAGATAGTTAAGGACCAAAGCTTTATTACTTAGGATATAGAAGGCTTAATACTTTTAAGTTATAAACAGTTTAAGATGATATATGATATTTTTCATCATAATTAAAGCGAATCAGAGCAATTCTGAAGTGACCTTAATTATTACAGGATTTGGGATTGTGTAAAATGTAATATCTCCTTTGATTTCCAACATACTATAATATACAGGAATATTGATCCATCCAGATTTCCAAGACAGTTCCCCTCTTACCATTATAGAAAGAAAGACAATTTAATCTAACTTAGGGTACAGTTAATTTTTGTTTCTGAAATCATTAGCAAACAACTATTTTACAGTTGATTTGAAAGTCCGGATAGTACTCTTCTGCGTTCTCTCCTCTTGAAGCACATGTATTTTGTTATGTTCCACCTTCTTATTTTATATTTAGACGCTAGGCTCTGGCCTGGAACTGTTTTACACATTACATTAGACTCCCCTCTGGGTTAAGGTATTATCACTTATTGTTAGTTGGCGGAATTTGAACCCGTGATCAAGGTAACCGAAGCCCCGTGCTCCACCACTATCATCACTCGCTAAGTACAAAAATAGCAACTATCAATGTTGTAAAATCTTCTTGAATTAAAAAAGTCATGTTAGTACACAGGGTCAGTGTAACAAAACCGTATTCGGACCCAAAACTTATCAAATTATCAAAAACTGTGTCTGATAATTTTATAATCAATGTAAAATGTAGTGAGAATTGCTACCAGTGATGACATCAATATTTACTATTTTGTTCACTTTGAGATTTGCCATAATAGTAATACTTAGACATATAAGTTAACCTGTAAATATTGTAATTATACATAGTATACACATGTAAATAAGTGATCATACAGTAATGTGTAAACATTAACTTAACTTAACATGTAATTTTTAAAAGCTAGTTTATAGAACAACTTTAAATTTGTCAATTAATTAAGCTGGGATTGAATTATAGCGTGCTAATTGCCTGACTAAGCAAAATCATTTTAAATTTGAAAATTGTTTTGTGTGACTTAGCCTACAAATTTTTATTTCATTGTTATTTATTAAGGTTCACCAAAAATTGTACGTATCATTATGCGAAACTAAATTTATAATTGCACAAATGTGAGTGTGTCTCAATTTATGGATATAGTTTATGTATGTTTGAGGAATATGTTGGTGTGTGTTTTATGTTTATTATTTTCTTGACCATGCAACACAGTCATTTTAACTTCATCTGTTTGCACAAAGATACATTTTATTCTTGCCAGAAAAATGTTACTGAGTTTCATATTATAGTTTGCATTATACTGAATTTTTATATGAATAGGTGCTTATATGAATTGTTGTTTACACTTGATGCTATTATGTTCATTTACTAGTCAGTAGTTATTTTATTTGATTGTAATTAATTATTAGCTCGATATACAATGTATACAAATTTTGAGCTATACTATTTTTGTACTCTGGGGCCATCAAAACCACAAAGTAAGTTTCTCCTAAGTCGAGGTGTTACAGTTGTATCTGCCACATTCGACAATACCCTACAGTGGGAAAATTCACTTAAATCAAATGAGATGTGTTATCCATGCTGTTAACTAATGTCTTATCACTAATTGGCTATCAATAAGAATTAATTAGGAACCTAGGTATACAAGTTTTATCTATTTTTTTATTTTTAGGAATTGTATAGTATTTTTTTTTACTATAATTTTCTGATATTTTTAATATTTATTTAATTTGTGCCATTTATATAGTTCATATTGAACTAGCTTGTGATTGAAAATAAACAAAATTGTAACATTTATAGTAGTCTGATTGAGTTACTTCCATTAAACACAAGTTTTATAAGATAAAATTAAAACGAAATGTACAATAAGTTGTAAATACACACTTCTAACTGCATGTATCCAGTAAAAATTTAAGACAGCATTTTATTTAGATTTTTAAAATCATTGTGAGGATTTTATTCTATTCAAAATTATTTACTGTACTCAAAATAATTTTCAAACATATTTTAGCTACATATGTCAAACCCATTTTATTCTGTGGTATTGTTTTGAAGTTCTATTGTCTTGGTTTCTTTGATGCCTTGACCTTGATGGTCACTCACTGGGGACGTCCAAAACCTGTCTGTCTTCGTCTAGCTTCCGTCGCATAACCACGGTTTTGTATATGGTCTTCACACCAGCCACCGCTCATGTTCTCGTTTGATAATTCACTCACCCCATTTTTTCCCATTTACGTTTTCACTGCAAGTCCAGTCTTTTAAAGAAATAACTTTTTGTTATTAAGAGACCAAAAGTGTTGTTTTATCACCCGGATGCCAGTGTCAGTGCAGTTTGTGACATCCACGTAATGCTAAGTAGCCTCAAACTTTCTGAACTTCTCTGTGTGTTTTGACATTACCATACAACGTAACAAATATTCTGAACTCATCAGTTTTCTACTATGTGCAACTAAATCCAGATCAATTAAACCAAATAATTGGCGTTGTTTTTATTTTAAATCAAATTTTAAACTTTATTCTTCAAAACATCCATGGTTGCAATGAAACCACATTTTGGTTACCTCATTACCTTTATCAACCTACATCTGAGATTTTGTATTTCATAGAAACTTTGTTTTTAAACAAAACCATATAAATTTTAACCAGTATTGTTGTATTTTCTGGTATATTTTTTGTATAGTCCTTATTTATTAGTTTTTTTATTCCAATCTCAAGTGCCGAAGCCATTTTCTTTGGAGATTTCCCAACTTCGTATTCAATTATTATTATATTCTTTTCCATGTAAGGGAGAGAGGTTAGTATAAATTCTCTAGACTTCTGCCCAGCTTTTCTATTTGATTCAATTTTGTAATTGTTAGCTAGAGTGGACACTAACCCGCTCACTAATTTGTGATGGAACACGTTCTGCTCTGTAGATATGCTTTTGGTTTTCACTTTAGTTAGATATCTTTGTAACAAAGTTGAGAAATCATCAATCTTTAAATCTGTTAAACTTTGTTTTAGTTTTATATATTCTTCATCGGTAACATTTAACTTGTATGATACCCATTTTGAGACTCCCTCAGCAATCATGTTTCTTACCTCTAGATTTGGTATTGACAGGTCCCACGGGTGAATATAACAGTTGTATTCACATGGGCCTGGGACTGATTTGAAAAACCCTCCAAACAAAAACACTCTATGAAAAGTATCTTCAATCTTCAACAAATTTATCGGTTTATTAATTTCTTTCCTAGAGACCACTTTATCTTGTAAAAGTTTTTGGAGATATTCTTGTGGACCATCCATCAAATACACTTCATTAAATAAATTTCTCGATGCTCGTACAAGATTCCCCCAATAAAAATCAAGCTTTCCGTCATTTTCAATGCACGATAAAACTGACCAAGGATTGTACGTAGGAATCCTATCAAAATCAAAGCCGTTGTACCAGTTTTTAAGATGAATAGGGTCGACATTCGTCTTAACCGTTTTGAGAATATCGTTAACTTCATCGACGGTAAAACCAAAATAACTCGCAAACGTCATATCCACTATAGTGCTATGGCGAACATCACTCAGCTTTAATATTTCATTTAACCATCCAAAATGATACGTTCCAATCAAAACTGCTCTCTCTAAAAACCAGTTGTCCTTCAAAGCTTTTCCGATCATTTCATAAACCATGTCGAGGACTTTTTTGAAACTGTCCGACTTTGCTCCAAAAGCCAAATAAGCTTTGGTAATAGGCGCATCGTAATCGTCAATAAATATGTAAACATTCCTTTTATAGTGTTTGAAAAGAAGTTTACTTAAATAGAGTATACTGTTTTTTAATTGGATCCAATCAAAAATTTCATCTTCCCATTCTGCTTCGTTGATAAAATGGGTTTTATTTCCTATGCGTGTTATCAAATAGGGAAACTTGGAGTATAAACCAATAATTATTTGTTTCATTGAATGTTGGAATTCATCAAAGGAACTTCCTGAGATATCTTTTAAACTCAGCAAAATTACAGGATTGTTACCTTGGTGGTCCATCGCACTTGAGTATTTTGAAACTTTTAAAGGTTTGAGTAATCTTGTCCCACATTCACCCGTAACATTTCCACCGACAAACAATAATCTGTTGACCTTGTCCACATCTTTGATTGGATTGCCTCGCTTATCAACTTCAATTTCAAAAAACGTTTTAAACATGTCAATGTTGATGCTCTTGCCCCATTTGGCAGGCCGAGTGATAGTCAAAACAACCCCTCCTCTCTCAAGGTACTCGTTTAACATTTCACTTTTGTCTACAAACACAGAACTACACAATCGCAGCTTTTTGAAGTTTGTTGTATTCAACAATATATTTAATTTTCCAAAAGCTTTTTGATGCTCATTTGTTAAATGGTGTTTATAGCTATATATCTCACTGAGAAGTAAAGAACCATGAACAATCACCATAAATAGAGGCACATCGTAGCACAAACGAGATAACAGACGTTTCATATGTGAACCTAAAAGGAATTGACTGACGTGAAATTAAATGTTACTCAGATTCTTACGATATTCTTATCACAAAAGTAAGATTATTCAGTGATAATAATTTTACAAATGGATTTGTCATCAGTTATAGCTTAATGAATTCACTGCTAGCTGCAGCAGTCTTTAAATAAAAGTTCTCACCTCGTACAGTTTAGCTTTATGTGGAACTTCAGTAATATGCATCTATTTACCGACAAGAACTACCTTGATCAAAATTCTATCTAGGTTAACCAGTTTATCAGGATTTTATTCCTGCAATGAAAAAACCTTTAATTTTTTTAACATTTTTATTAAAAAATAATTCTTATATTGACATAATTAACATATTGACATAACATGATTTAAACACTATCAACATTTTTGATTGTTTACAAATTATAAAAATATTATAGAACACATTGAACTAAATACTTATCTTCTAAATTACCTGTGATTGAATTGAAGCATGTAATGTAACAAATTAAAAACAAACTAAAGTACGAATAAAATAATACAATTAATTATGTATGCAAATTTAGGCACTTGGAAAGGCACTAAAATATAGCATAGTAAAAAGTAAACCACGATGCATATAATTTATAACATAACACACTTTTAGATGATATTTTGTATTACACATAATGTAAAACAATAGTGAATGAAATCTAAGATTTAAAACCCTGTTAATGTCTGATCCAACACTTTTATTACGGTACGTAAGTTGAGTGGAGCCCTCTGACTCAAGGAAATTTAAGGAGAAAAATAGTTGTTAATCTTAAGGTGGTTTTAAAAATGAATATTTAAAGTGTTCTTTGAAAAAAATATATTCAACGATTTTCTCCATACGGAGTTAATGTAACATGAAAGCTCTGAACAAACTAACAAACTGTACATTATAAGTTTTAAGAATGCTTACATCGTTTGTACATATTTATCCAGAGAACACATCTAAAGCACCACCGGTTCATATAGGTAGAAGTGATGTCAAAATTTTTGTCTTAGGTTTAATTGCAAATATTAAAGCGTATTTCTTTAATGACAAAGAAGAATTCAAACTAAACCACTGTTATAGAATTCTTTCGGAGATGATTGTTGTTTAAAACAATGTGATTCATTTGTTTTTTTTTTGTAACCAAACAAAGATTACATATCACAGACAGAAATCTCTAAGCATCTGTATAACTGATTACATCAGTTGATCACAATTAAGAACTAATAATAATGGAAACTCAAAGATACCGCTTATGTAAATAAATACGTATTAAATGAGTAGTTTACAGTTTATATGACTTGATGGAACGAGAGTCTTTAAAAACACAACACTGTTTACACAGTCGGAATACGAGGGTTTGTGTGAAACAGCTGACAATCAGCAGAGAAGATCACATAGGAACTACGGCGATACTAGACAGATAAGTTGACACTCGATTGTTGATGTCGAGTGTTTAGCACCAGCAAATAACCATGGAGACTGTACACCCATGGCTCGTATTACTTCTATGACGTCTTTTTACTTTCTGTACTCGATGTGACTTCTTCTTTATGTTTTCTCCTGTAGCTCTGCAAAAAAGATTTTCATTCACTTTAACTTGGTTAATTTTGTAGATCTTTTAAAATGATTTTTTTAATGTTTAACATAAATTCTCTAACTAAAGAAATCTGGTATATTTGTTTTATCCTCCTTAAAGAAAGTGTTATTGGTCGAGCCTCTCTAAACCCTTGTATTTGCCCATCTAAAGGCCTTGGGTTTGCAAGTGTAACGTATTCAACAAAGCAAACAGGGCCGTATTTAAAATCTGGGGCCCCCGGCGGTTTAGACCAGAGATGCCTCTAATTCTTGATTATTTGGTGGCTTGTGACGTACTATTTCCAACTGTATCTCCACAATCTCAAATGCTACAAGACTCACTATATGAATAAGAGGAATTCTACTCTAACTGTATCCATCAACTGGCAAGAGATTGAGACATTATGACTAGTTACATGATAGTATGGATCAATCTCCTACTTTCAACAGCTGTTAACTACATATAACTCACGGCAGCGGCAATGTTGTGTAGAAGGTCTCGTGTGACTTTGCCAGTCTGTTCCACCATTCCATACAGAACTCCCTCCTGGTTCTGCAGCAGAATGTGAGGATGGTTGAACTCCTGCAAAACATTGTTAGAGAACAGTTCAGTACAAGACATGAAGTGTGTATGGTACTTTAACACTGTGAAAACATTCCAACATTATTTATTAAAATTTCACACAGGGCCTCACTAGTGTTCAACCAACGATCAATTAACGACTCAGTCCCGGGACAATACCAAAGAATCATTTAGAGTCATAATACTACCAAGGCGATAATTTAATTAGTTTTGTTGATTTGATAGGGTACATCTCAAGGACTACCACTAGGCTGTTTAACACATTTGTAAGGTTACTATGGTGTTCCTTTGTACTAACAAAGGAACACCATTAGTAGCCAGCAAAGATTTCTCAACTTGAATCACTATCTTTCTAGAAACTGTTGAACAAATTGGCTGTGCAAATGTGTTGTATTGTGTACAGTGTTTGGAAACACCCTAAGTTGCTGTTGCATATTTTTACATCTTGCCACTTTAGAGAACATGATTCATACTTGACGGGAGCATTGATTTTTCTTGGTACAGTTTTTGGCAACAATAAAGAGACTGTGTACAATGTCGAGTGTCCAACATTGTTTGTATTAGAAAACTGCATGAAATCATATAAAAAATGAAACTTTATTTAACTTATGACTTGCTTGTAAAACTTTAAAAAATACAATACCTACTGTTTTTGTTTGTGTTTTTACAAATATAAATTCAATCATATGTTAATTTACAAACAGTCTGTTAGGAGATTGAACATGCCGCCCACCTTGAAAGTACCACTTTCAACAAAATACAAAAAATAAACTATTTACAAAAAATGTCTTATTGATTGTCTTTGGCCTTTTCAATTTTCAATTGGTAATACACACAGGCGATTTACAGATCTCTTGAATGTTCCTGTAGAGGTTCGCACTGTAGCCACTCTAGTTTTTCCATCAAGTCCAGGATGAACATCTTCAACAATAGCAGTAATCCATTTTAAAGGTGGTAGATTGTCATCTTTGATTATGACTAGTTGACCAGGTTTGATATTATTGGCAGTCGTGAACCACTTTTGCCTTTGTTGTAATTGAGAGAGGTATTCCTTGGACCAACGGCGCCAGAAGTGTTGCATAAGCTGTTGTAATCGTTGCCACTGTGATAGACGATTTTCTGGCTTAAATGTATAATCTGGATCTGGTAAACTTGTAAGTGCTTTCCCAATTAATAAGTGACCAGGTGTTAGAGGAAGGGGATCTTTAGGATCATATGACAGAGGAGTTATAGGTCTTGAATTCAGGCACGCCTCTATCATTGTAAGCACAGTATACATGTCTTCAAATGTGAGATTGGCGTTTCCCACAACCTTCCTTAAATGCTGCTTTACGGACTTAACTGCGGATTCCCAAAGCCCTCCAAAATGGGGTGAATTTGGAGGCGAGAAATGCCATTTGATGCCTTGAAAAGATGTAGCATTTATGATTTGTTCTTGATGGTCATTACTTTTAAAAAGGGAGTAAAGTTCCTTTATTTCGTTATTGGCTCCAACAAAGTTTGTTCCGTTATCGGAATATATGTGGTTACATAAGCCTCTTCGAGATGTAAAGCGCTTGAATGCTGCTAAAAAGCCGTCAGTTGTTAAGTTGGATACTAATTCCAAATGAATAGCCTTTGTGGTAAAGCAAACAAAGACTGCAATGTAGCCCTTAATTAATGAAAACTTTCGAAGGCGGTTTGACCGTAAATATATCGGTCCGCAATAATCAACTCCTGTAATCTCAAAAGGCTGTGATGGATTCGTTCGATGTGCAGGTAAGTTTCCCATTTCAGGTTGTGTGCATTTCGGCTTTGTTTTAAAACATGGTATGCACTTATGGATGATTTTCCTTATAATGTTCTTGGCATTTAGTGGCCAATATTGTTGTCTTATGATGTATAGAAGTGTTTGAGGACCCACATGGAGATTGCGAATATGTTCATTTTCAATTATTAAATGAGTGAAATAGGATTTAGCAGGCAATACAATTTGGTGTTTTTGACTTTGATCTAACTTTGCGTTGGCTAGTCGACCGCCTACTCGAATGATTCCTTCATCATCCTTAAATGGATGAAGTGTTATTAGTTTGCTTTTCTTGTGAATTTGTTTTGAGTTTGACAATGATTGTAGTTCTTGAGGAAAGAAACGTTTCTTTTCATGTTTTATCCAATGCTTAAGACTGTGGTTTAATTCATCGTGTGTTAGAGGTCCTGCAATCTTTGAATCTTGAGTTTTACAATTTTTTATAAATCTCAAACAATATGCGGTGACACGAATCAGTTTCTGTAACTTGGAAAACTTCTTCAGTATATAGTCATTATCTGTTTGTTTTTCATTTGATTGAACTATTGCAGCAGAAACTGTGGACTTTCTTCTTTCTGGAATGTCAGTTGAAGGTGTTATGGAAGTAATTGGCCAGTTGCAAGGTTCTAACGATAACCAATGTGGCCCTGAATTCCACAAATCAGATCTTATGATTTCGTCGACTGTTAAACCTCTGGATACGAGATCTGCGGGGTTGTCTTGACTTGGCACATGTCTCCAATCTTTATAATCACTTAGATCCTGGATCTTTGCAATACGATTTGCAATGAATGTTTTCCAGCATGCTGCTTCTGCATTTAACCAGGATAAAACAATTGTAGAGTCCGTCCAGTATGTAACCCTTTCAATATGTTTGTTGATAAGAGCGGTTTTGACATTTGACATTAACTCAGTTAGGAGTAGAGCTCCACATAATTCCAATCTTGGAAGTGACTGTGTTTTCAGTGGTGTTACACGAGATTTTGAACAGAGAAGAGTAGTTTTAGCAGTTCCATCGCTTAGTTCGTGTCTCAAGTAAATTGCTGCTCCATATGCCTTTTCAGAAGCATCTGAAAAACCATGAAGTTCAAAAGTTCCCTCTGTTTGGATCATTCTTACACATCTTGATACATTAAAATTGTTGAGCAAAGTTAAATCCTGTTTGAATTGTAGCCATCTCTTGTGTAATTGTTCTGGGAGTACATCGTCCCATTTCATATTTTGTTTCCACAGGTCTTGCATGAGTATTTTAGCATTTATTATAATTGGAGAAATGATTCCTAAAGGATCAAACAGTTTTGCTATGTCTGAGAGCACAGTTCGCTTTGTTACACTTGTAGAAGCTGCCTTATTATCTGTTGATAACATGTACTTGTACTTTATTTTGTCAGATTCCCAAAAAATGCCTAAGGTCTTGATTGTGCTATCATTAGAGTTGGGAAGTTTATGTGCTTTTCTTTCCACCATATCATCTGGAAGCTCTGCTAAAAGTGCGTTACTGTTGCTGTTAAACTTTCGCAAATTGAAGCCACCACACTTTAACATACCGACCAGTTGATCTCTTAATACCCTTGCTTCATTAATGTCGTCTGTTCCTGTCAATACATCATCCACATAAAAGTCTTTCATCACTACATTGGAAGCTCGTGGATATTGTGATCTTTCATCTTGAGCCAATTGTTGAATAGTTTTGATTGCTAAGTAAGGAGCACATGCTGTTCCATACGTAACTGTATTGAGCCTGTAAATGAGGACAGGTTTTGAGTTGTCTTCTCTCCAAAGGATTCTTAGCATGTCTCGTTGACTTGGATGGATCCAGATTTGTCGATACATCTTCTCTATGTCTGCTGTCAGAACGTAAGTGTGAATCCTGAATCTCAATAGGATAGAAAATAAATCATCTTGAAGAGTTGGACCAACCATAAGCGAGTCATTCAGAGATATCCATGTTGTAGTTTTTGCTGAAGCATCGAAAACTACTCTTAATTTAGTTGTTGAACTGGCTTCCTTAATAACTGGATGGTGGGGTAAATAATACACTGGTTTGTTAGTTTCATTTGCAGTAACCTTTTCCATGTGTCCAAGTTCCTCATATTCATGCATGAAGGATTTGTATTGTTTTTGCAGTTCACTGTTATTTTTTAATCGTCTTTCAACTTGATAAAATCGTTTGATTGCTAATTCTTTGGAATCTCCTAGGGAATTTTGATCTTGCTTCAGAGGCATTTTGACAGTGTAGCGCCCATCATCGCCTCTTTGAACTGAATTGTCATACATTTCTTCACATAGTTTATTTTCTGATGTCATTGTCGCCTTTTTTATAGGTTCTTCTTCAATTTTCCAGAATGCTTGAATATTCTTATCAAGGCTTTCCAGTGTAGTTAGATGACAAGACGTTTCAGTTGATGACTTTTGATGGTGTACTTTGCCTCCAACTATCCAGCCGAGCTTTGTGTTCTGAAGTACTGGTGAATTTTGATTCTTTATCCTTCCATCTTCCAAAAGATCAAAGAAAAACTCTTGTCCTAACAAAATATCAACTTTAGATGGTTTGCAGAATGTGGGATCTGCCAAAGTGATATTTCCAGGGATATCCCATTGACTTGTATTAACAGTGTGTGTTGGAAGTAACCCTGTTATTTTAGGAAGAACCAAAAATGTTGCAGTTGCTTTGTAATTAGAATTTATTGACTGAAATGTTGCTTGTACCTTGTTTGTAGTTTTAGTTGTTCCTTCGTTAATACCTGTTACTAATACATTTGAATTTTCTTTCTTTAGTTTTAACCTTTGGCAGAGATTTTCTGTCATGAAGTTAGATTGGCTGCCATTGTCTAAGAATGCCCTGCACGTGTATTTAATTCCACTCGGACTTATAACATCCATCAATGCTGTAGATAATAAAATCTCTCCACCTTGGAAATTAGTACTTAGACTTGTTGTAGTAGTACTGGTATTTAATGCGTCATCACTACTTCCCTGCTTGTTGTTAAATGTAGCAGTTTTCTTTGGTTGTAATGATTTAAGCCTTGGGTCTGATGTGTTGTAATGAAGTGCAGTGTTGTGTTTCTTATTACAATGCTTACATCCTCTAGAATTGCAATGTTCTACGCGATGGCCCGGTTTTAAGCAATTAAAACAGAGTTTTGCTGCTGTCAATTTGCTTAATCGTTCTTCATGAGAAGCCTTAATAAGTTCGCTGCATTGATACACAGGATGGTTTCCATCGCATATGAGGCAGATGGATTCTTTGACAGAAACATATGTTTTCGTGTTTGATTTATGAGGATGAGCCAAGTGTTGTCTTGGATGGGCAGGTTTGTTATGGAGTTGAAATGACGTTGAGTTAGTGTGAACAATGCTGTGGTTGACGTTTTCTAACATTTGACATCTTTTTTGTAAAAAGTCTGTAAGTTCCTTTAAAGTAGGAAGTTCATTTGGTAGGGTTGAAAGTTCCCACTCCTTATGTGTGGTTGTGTCAAGCTTTGTAGTTATGAGATGGACAATGAATGGATCATTTTCATTAATCTTTATCTGTAACCCTTCTAAAGCCCTGATGTGAGTTAGAGTGCTATTTAGTAGGTGCCTTAAGCTTGTTGGGTTGTCCCTTTGTACGAGAGAAAGCTCAAAGAGTGATCTTACATGTTGCTGTACGATAAGCCTAATGTTTTGGAACTGATCTTTAAGTAAGCTTAAAGCTACGTTGTAGTTAGAAGCTAATAGCTCTAAGTTCTTTATTACATTAGCTGCATCACCAGTGAGTGCAGCTTTTAGGTAATGCAACTTTTGGACATCATTTAAACTTTCATTTTTGTCAATTAATGCTGAAAAGGAATCAAAGAAGGGCATCCATTCATCAAACTTCCCAGAAAAGCTTGGTAGATTTATGGTTGGTAGTCGAACTGAAATGGACGAGTCTGAGGACTGTGTACTGTTATTTGAATTAGAATTGTGATTAACAACAACTACGTCATTTTGTGGTGGTGGACACGTGTGTTGTTCAATAAAGTTAGCTATTTCTGCACAAAGCTCAAAATATTGCTGTTCAAACTCATCCCTTTCAGCTTCATGATTCAATTCTGAATCTGAATCAATATCTTCAATCTTAGATTGCACATTTTCAAATTCTACCCAACTTCCTTCTACCTTTTGTAGCCTAAGTTGTAATTCCTTTACATGATGACTTCCTAAACATTTATCAAAAAAGTTTTTACATCTTGTAAGTTTAGCCTTAATATTACTTCTAGCTTTCACTAATTGTTGTAACTGATCTTGCTTTGGCATGGCTTGTTAATGTTCAATAAAACTTGAATGAATGTACAACTGAATAAATATTGCAAAGTTTGTAAGTAATTTAAATTTACCTTAAGGTCGTGGTTTTATCGCGGGGCGAAGGACCAAAATGTTCAATGTCGAGTGTCCAACATTGTTTGTATTAGAAAACTGCATGAAATCATATAAAAAATGAAACTTTATTTAACTTATGACTTGCTTGTAAAACTTTAAAAAATACAATACCTACTGTTTTTGTTTGTGTTTTTACAAATATAAATTCAATCATATGTTAATTTACAAACAGTCTGTTAGGAGATTGAACAGACTGATAGTGGCACAAAGGTGGTAACTGGGTAGAATAGTAGAATATGAAGTAAAAAACACAGTTCTCTTGAACTCACCACAGCTGTTCCTGCTGACATGACCAACACCTTGTCCGAGTCCATGACAGTATTGAGTCTATGTGCGATGGTCAGCACTGTACACTCGGCAAACTTGCGACGGATAGTGCTCTGGATCAGGCCATCGGTCCTGTAACATGGAAATAGTTGAAACTCAAATAGAAAGAAACTTAAAATGTTATGTTGAGGCAAGTTGTGACGTAGTCTATTTCTGTCCCTAGAACAATTATGGTCACACACACACATTACATGGTCTACAGTCACAGTTTCAGTAACCATCTTCCAGACAGCATTCTGGTTATTGAACTCGCCTCAAAACCAGTCAGACTCTGCCTTCACTTTCCACATTATATTTGTGAAAATGGAAGGTAAATGTTACTTCATATGGTATGTGTGTGATTTTAATTACAGTTCAGGTGGTCCTAATTACAGTCCCAATTGGAGTTACATTTGGTGGGGGTAAATTCTTTGATCTTCTTTTTCAGTGGCTGTCAGAAATTTTTGAAACCTTTTTTTTTGACGATTTGAGAAAAATTAATTAGGTTAAGTAAAAGTTTTGTTAGCTCAGTAGACTTATCTCACTGGAAAAGAGTCCACCCTGGCCCCTGGCCGGAAAAACACAAAAACTGTACTTTATCACTCACTACAACAGAGTTAGAACAACATTTCACAGTCGCTGGAAGAATTTTCAACCCTGGAGTATGAAAAAACTATTGAGCCATTGAGGACTCTTTTTTTTGTTTAGGTAATCCTGTTAAGAAATCCTATCCAAAGCACTTGCGCTCAAAGTCACGTTTTTAGATTTAACACAATGATAATATTTTCTATGTATTTTGAAGCTTGTGAATCCTTTTACATAGCCATGTATGATGTTGAGGAAGCCAAGAGTATATACTCACTGAGGGTCGACGTTGGCCGTGGCTTCGTCCATGACCAGTATGCGATTGTTGCGGACGATCGCCCTGGCCAGACACACAAGTTGCCGCTGTCCCACACTCAGGTTGCTGCCTCCCTCCGACATCTTGCCATTCAGCCCTCCTGCCAGATCCTTGATGACTTCCTTCAGTTCAACCTGTTACACCAGACAAAAATTAGTAAAATAAAGATTTTCTAAGCAATTGGTAAGGGGTTTTTTATGGGAAAGCATAACATGAGCCTATAGTTCAGGGATTTATAGATAAACATAAAACATACATTTTATTCTTGCACATTTTATGCTAAAAGATGTATAGGGGATATTTTCAAAAACCCTAAAGGCAAATTAGGAATAATTTACCTCCTCGAGTGCGTTCCACAGCACCGAGTCCGTGTACTGGTCGAAGGGGTCGAGATTCTTGCGCACAGTTCCGCTGAACAACACAGGTTCCTGTGGGATGATGGAGATCTTGCTGCGTAGCTCGTGTAGGCCGATGGAGGAGGTGACAATGTAGTCGATGTCAATCTCTCCCTGCACCTCGGCCAGACGGAACAGAGCCGCAATCAGTGAAGACTTACCAGCACCAGTCCTGCCTACGATACCTACCTGCACAGAGACAACGAGATAGGTTAGTTGTGGTTGTGTGAAATCCATTAACTTAATTGAAAGATCCTTTCAAAATTATTCCCATGTAATCTTTACGCCGTAGTTCATCTACAAAGGTATTTTGATTAAATCGTTACCTTTTCTTTGGGAGCGATGGTGAAGTTGAGGTTCTTGAGCACTGGAGGCTCATTGGGTCCGTATGACAAGAACACTCTATTGAAAGTGACCCGACCTTCGTCTGGCCAAGTGGCAGGCGGCTGCTTGTCTGTAACAAGTGAACAGCTGATAGAAAAAAACAATAGTGAGAATGGAACTGCATACTACAATTATGAACCGACTCAGAGAAAATGTTCTGCGTGTTCTTTTATTTCTTACTTAACTGCATAAGTAATTAAATACAGTTAATTAAATATTAACTGCAAAACAACATACATGTCATTGTTTAGTTTACATATAACAGAGATCAGGAGGAGAAAACGGCTGTGGACTGAGGGTTAACCTTTTCACCCACAGTGCATTTGCTGATTGTAAAGTGGTTTGGTGTATACAATTTGAGCAAATTCAACTGATTTCCTACCAGGAGGAGATTCCAGTGGTGGTTCTTTCTCAATGTCAGTGTACTCCATGACTCTCTCTACGGATGTCATCTGGTTCTCGAGCTCTGCGGATTGTCTCATGCCCCACTGGAACATCCCTGTGAGGCCGATGGACTGTGTGATGGCCAAACCAACATTGCCTCCAAACGTCTCTGTGAACAGTGGCAGTTTACCATCAGTAGCTTATAGTTCAGAGCAGAATGGAGTTAGGAGTTATAAGAGGATGAACTTGTTTGTACGCCTTTAGAAGGTAATGTTTTAGACGAGTTGAAGAAATTCCCACAAAAGAGGTTGAAAAATGTTTTTAAAGGGAAAAATATTTTACCTAAATGTGTTTAATTACCCTCACATAATTATAATAATCATAACATAATAATTGGCAAATGGCAAGTCACAGAGAGGAAACACGCTTATGGGACGACCCTGTACTTTGTTATGGTATGTCAGTGTGTGACATATTTGGTAAGCCAAATAAATTACCTGATCCCATGAAGAGGAAACTAAATGTCACCAATGCAATGTAGATGAGGCAAACTCCATCCAGCCAAAACCCGAACGCTCTACTTGACGCAATGAAGATATACCATGCTGAAGAATGGAGATCCTATGACAAAGGAACATCTGTTACAAAGTAAAAGTCAACAACAAAATAGTAGGTGTAGAAGTGGCTTGGACTGAGTTAAATGAAACACTCAGTCAATTTTAAATGCCTGACAAACATTATTTAAGTTTTATCAAACAGTAAATGCAATTTGTTTGTGTGTTAGGGTGATGTTTGTTTATTAGTAAAAAGTATAAGTGTTATTAATAAACATGAAAAGTTTTATTTCAGTCATTGGTTGTACAGAATGAACCTTGCTTTTTACAAACCTAAATTGATGCAGTAAAAAGTTTTCAATTGGATTCAATTGCACACCAACAAACTTTCAATATACTAGTAAATGCGCTTAGTTCTTTGGTGAACAAATTTTATAAAATTGATCAGTGAAATGTTATGTTTTTCTTGGGATAGAAACAGTAAAACTTGAATTATTCCTTGACACATGTAAACATTTATTTACATTTTTTATAATTGCTAATTGATCAGGGGATTTGAAAGAAATCCAGCACTACTCTGTCATGGTTGGTGTAATAACTGCGTAATGTTGACTGAACAGTGCCACACATCGACACATCCTTGACAAGTTTACAATCCCTTGAGGTGGTTAAAGTTTCATGAAAAGTTTCCTACATCTTAACAAGTTTGCAGCAAGTTTACACTGCAAGTTACCTGGTGGTTGTCAAACTCCTTCTCCAGGATCTGTTGTGCGTGGAATGCCCTGATGGTGGTCAGACCTTGCAGAGAAGCGTTCAGATGGGAGAACACAGGACTGCGAGCTACAACAAAGGAGCGAATACTATCTCTTCCACAACAATCACAAATCCAGAACATTACTGACAATTTTCATGTCACCAGTCTCATAATTATGATAGTGATGAAGCTCTAATCGCAACTACAATGTAGCTGGATGGTCAGTGAAGCAATTGTACACAATGAGAATCTTAGCAAATTTCAGTAAAAGACAGCACCAACCAATTGTAATCAAATGCGACCTATGGTCAGAATATTAATTCTTAAAACATACATGGGAATGAAGGAGATTGTTAACAAAATTCAAGAATTATTGTGGAAAGAATGTTTCTCATAAGCAGCTAAGCCAAGAGCGTAGTTGCAGATGTTTGTTGAATAAGTACTTTAGGTGATGTAAAAGTTGAAAACCCTACCAATGTAAAGGTATGAGTACGGTTGTAAGTTACAACATTAATAGTAGCTTCAAGAATTACGCTATTTTAGGGCTAACATTATTTATTGAACACTTTGAATTTAATTTTTTTTCCAACCTTTTAAAGGTACAAAGGCGATTTAAATAACCCTTATCTACTATTTCTGTTAGTAATAAACACAGCCTAAAAAACTTTTTAAAATTCAAGGACAAATTTTGTAATCAGTAAAAAACTACAAGAAATTTATTCAATCTTATATATTACAAATTTATGTTGAATTTAACAGAAGTTTCATGCAGATTACTACAGTGAAATTATTCAGCAATAAACTAAAGTAAATCAAGATTAGGTGACTAAATTATAGACAAGCGGAGGTTACTGCTTACTGACTCCTTCCAAGCGTTTAACGCTGCGTGAGGTGGAGAGATAGAAGTTGCGCAGGAAGTAGAAGAGTATTCCGATGAACACGGTGGGAACCATGAGCCAATAGTTGACCAGGCCTACCACCACAATAATACCTATCAGGCTCAGTCCAATCTGTCAACAGAAGAGTCGTCTAAGTCAAGAAAAAAAAAAAAAAAAAAAATTAAGAGCTAAAAGCTTTGTAGACACTTTTTTAAGGTTCAAAGCATTACTTAGGCCTACTAGAAGGTGTTTTTAGAAAAAAAATTACTTTGCTTAGGAATATATTAAGAAGAGATAGACACAAAACCAACCCTCCTAAGAAAATAGTTTGGGGCGGTTGATAGCACAGAAAAAGTAAACAAAAAATAGATAATACACGAATCTTGACAGTTCACTAGAGTGATGGTAAAATTATTAATCTATGTGTCTTCAGAAAAAAGGCTCCATAAGAACCACATATAATGTTTTCTTTTGAAAATACATTTAGATTATTTTAAGATCTTTTGAAGAATCACTCTAGAAGGATATAATTATCAAGTTTAAGGAATTTGTTCACTTTTTTGCATGTTATGACACGCCAGCACTCTTTTTGTAGGCGAGTTAGTTCCATTTGCGGTAATAAAGGTTTGTTTAAATCAAGTACGACTCACCTGTAAGCTGTCTATAAGAGCGGCTGGCAGCTGTTCGTCAATTGACCCCATGTCTTTAGAGAATCTGTTGAGAATACGACCTAGGAAAATAAATTCCTGCATTAGACTTTTCGAATGAAAATAAAAATTCACATGAGAAGGCAAACAAGGGTTTAATTCAATGTCAAAATTCATTACTAAGTTGCAAGAATAGTATCATTAGCAAGGGAAAGAGTGATGCAATAGGAGAAAAATAGGACTAAATGTCAAAGAAATGTGTCAAAATGTTTCCATAATTAAATCACCATCATGAATTTAGAACATTCCTTCTAGGCAAGATTAAGGTTTTTAGTTAGAGCACTTACCAGAGGAGTTAGTGTTGAAGAAGTGCATGGTGGCGCGAGTGATGGAGTTGAACATGGTGTCATGCAGACGACGGGACGCTCGCATACACAGGTAGAAGAAGAGATAAGAGCGGAACAACGTGACGATCACAGTAGCTGCAGTGATAGCGGAGAACACATATACACACATATCTCTAGTGAGCGGCAGACCTGCAAAGTGTACAGCTGTGGTTAGAATATATCAAAAGAAGGCTTCAAAAGAAGGCACTTAGAATCATAGCTACAGTACCCCGAAGAAGTCCGTGCAAAGTCATCTTTCAGGCTTTTAGCGTTTTGACATTTTATGACCTGTATATTTTAGAAGCATTATTTTGGGTATTCAACAATTTGTCCATTTTCAGGGAGGGTCACACAAACCATAGGTATAACACTAGACATAAGAACCTAATTAAGCCCACTAGCCATAGATTATCACTATTTGAAGCATCACCTCAATATATTGGACCGAAATTGTATAACTTGATTTCTGATAATTTAAAAAACATTGCAAATCCAAAAAAGTTCAAACAAAAATGTAAAGAATGGTTATTGACAAAAACATTTTATTCTTTAAATGAATTTTTAAGTGGAAATTGGGAGTAAATACAGTAAATGGTCTTGAATAAGAAACAAATAATCTGTCAGGAACAAAGCAACTCAACTCTGCATTGGGTTCAGAATAAAGTATACAACCAAGTTAACGTTACCGTCTCAATGATTTGATTTGTGTAGTTTTTATAAATAAAATGTATCTGTTTGTTTTCTAAAGAATAAAACTTTAGAGATTAATTAACCAAGTTTCCAACATACTCAAGAGTGTGGTCTCTGTAGTGTTGGTGGCAGTGCTTGGCAGCATTGTCGTAGTCGTAAAGCTGGCGTTGGCAACCTGTAGAAGGGGTTGGGCTAGAGACTGCTGTAGTGGCTGGGCAATGGATGAGGCACTCTCAGACTTAACGTATCCGTACTCTTCCAAGTTAACCCTGTACAAATCAACCAAAAAATAAACTTTTTTTATTTATTTAAGGACATTGGCTATTTTTTAATTGGAGAGAAGGTCCTACGCCCTTGTATTTTTACTATCTGAAGACAGCTTGTTTAAGTCATGATCAAATGTCGCCTGGGGTAACAAGGCCTGCCAAGCCTAAAATCCAAAAGATAGAGGAAGATCTGTTACTTACACAATTCTTACATACTTACATTACACTATTCTTATACTTACCAATATGTGATCCAGTAGTCTCCACCACTGGCTAACAGCTGAGTCAATACAGCAGTTGCCAGAAAGAACATGAGCATACAACAGTTGCCTCCTGACTTCATGTAGGTCTTGTATACTCTGCCACTGACTGTACCCTTGGACCTCATCTCTGCTATCTCAGGAGGCTCATCCTGTATCTTGCCATCCTCCATGGAAGAGGCTACACTCCTCACTGACTGTAACATCATCACAACAACATGAGCATACAACAGTTGCCTCCTGACTTCATGTAGGTCTTGTATACTCTGCCACTGACTGTACCCTTGGACCTCATCTCTGCTATCTCAGGAGGCTCATCCTGTATCTTGCCATCCTCCATGGAAGAGGCTACACTCCTCACTGACTGTAACATCACCACAACAATATGAGCATACAACAGTTGCCTCCTGACTTCATGTAGGTCTTGTATACTCTGCCACTGACTGTACCCTTGGACCTCATCTCTGCTATCTCAGGAGGCTCATCCTGTATCTTGCCATCCTCCATGGAAGAGGCTACACTCCTCACTGACTGTAACATCATCACAACAACATGAGCATACAACAGTTGCCTCCTGACACCATGTAGGTCTTGTATACTCTGCCACTGACTGTACCCTTGGACCTCATCTCTGCTATCTCAGGAGGCTCATCCTGTATCTTGCCATCCTCCATGGAAGAGGCTACACTCCTCACTGACTGTAACATCACCACAACAGCATGAGCATACAACAGTTGCCTCCTGACTTCATGTAGGTCTTGTATACTCTGCCACTGACTGTACCCTTGGACCTCATCTCTGCTATCTCAGGAGGCTCATCCTGTATCTTGCCATCCTCCATGGAAGAGGCTACACTCCTCACTGACTGTAACATCATCACAACAACATGAGCATACAACAGTTGCCTCCTGACTTCATGTAGGTCTTGTATACTCTGCCACTGACTGTACCCTTGGACCTCATCTCTGCTATCTCAGGAGGCTCATCCTGTATCTTGCCATCCTCCATGGAAGAGGCTACACTCCTCACTGACTGTAACATCACCACAACAATATGAGCATACAACAGTTGCCTCCTGACACCATGTAGGTCTTGTATACTCTGCCACTGACTGTACCCTTGGACCTCATCTCTGCTATCTCAGGAGGCTCATCCTGTATCTTGCCATCCTCCATGGAAGAGGCTACACTCCTCACTGACTGTAACATCACCACAACAATATGAGCATACAACAGTTGCCTCCTGACTTCATGTAGGTCTTGTATACTCTGCCACTGACTGTACCCTTGGACCTCATCTCTGCTATCTCAGGAGGCTCATCCTGTATCTTGCCATCCTCCATGGAAGAGGCTACACTCCTCACTGACTGTAACATCATCACAACAACATGAGCATACAACAGTTGCCTCCTGACACCATGTAGGTCTTGTATACTCTGCCACTGACTGTACCCTTGGACCTCATCTCTGCTATCTCAGGAGGCTCATCCTGTATCTTGCCATCCTCCATGGAAGAGGCTACACTCCTCACTGACTGTAACATCACCACAACAATATGAGCATACAACAGTTGCCTCCTGACACCATGTAGGTCTTGTATACTCTGCCACTGACTGTACCCTTGGGCCTCATCTCTGCTGTCTCAGGAGGCTCATCCTGTATCTTGCCATCCTCCATGGAAGAGGCTACACTCCTCACTGACTGTAACATCACCACAACAACATGAGCATACAACAGTTGCCTCCTGACTTCATGTAGGTTTTGTATACTCTGCCACTGACTGTACCCTTGGACCTCATCTCTGCTATCTCAGGAGGCTCATCCTGTATCTTGCCATCCTCCATGGAAGAGGCTACACTCCTCACTGACTGTAACATCACCACAACAATATGAGCATACAACAGTTGCCTCCTGACACCATGTAGGTCTTGTATACTCTGCCACTGACTGTACCCTTGGACCTCATCTCTGCTATCTCAGGAGGCTCATCCTGTATCTTGCCATCCTCCATGGAAGAGGCTACACTCCTCACTGACTGTAACATCACCACAACAATATGAGCATACAACAGTTGCCTCCTGACACCATGTAGGTCTTGTATACTCTGCCACTGACTGTACCCTTGGGCCTCATCTCTGCTATCTCAGGAGGCTCATCCTGTATCTTGCCATCCTCCATTGAAGAGACTACACTCCTCACTGACTGTAACATCATCACAACAACATGAGCATACAACAGTTGCCTCCTGACACCATGTAGGTCTTGTATACTCTGCCACTGACTGTACCCTTGGGCCTCATCTCTGCTGTCTCAGGAGGCTCATCCTGTATCTTGCCATCCTCCATGGAAGAGGCTACACTCCTCACTGACTGTAACATCATCACAACAACATGAGCATACAACAGTTGCCTCCTGACACCATGTAGGTCTTGTATACTCTGCCACTGACTGTACCCTTGGGCCTCATCTCTGCTGTCTCAGGAGGCTCATCCTGTATCTTGCCATCCTCCATGGAAGAGGCTACACTCCTCACTGACTGTAACATCATCACAACAACATGAGCATACAACAGTTGCCTCCTGACTTCATGTAGGTCTTGTATACTCTGCCACTGACTGTACCCTTGGACCTCATCTCTGCTATCTCAGGAGGCTCAGCCTGTATCTTGCCATCCTCCATGGAAGAGGCTACACTCCTCACTGACTGTAACATCACCACAACAATATGAGCATTCAACAGTTGCCTCCTAAGTTCATGTAGGTCTTGTATACTCTGCCACTGACTGTACCCTTGGACCTCATCTCTGCTATCTCAGAAGGCTCGGCCTGTATCTTGCCATCCTCCATGGAAGAGGCTACACTCCTCACTGACTGTAACATCACCACAACAACATGAGCATACAACAGTTGCCTCCTGACTTCATGTAGGTCTTGTATACTCTGCCACTGACTGTACCCTTGGACCTCATCTCTGCTATCTCAGGAGGCTCATCCTGTATCTTGCCATCCTCCATGGAAGAGGCTACACTCCTCACTGAGTACTTCAGTATTTTGTGTTTCTTGTTGTACTTTTGGAAAATAGTAAAAAATTAAACATCTAGGAAATCACATAGAGATCTGGATAGATCTCTGTGTGATTTCCCAGCTTGGGCTGGGTATTTTCTCACATAATTCTCATGATGTTCAACTCCAAAGAACAATTTACTAGATGTATTTCCAGTTGTAGTACTTACACGAGCATTGAGTAAATCAATGTACGAGGTCAACCCTTCAGAAGCCAAGGGGATGTGATAGGAGGATGTGGTGGGGAGAGGCTGGAGAACAACAAGGGTTGGAGGGGGTGGAAGGGAACTGGAGGGTTCTCTGTGGGTTGGATCTGAATCATCACCATTCTCATCCTGGCTGGAAGTACAGGCACTACAGTCTACGGTGAGGGTTTAAATTGTAACCAGTAATAAATACTAGATAATCAGACTTAATAGTTAAGATGGTGTCAAATAATTACAACTTAAGACATGACATCATAGACAAAAATAAGGGTGAGTGAAGCCCATAAATTATCTTCCTAAACAAACAACTTAAGTTAAAAGCTTAGGTGTCCCAACAAATTCTGGACATCAGGTGGCAAAATTCCTGGTCGTTAAACTGAAAGGAGTTATAAAATATTGCGTTTTTAAATTAAGTCAACTATATCATAGTATATTCACCAATAGAAACATGTGATGTGTTAATATTTCATAGATGAATTGACATAGAGAGAGAATCTACAGGTTTAACTTCAGCAACCAATAGTTTGTAACAATTGTTGGATAGAAATGACTTGTACAAATAGCTAAGAGCAAATGTGTAAATGAGTAAAACAATTAAATTTATAGGCAATGAGTATATTATACATATGGAAGAATTTAAGAGCATTTAAAACAGCTAAAAGCCGCTGGCAGTTAGCAGAATTTAAACCAGGACAGACGTCCTACGCCCTAACCACTACACAATCCAGACAATTAATAAATGAAGTTGATTAATCATATGCTAAATCTTTGAACACATTACTTTCAGTATAGTTATTAAACCAAATTTGCCTTACTTATTTACTGTATAAAATTGTAAAAAATATTACCTGGATGGAAGCATGCCGTTTGTACAGGTTTCTGTTTTGATTGCCCTCTTCATTAGCCTCTTCTTCTGAATTGCTTAATCTCAGGAACTCCAAATTCCTTCCTTGCAGCTCCTGGTAGGTTCCCTCACTGTCTATGCTGCCCTGCAATGCAACAATCAAACCATATTTATTTAACCACTTGTTACATACATTTGATTTTACTTATCATTCTAAGAAAACATTGGTAATTGAAACACACAGTAGTCAACGGTCCTAATTTATGCATTTTCATATTGAATCCAGCAAGTCTTAACCAATATAGCTAGGGTAGGTAAATAGCAGCTAGGACAGTAAATTTTGATTCCTTCATAAAATTTATAAATCAGCAAAATGTAAAACATTACAGTTAGTTATCTACAATGTCATGGACTTTGTATGCAACAAGAACCATCATTGAAACAATAATTATGATCCTTACAAATGGATAGCTACTGATTTATTTAATTTTCAAATAGGGACTTGATATTCTGGACATAACAAGGCAACATTTCCCTACCTTAGGTAAACTTCATACTATATACTTACATTATTCATCACAACTACGTGATCGACCAAGCCCAGGTACTGGATTTGATGCGTGATCAAAATTACTGTCTTCTTCCTCAAGTAGCCTGTAAAAAAAATAAAAGCATTTCTATCCCATTCAACAACACATTACATACTTCAAACAGTTCACCAAACACAGTAACTAAGTGGTGTTGTCTTGAGGTTAAAAGCCAAGAATAGTAAGTTTGTGACTCCTGACATGCCCGTGTAACACTGTTTCGGTATTTCTACTTCTTTAGACCACTGCACAGGCAGGTAGGTCTAAGGTGGTAATTTAAGTAAAAAAAAACTTTAAGCACTCAAGAAAAGTAGCATACTTGCTGTAAAGTAGAAAAATGTCGTTCACATAGAACATAGACTAAATTGTATATTAATTACATTAAACTGTTCAAATTTACACTATGAATAAAATTGTTTTTTTTTCACCTGTGACACAATCTTCAAACAGATGTTTTCCTACATGAGTGTCCACAGCTGACAGAGGGTCATCTAGTAGATACACATCTGCATCCTTGTAAACTGCCCTGCAAATTGTACACAGCGTTACTTTCAAATGGTTTGCAGTAACTTGAAAGATCAGATGATAATATTATCAATAGGTCTTAGAGCCTGGTTGTTTAAGAAGGGTAGGACTACAATATAATTAATTTCATGAAGCAATAAAACTCGCTAGGAAAATCTAAAAAGTAAAGAAGATTCTGGTGTTTTTCGGACAGCTAGAATCACTGGGTCTGTCGTTTTAACCGTACTGCTTGATGAATGTTGAGTTGAGTACAAGAAAAGTCTGACCTGGCCAAGTTGATGCGAGCTCGTTGTCCTCCGCTGAGTGACACCCCTCTCTCTCCTACAATGGTCTTGTCTCCGTACGGGAACTGTTCAAAATCAGCCTTCAGAGCACACACTCGCACAACCTGGCGATACCTGTGACAAGACAACAATATTTCATTTACAAATAATGGTCCACAGATTGAGAAATTTATAAAATTACGCCAGAAGTAAGGCCACACTAATCTACAAGGCCAACACACCCCAATTGTCTTTCAATTCTTTTTCGAATACACACACAGTAGCCAAAGCAGAAACACACACAGCCCTGAGAGGTTCAGAATAACTGTGAATGATAGACTAAAATTTAATGAAATTAAATTACTTTAAATTTGGTTTTTTAGATTTTTAGATAAAAGTTTACTAGTTTGTGATAAATAAATAATATATATTTTCAAATTAAATGTCGTAAACGTTTGGGAAAGTAACCAATCTTAAAATCTGGTCATGATGATGGCTAATAAAGAAAGCCCAAATAAATACTGATTTTAAGAGCGTCGGGAAGCAAGGGGGTGTAGAGGAAGTGATTTAATTAGGTTGTGATTGTAAGAACTACGACCGTAGACATTAATTGTCTCGCTAGACATACAATCCTCAGACATACAATCCTCAAGCATTTTAATGTACTTTCATTATCCCCTAAATTAACCCTATTTAAAAAATCTACATTTCAACAGCCACGAATAACAAAAAGTTTATACATCTAGCTTTATACACAAGACCTACCTTTCTCTGTCGTAGGGTGAGCCAAACAATATATTCTGACGGACGCTACCAGCAAACAGCCACGATTCTTGACTGGCGTAGGACACGTTCTCTGGTATAGACACGCTCCCTGTCTTGAGAGGCAGTTCTCCCAACAATGCATGCAGCAGTGACGTCTGCAACCCACCACTGACTGCTTAGGTTTCAATACATTCAACAGACCAAGTGAGACACCACACTAGATCTACAATCAACATGTCTAGGACACATTCTCTGGTATAGACACACTCCCTGTCTTGAGAGGCAGTTCTCCCAACAACACATGCAGCAGTGATGTCTGCAACCCACCACTGACTGCTTAGGTTTCAATACATTCAACAGACCAAGTGAGACACCACACTAGATCTACAATCAACATGTCTAGGACACATTCTCTGGTATAGACACACTCCCTGTCTTGAGAGGCAGTTCTCCCAACAATGCATGCAGCAGTGACGTCTGCAACCCACCACTGACTGCTTAGGTTTCAATACATTCAACAGACCAAGTGAGACACCACACTAGATCTACAATCAACATGTCTAGGACACATTCTCTGGTATAGACACACTCCCTGCCTTGAGAGGCAGTTCTCCCAACAACGCATGCAGCAGTGACGTCTGCAACCCACCACTGACTGCTTAGGTTTCAATACATTCAACAGACCAAGTGAGACACCACACTAGGTCTACAATCAACATAGCTTAGGACACATTCTCTGGTATAGACACACTCCCTGTCTTGAGAGGCAGTTCTCCCAACAACGCATGCAGCAGTGACGTCTGCAACCCACCACTGACTGCTTAGGTTTCAATACATTCAACAGACCAAGTGAGACGCCACACTAGGTCTACAATCAACATGTCTAGGACACATTCTCTGGTATAGACACACTCCCTGTCTTGAGAGGCAGTTCTCCCAACAACGCATGTAGCAGTGACGTCTGCAACCCACCACTGACTGCTTAGGTTTCAATACATTCAACAGACCAAGTGAGACACCACACTAGGTCTACAATCAACATGTCTAGGACACATTCTCTGGTATAGACACACTCCCTGTCTTGAGAGGCAGTTCTCCCAACAATGCATGCAGCAGTGACGTCTGCAACCCACCACTGACTGCTTAGGTTTCAATACATTCAACAGACCAAGTGAGACACCACACTAGGTCTACAATCAACATGTCTAGGACACATTCTCTGGTATAGACACACTCCCTGTCTTGAGAGGCAGTTCTCCCAACAATGCATGCAGCAGTGACGTCTGCAACCCACCACTGACTGCTTAGGTTTCAATACATTCAACAGACCAAGTGAGACACCACACTAGGTCTACAATCAACATAGCTTAGGACACATTCTCTGGTATAGACACACTCCCTGTCTTGAGAGGCAGTTCTCCCAACAACGCATGCAGCAGTGACGTCTGCAACCCACCACTGACTGCTTAGGTTTCAATACATTCAACAGACCAAGTGAGACACCACACTAGGTCTACAATCAACATAGCTTAGGACACATTCTCTGGTATAGACACACTCCCTGTCTTGAGAGGCAGTTCTCCCAACAACGCATGCAGCAGTGACGTCTGCAACCCACCACTGACTGCTTAGGTTTCAATACATTCAACAGACCAAGTGAGACACCACACTAGGTCTACAATCAACATAGCTTAGGACACATTCTCTGGTATAGACACACTCCCTGTCTTGAGAGGCAGTTCTCCCAACAACGCATGCAGCAGTGACGTCTGCAACCCACCACTGACTGCTTAGGTTTCAATACATTCAACAGACCAAGTGAGACACCACACTAGGTCTACAATCAACATGTCTAGGACACATTCTCTGGTATAGACACACTCCCTGCCTTGAGAGGCAGTTCTCCCAACAACGCATGCAGCAGTGACGTCTGCAACCCACCACTGACTGCTTAGGTTTCAATACATTCAACAGACCAAGTGAGACACCACACTAGGTCTACAATCAACATAGCTTAGGACACATTCTCTGGTATAGACACACTCCCTGTCTTGAGAGGCAGTTCTCCCAACAACGCATGCAGCAGTGACGTCTGTAACCCACCACTGACTGCTTAGGTTTCAATACATTCAACAGACCAAGTGAGACACCACACTAGGCCTACTATTGATTTTGTTAAGCACAAACATTTACGCTTTTATTCTGTGTGTCTATTAGAGTGAGTGGCATTACCTTCAAATTAGAAAATTACTGGTCCTATAAACTCAATTTAGCAGTAATTACTCCTAAAAATGTATTTTTTTCAAATATACACACTTTGCAACATTTGACCAAAATGCAAGTGACAGGTTCAGTTGTACCAACACCAGTTAGCAATACCTTGCCACTGCCCACAGGCCCAATGATGGCCGTGAGCTTCCCAGGAACAACTCGCAGATTGATGTGGCTCAAACTGTCGTCTGCTACCTCAGGAGTCCATCGTGCCATCGCGTTGGTCACAGTGATGCCCTCGTCTGCTGCCACCTTTGTCCTTGCGTCCTCTCTGGGCGCTCGGAATATTGGCTCCACTTCTTCGTCCTTTACTGACTTTGTCTTGTTGGCCTTCATAATCTCTGGAGCTTGCTGTAGAGTGGTCTCGTTGTAGTTGAGAAATGTCTGTAAAAATTCATTTTTTTTTAACTGGTTTCAATAACAATTATTTTGATCAGTTTTATATTTGACCGTTGATAGGACTAGACATTACATTCCCATGTGAAAGTTTTAACCCATTTTGGAATAAATACTGCCGCTGCAGCAAACCTGCAGACTAAGTGAATTTCCATTTGCCTGAATTGATTTTAAATTAAATATATTTAAATAAGATTGGGTTTAACGAGTACCTAGGTTTGCAGCTACAGGGAGGCTAATAAACTGTGTTGTTTGGTAAAATATTAGTAGCTTAGTGTAAAATATATAAATTTGCCAAGTTTGATCAAAATATTTCCGTAAACAAGCAAACTACACCATTTTACAATATTCTCCATAAGAATAACATGGGAATTTTAAATTTGTAGCTTTTTAAATTTAGTCCGTAACCAATACATAAACACTTTGGTATACTAAATTATTTGTTATTTAAAGCTCTTTAAAATGCTATAGAGAGAAATTAGGAAATTTTGTGTTTTGAAGGTCAAAAATTAGAAAAAACCTATTTTTACCCAATTTAACGCCCGTAAAACCCGGTTCCCATGGCCCAATCATGCTAATGCAAGTTTATTCTGCTTTACACTTTCAAACCAAATTTTATCAAAATCGGACAAAAATTACTCAAGTTATCGCGTTCACGGACGTAGGGAAATTCGCTAAAATAAATGTAGTTGAATTGAAACACGGAGAGCATGTGCTGAGAATTCCAGTTAAATACTCCAACTGTTTAGCCAAGCCAAACTGATAGCACAGCTTAATGTAAGCTATAGTATATTTTTTGTGACATCAACTAACACAATAAAAAAAAATTGAGGGAGAATTATTCTACTCTGTGAGTAGCTCACTAACTATATTGTTTTTAATTTTTTTTAATTGCTTCATCTGGGCCATTTAGGTTGGATGTCTATACTTCATTGTCCAAAAATCAATGGTCATATAAATAGTTATTTGTGTAATTAGTGGGCAAAGTTGTACTTTGCTGCACACAAGAGAAATGTTTACACACACGGCGAATGCGAGTGTGGAAAGTTTCTCGAGTGCAACAAATGCAGTTTGCATTCGTGTTACACATTATATTTATCATACAGTTACTATAAATCATATAAATAATTAATTAGTCTTTCTAACACTGTACAACACGTTTTTAGGTTAGGTTTAATCCAAACATTGAACAAAATGGGAAACGCTGTACCAGCTGATCGTAGTCAAAGTATCTTTAAGGTAACCTATTTCCAGATGTACACGGATTACGTGCATAATAAAAGCACGCTGTTTTGTGTTGTTTGGGTGGAATACTGGTGTGTGACAAAGTAAAAAGTGTGTGGCAAAGTAGGCTAAGTAAATGCAGCAATTTGCAGTTTTCTGTACTATAATCAGTGCAAGGAAGCCCACTTTGTCGGGTGACTGTAGGAAAAATATATTGATCAATGGTAATGTGAATGTTAATCTTCAAAGCACTATAAGAAACATGAACCTTTTTGAGGAATTTTCCCTCATTCAATTTTTAACTTGTTCTCTCTTTTGTCCATTCTAAAAAACATTTTAGAGTAGGTATATGTACAGGTGAAAGGATATTTTGTAGTACCCGGAGTCGTTTGATAGAGATGAGTACTTCTGCTACATATCCAATACCTTGAGGGAAGAATACAGTCATGGTCTGTCTCAATCCATTAAAGTATGAAGCGACAACAAAAACCTGAAATTAGAGAATCAAAAATATTAGTTTGCAGTTTGGAAAAGCATTGTTTTTTAGAAAATATTATATTTCTTGTGATTGCACATACCTAGTTAAAATAAATAAAGGTAAAAACAAAATCAATACTGGTACATCTAAAAGTCTAAAATTGTTGGAAAATGAAGTTATATAACATGACAAGTATGAAAAACTTTAAGACCAACGAAGAAGTATTTTCAAAAATCTTTTAAAACTTAAAGGGACCTGATATGACTTGAAAAGAATAAGTCTTGCGATATCGTGTATAACTTCATGTTAAATTTTGAGGTGTCTATAATATCTACTATCAAAACACAGTTTAAAGTATCATTAATGCAATATAATAATTCAAATGATGATGTGGGAAATCCATTGACTTAATACAAGATTTGAGCTGCTGAAAAGAGAATGAAAACAAAGAGAGTAAAACACAGAATACCTTGACAAGTTGGTTATTAAAGGTTTAACTGTAGTAGTTTACATCTAACTATGTTGGATCACTGGATGAAATCCTCCTCTTCATAATTTATTGCAAAATAATTTGTTAAAAAGAATTACACGAATAAATTACTAACAACATAATTATTTTGATTGTAAACTATATTTTTGTGGCCATTCACACAATCATTACCTTTTCAGCGTTGATGGCGTTGCCCATTAGAATGTAAACAAAAATACACATAAAGATGGCAACTCTGGAGTGGAAGATGACGAAAGACAGCAGAAGACCTCTGATGTATGAGGCTCCTCTAATCTCTTTGATTTCTCGCCTGATGACAAGATAAATTGGTTAAAATTGAAAGAAACAACAAGAAAAGAGCAAGTTCAATTCAAAACTAATGTTACACAGGAAATGTTAAGGTTCGCATAACATAATGTACAGAATAATGCATAATGTACATGTATGTAAGTTACTGATTATTTTTTTTTTTTTTACTATTGCTGAAAACCATGTAGAATTTAAATATAAACCTGTGATTATATAATCATATTTATTAGGTAGTACAAAACTAGATGGCTTTGTAATGGTTAATCTTCATAAAAAGTAATCAAACGTTAAATATGTTTTGCTAATGTACAAATCCAAAATATTTACTGTATTAATTCATTCAGACCAATGATGAATTGTTATAGCACCTTTACACACTTTACAAGCAAAACAATTGTGTAAATTTGAAACTATGTTAATGAGTTATACTACTGCAATTATCTTCAAACACGGTACTTGATAATCTAACACTTGACACTTTGACAAACTCCGTAATAGAATTATTTTGTTACCTAACAATATCCTTATCCGTCAGGTCGAACTACATGTTTTGTGGCAACTGCCACATCATCAGGTTCATCCTCTTCTACGACTTGTCATACATTTAAAATTGAAAACACAAAACACACGTTGACATGATACATTTAACATATTTAACGCCGCCGGCCCGACCAAATGCGTGCACACACCGGGAGAGGTGTTCTAATTAATGTAAAGTTTTTTGTTAAATGTGTCATGTCAACGTTTGTTTTATGTTTTCAATTTTAAATGTATGACAAATCGTAAGAGAGGATGAACCTGATGATGATGTGACAGTTACCACGAAACATGTAGTTTGACCTGACAGATAAGGATAAGTTAGGTAACAAAATCATTTTATTAATATAAATCAACATCCAGAATGAGGATGGTTGTAGAATACGGAGCCAGGGAAAGGAGACACCTGTTGTTGGGCTGTGACGCCAACGCCCATCACGTGGCCTGGAGGAGCAGCGACGTCAATGAGAGAGGTGAGAGCTTGTTAAGTTTTAAAGCTGAATCTAATTTAGTTATATTGAACAAGGGATCCAAACGAACCTTTAGAAAGAGGAGAGGGGTGGTACTAAGGGAAGAGATTTTGGACATAACTTTGGCTAGCAATTATTTATTAATTTTTTTTTTTAGAGGTTGGCGGCCTCTTTTAACCTTGCATTTGCCCGTCCACATAGACTAAGCGCCCGTGCGTGGATCGTTTACAGCAAAGCAAGGAGTGAGCCGGTACAGTACAAAGGTGAACTGTACTGATAAAATGTTATCGGCAGTGACCAGGATCCGAACCCACGACATCGCTGCCTTGGACCCGAAGTCCGCGACGCTACCGACTGAGCCACCGACTCACTAAATGATAAAATAAATAAAACAAATAATTATGCGGCGACAAAGGTTGTAAAATGGGAGGTATCTGATGACCGCTCATCTTCGGATCACAGCAGTCACATTGAATAGGCTCGATCTGTACAAAAGATACCTATAGGAACGTGAGAAAGGACAGACTGGAACCAGTATCGAGAGGTGCTAGGGAACAGACTAAGCCAAATAAAAGGCACAGAAGGGCATAGGGTGGAGAATATGGCGAATTCTTTGAACGCGGCTATATTAAGCTCGTACCAAGAAACCTGCCTGGACTATAAAGACTATAAAGAACATGCGCAGGCAAGCCTGCTGGTGGAATAGTGGGTTAGAGGCCCTGAGGAGGAAGGTTCGCAGACACCTACTGGTGCGATAGCGGCAGATGCCCTTGGGCTGAATAGGAAGACCCTGCGGAAGGTGGTTGGCCATCAGCGGCTATTGGGTATTCCACGGACATCTACACAAGATAGGAATTCAATTTGAAAGCCTTTTATGTAGGAAATGTGGAGAGGAGGAGGAGACAGCCTTCCACGTGATATTTATGTGCCCAGCCCTACAAGGTCTGCGTATGGGATCCCTTGGCCTATCGACTGGAGATCAGAGGGAAGAACAGGTTACCATAGTCAAAAGGATCTCATGGTTCACCAAGGACCTGGGATTTGACGGAGAATGAGGGCCTGTGAATGAGGGTGCACAATAAGCTTTTCCAGCTGCAATGCAATCCCATGGTCACTAGTAAGCCTGGCCCTCTGTAAAAAAAAAATCATAGACCTGTACGATTCTAACAGCAGTCTTACACCTTTCTAGTTGTAGTGTTCAGTCCTTACAGTGAGTCAAGACAGTCCTTATAACTTCATACATTAATCTTCCTCTCAACAAAAATGTTTTCCAAAGTCAAAAATATTAATCAACACTGTACAGAAACTAAAACTGGATCACTCACTTTCTAGCCTGTGAGACAAGATAGGCGAAGGGTTTCTCCCACGTGTACATTTTAATGACTTGTATTCCTGAAATGATCTCATTCATCAGTCTGACTCTGCCGTCAGTCCGCAGAGCTGTTCTCATCCGCAGCCCAGACGTCATCTTGCCCAGCCACACTGCAAAATGTAAATAGGTTAAAATAATCATTATTGTTAACATTGAGACAGTAACGCCTCCTAGATGAATAGTTCAAACTGGATAAGAATAGAAAATGAGTGTAGAATGGAATATCTGAGCAGCATTGTTACTGACTAAGATCACTTGTGTCTTTAGAGAGGAACATTTTATTAGGATCACTATGCTCACAAGGACAGCTAGGCCAAAGTTTCAAAATGTATTCACTCACTACACATACAACATGAAATCGAATTGATAAATCCTTCTTAACCACTACTATTTTATAAGAAGTACCATCTTTTATGACACATTAAAGAAGAGAAATACAGATTTAGACTCTAGCTCTCAGTGAGTTCATTCAACTACACAATACTACAAGTAAAGTAACATTACCTTGCAGGGGTATTAGAGCAAGCAGCACAAATACACCAAAGACAGACGCAGGTCCTGCAAAGTCCCATAGGAAGTACAGCATGACGATCGTCTCTAGCGGACCGACCCACAGATAGTGTAAGAAGATTGTGCACATATCAAACCTGGAGACGTCGTTGGACAATAGGTTGACCACTTGACCTACAGTGGTCTGTCCTAGGGCTGTCTTATTGAGTCTCAGGGCCTGGAAACAATTGTCATAAGTGATTAGGTAGATGATTGGTTTTAGGGCTTTACCTGCATATCCGAGGGTTACTAGTTGATTTTGATCAAGACGATTCTGAAAACCTAGATGACATTTGTCATTGGGATATCAATTGATGATGCAGTCTAACAAAAGGTCGATATTAGATAGTTCCCTAAAAAAAATATATATATATAAGAAAATGCCAACAATTTTATCTGGATTTACTTTACAAAATTATAGCATCCTGGTGAAATTATTCTTTATGCACTAAAAATGTTAAATGAAAGGATATAAGTTTTATTTTCTTAGTTCATATTGACTAGCAATTTATATATGTAGATTTTTATCTATATGGACCATCAGTAGTTAGTTTTTCACACAAAGAGGACACAAACATTGATCAGTTATCTAAATGGTTTTATATTACCTGTCGTCCGTACCAAATTGTAACATGCAACGTGATGAATTATCTTCATTGCTGATGAATCATCCTCTTATGGGGTTTGCTAATTGTATGTTCTCTTCTAGTTTACACAATAGTTTATGGGAAAATAAAAGATGCTAATGTTTACAATAAGTTGCCATTTCAGTTATGGTTATAAAGTTTGTGTATAAAAAAATAATAATATACTAAAGCAACACACCTTTTATCAGTACCTTGATACTAAATGACTGGCAACTACTTTAACATGGATATTGAACGTTTTTTTCACAGTAGAGTATAAGTATCTCAATCAATAAAAGTGTATTAACCTATTGTTCTTTTCTTTTAGACAAAAATATTTAAAATAAAATCCTCACTCATACAATCATATTTACTACCGGTAGTGCATCTTTTGCTCGAATTTGAGCAATTACAAAGTATTACAGGCGTTATTTCAAAACGAATAACAGTCATAATTTCCGATGACTTAAAAGAGTCAACTCAAAGGTATAATGTAATCAATCACTCCACTCCAGTTATCGAAACTGAAAACGAAAGCTCTTGTGTGTATCATGTGTTTGCTATGAACAGCTGTAATTAATACAAATTATTTGTCTGTTAGTAAGCAAAATCTGTTCTTTATAAGAAATACATTGTGATTCCGATGGCCTGTGGGGCAAAGCCCGAGGACTTTTATTACAGGAACAGGTAAAAGGGGGGGTCTACACAAAAAATTCTTAATTTTGACACATCGTTTGTAAAACTCTGTCCATTATTAACGGAGGAGTATTGTTTCGTAGAAATCGCCTTCACGTATTATATATGAGTATTTTATTTCCAAAACTAAAGAGTTATGAGCATGAAACAGAGTACTCAAACTTTACCTTCCTGTATATGAGCGAGCAACTGGCCACTCTCATCTTCATGCCTATGTGCATCATGCTGAACATGTACGGATGCATGATGAACACGCTGAGTGCTGAACACATGACAACTCCTCCAGCGTAGAAGTACGCTTCATCCTTGCTCACAGTGCCACCTCCATCTTGGGTGAAGTACTCTATCATCTTGCCGAGGAATAATGGCTGGGATACCCTGTAGTGGAAGAAAACAATTACATGAACTTCCAGATGAAATTTTCCTGATTACAACTTAAGATTGTCAAATATTTTGAACTTTCCTCTGTGGTTTCCCTTGCCGCAGTTAATAAATTTGATACTGTGCTTTTTGAGTTTCTAATAGAAATTTATATTGTTCTCCATCAAATATAGACAATGTTCAGCATGCAGGGTTTGCATAAAAAATTCTGACCTCAAGCCAGACTCAGACGTGATTCTTCCAGGCGATTTATATGAACCCTTAACAAAGCCCCTATACTGTAATTGATAAAACAATAAAACAAACTATGGTATAGACGGAGAAAGTAAAATAACTAATTGTGCAATTGTAAGTATTGAGGTTTTAACAGGAAATTTGAAGAGTATCTTTGGATAGTTTCCTCAAAAAAATAAATAAAAATGACAATTGCCTTTGATACCACAAAATATCTCTTAAGGCCATTTTACCTGCAGACATTCTCAACTATAGCCAGGACAAGTCCATAAGCCATCAGTTTGGGTCCGAATATTCTGAGCAGAACTCTCAACAAACTGGGCTCTCTCTTCTTTATAGCGGCTCTCTTGCACTCTTCCCTCCATTTCCTGCAAATCAATTATAATACTATACATCTACATCAGTTAAAATCACTCTGCTGTGTGTATCTGTACAGAAGAATTTAATGGGTTACACATAAAATTACCAAAATGCAAGGGGTCAGAGATTGCATTGCTAGTTTTCTATCTTAATGACGTAATGGATTTTACGATTCAGTGTTGCATGTAGTTTCAAGTCTATCACCCCACACAGGTACATTATAGGCCTAAAACTGGCATTTCTATTGCTTTTCTTAACATGACTTGATCAACATAACTCAACTATGCAGATAGGAAGAAAGCAAAAGTAGCATAAACAAAATGGGAAAAGAATTAATTTTCAAACGGTTTAGAATTTTTTGAAAAGTTACTGATTTTTTTAGGTCGGTGGCTTCCTTTAAACTTGCATTTGCTCGTCCGCATAGTTCTGAGCTTGACTATTAATTGAACTAACCATTCCATTCCCATTTTGAACTTGTTGCTAGTATTTGATTAAAAATGGACGTATAGTTGGATGTATAGCCACCGACTAAGTGCACTGATATCAGTTAGGTACTGAAATCATAATTTTTTTATTTTCCAAGACTTACTAATCCAAACTGAAAGGATAACTTACTGTTAACTATAGCACTCTCTTGTATCAACTAAAAATAGTGACACAAACTAGGAGAGAAAATTTCAATTTAGAATACACACTCTGCACAATCAACTATACCATAATCAATAATAATAAATCCATAATAATAATAATCTGTACCACAATCAATTAACTCTTTGGAATAAAACTATTAGCTACAGCTGCTGGTCCATATAGATGGGATGTCTTCAATAGTCAATGCCAGAGCGAGGTGACTACTTACTTCTCTATTCTGTCTCCCAGTACGTTGGAAGTGTGTTCCTTGAGGGGAACGTAGAGATCTTCAACTTCCAGGTCTCTCTTATTACCTTCTCGGAACAGACCCAGCGTCCATCTGAAACAAGACGCAAACGTTGAACTGAAATGAGAACTGGTGCTAAATATAAATAATACCAGCCTTATAATTTGTTATCCTCAACAGCGCAATAACTTTGACTTATGGTATAAGTTTATATCACGCTTACACAGAAGTTCTACACTTATTTATTACCTCCAGCAACAGTGTATCACGCCTATAATAACTAGTGATGCTGATTGTTAAACTAAAAGTCATGGTTTTGTATTAACTCTATTTATTAAAACCCAAAAGTAAATATTTACAAACACAACATAAACAAATGCATATTAAACATATGTTATTTGTCATCTTCCCCTTGAGCTTGGAGTCCTAATCTTTTTTTATAAATCTATTATTTTTTATTCTTCTCTTTATACCTTTATCTTTAATAGAAACTAAATAAGATCTGGGTTGTTGAAGTTTCTTCTCTATTACTCCTTCATCCCATGTTTTATTGAATACATCTTGAACCCATACTTCCTGCCCTTCAGTAAAGCTATCTTCGATCACGGTTTTAAGACTTTCTATCATAATATGACTTTTGTGCTTTCTGAGTTTCTATCATTTTTTCATAGATGCTGTCCTCAACAAGTTTGGGTTTTAATAGTTCTTCTTTCATTGGAATTTTACTTCTTAAGTGTCTGCTGTTAAGAAGCTGAGCTGGAGAAACTTCAAGGTTAGATATTGGACTATTTCTGTAGTTTAATAAGTATAACCACAGATCTTTTGACATTTTTTTAACATTTCTTTCACTATTCCGACAGATTTTTCCACTAATCCATTTGATTGGGGATAGTATGGACTTGTTGTGATGATTGTTACATTCCATTCCTGAGAAAACTGCTTGAACTCGATACTGTTGAAAGGCATATTATCAGCAATCAGTGTTCTAGGTATCCCAAATCTAGAAAATACTTCTTTAAGCTTAGAAATAATAACTGAACTACTTTTTGAACTTATCTTAAGAAGCCTCAATCCACGTCCAAGATTATGAAATTTGGACATTATGGATTATGAACCGCTCTGTTTATTTGGTATTTAATAAACGATGGAGTTTGTGAAATTTGGACATTGTGAAATGGTGATTATTTTTGAATGTTATAGATTTTGAGCTTATGCAATTTGGACATTATGAAACGCTCTGTTTATTTAATATATTAACGTTGGACTTTGTGAAATAATCGTTGGAGTTTGTGAAATTTGGATATTGTGAAACAGTGATTATTTGAATGTTATATTTTTGAAGCTTATGAAATTTGGATATTATGAAACGCTCTGTTCATTTAATATTTTAAGCGTTGGAGTTTGTGAAATTTGGAGATTATGAAACGCTCCCCTAAACAAGGTTGTACAGATTATTTTGTTTGTATAAATAAATATATATTTTATATATGTACCTATAGTTAAGATGGAACAAGTTGTGTTTTGTTGTAGTAGTATCATTGATTGTAGATGTTCTAGCCGGAAAATCGTGGTACTGTATTGGGGCAGAATCAGTCAGGAAAGGGGTTGGCACTTTGACAATTTTATAGCTCGTGATAATGTAAGTAGATAAAATTAAATATAATTTGTGAACTTTAAAGATTTGTATTTAGTTCAGAAATATGTAGTTTTCATGAATCTCGATCAATATGTATGAATCTGATATGTAAACTGTTTGAACTTAAATATATGTAAATACTTTGTTTTCGACATGAACAAATTTGTATGCTCAAACTGTAAATCGTATAAAATCTTAAGTTAGTATTGTTAGCATAGTCATGTGGTGGTAAAAAAATCATTGCAAACATTCCATTTCCGTGTTTATTGTTGTAGCTAGTTTTAGAGTGAAGACTATTTAGCCAAGCCAAAATTAAAGGATTGAAGAGTTTTAAAATTAAAATTTGGAAGTCTAAAAGTCCACTTGATATTTAAATTTTGCCTTATATAAAAAAAACTTAATATCTCTGATTTCGGTTCCCAACATTAGCAGTACCTGTGCTGCTGTACCTATGAAGGTCTCACTCATTACCTGTACTTGCCTCATCTGTACAGTGTTCAGTCAGCTGACTAGTGACTAGTGACCAATCAGCTGATCATTGTTGTCGCCCGATCAACCATGCAGAACACACCGCGACGCCGACGCCCGACACACACACGACACAACCAACGTGCTCGGGCATACTAGCGGCTTCATTGCGTCATTAGCATTCTCATCATATTAGATGTGTCTAGCCTTTAAAAGGTGGACAGTATAAACTTCTGTTTTAGGAAACAATAATAATAGTGAACCCGTGCAAAATAACATATGAATTTAGAAAACAAATTCATCGTGTTATTTAGGCTATTGACTCTAAGTCAAAAATTAAATACAGTAATGAAGCCTTAGAAGGAAAGCAGTCCTTACATTTTCCATTTTCCATTTTCTAGCTGTATATGTATTGTATTTAGTAAATTAATAAGTTGTCAAGTATTTTATAGTTTTTTTTTTATGATTTAAAAAAACTGTTAATAACACATTTTAATAAAACCAATATGTAGCATATTTGAAGAACATAAAAATGCTTCTTGAAAAACCCCCTTTTAAAAATAAACACTAAAAAATATATTTTATTCACAAAAGTAGTTCCTTGAATACTTCGTTTTTAGTCGTGAAATCACCTCCAGGAAGATTACCCTGGTCAGAATTTTCCGTGATGAATATGCGTACACCAACAAAATATGTAGGCCTACTTAAAGCAACATATAGTTGCCCATGAATGGCGGTAACGGTTCAACGGAAAAGAACCAGTACCGTACCAAAAACCAACGTTTACAGTTAAGAACTAAAGTACATCCGACCAATTATATGCGTTAATCAAGGTTATTAATCTATTGGTTTTGGATTTTCTCGTAAAAAGTTATCGGCAATCAAAGTTATTTCCCATTATTTGCTTTATTTGTAAACAACTCTTAATGTAAACTTATCGGTGTCAGTTTGAAAAAAATAACCTTATACAAAAACTTTCTGTTATTTAATAGATTACGTATTCCCTAAACAATGATTGGTATATCTATTAACATTAGAAGGAAATGTGACAAAAATCACACAATATTTCTACTAGAATACAAAATTTTAATCATTAATAATTGACGAGCTTAATAAAGAATAATCGGTTACTTCGAGTAATTTGGTATATCACGGAATTCTGATTAGGTTTGGTTATGTACGACAGTTTCATTGACATTCAACAATTAATTGATTCTGGGTTTAAAGGGTCATTGAAAATCAATGCTAAAATCCACAGAATAAATCCACAGACAGCTCCTTTATTTATTACGTGAGAAATATCAAGATAAATTGATCTTTATAAAAAATCTATGAAAAAAACAACGAACGTTCTTGGTCAATCGAAAATATCGCACCCCATGTATGTGACACTTCCCACAAATTATTTTGTCGTTCTCCTTGCCTTGCACAACGTTGATAATTTAGTAAATTTAGCAGCTGAGCCGCCTGACCTTGGCATGTATACGCCTAGTGTACGAAACTTAACTATCAGTAGAACACGTGTGTTGGTCCAACTAATCATCCCACTACGTAGGACTGTTGGATACATTGTAACGAACTATAGCGTACTTTATTGCTGAATTTCACACCATGTACAATTCCTAAGTTCAAACCCCTGTCCGAATAATCTCATCACATAGCCATTGAAATAATACTTGGAGAGTCGATGTTAATATTTTACACTCCCCCTAACTGCTTTTTATGTCACGTCTTCACATCCTAACACTAGACTCTAATTCTAAACAGTTTTTTTTGCATTTCTTCAGGCTAGTCCTAGAGGTTCCCGACATTATCACATTGCTAAAGTCCATTGATTATTGGCGGTATTTGAACTCCGGACCTCTCCTCTAGACCTACTCGGAGACCGAAGCCTCGTGTTCTACCACAAGACCAACTGGTTCTCTGAACGGATTTTATTTATATTGACTATTTAGTCAATTATATTAGTTGGCACTTTTAGTAAGGTAATATAGATTTTGTAACCTAAAAAAGTTTAACAGGTTAAAGGATAGTGTTAAATAGAGCACCTCTTACGTTTTTCTTCGTTTAGAATAGCGAGCGGTGTATTTGTCATTAGTTATCTTAGATCCCCAAAATAGATGTATAGACCCTGCGCTAAACACATTGTTCTTTTTATTGTACGTAGGAAGTGAGGCTTCCACGGTCACCATAACTAACACAAAGTCCTTGGTCTTCTGGGCACGACCGCGTCGGAAAACTAGGAGAAACACTAGTTGCTGACGTAGCTTGTGACAGGCAACGATGCAGTTGTTTATATAGTTGGTGACAGGCACTAACTCACCAGCTCTGAAGATGGCTTTCTGCAACGAAGCCGAAACGTCAGCAACTAGTGTTTCTCCTAGTTTTCCGACGCGGTCGTACCCAGAAGACCAAGGACTTTGTGTTAGTTCTTTTTATTGTGTTTACCCAATGCAATGTTCAAATAAAATCTACACTATATTTATTTTCATTCTGTCTATGTATTCCATTCAATCAAAACCCCTTTCACTCCCCATTGCTGGATAACACATGCCATTCATCTAGGTAGACGCTACACTGTCAGTGAAAGTATACAATTGTTGGCATATAAGAGAACTATCGTTAACAATGTATCTTATTACTTGGGTTTCCTCAGTCGTCGCGATAAGGTTGAATGTTTCCCGACCATCTCCTATAACACTTCGGCGACATACTGTATATGTAAAGAAAAACAATGCTACGAAAATATTTCTTCACATATAACTTATATTCTACAAAATTTAAGCATTCATGAACGCTAATAATTACAGCTCTATTTAAACTTACAAAGGTAATATGTGTTTAATAGACGTAACATATGTTAGCCAATACGTAATCAGCTGTTAAATTGGGTTGATCACGAAACGTGATTATCAAACTCTAGTCTAGTACCGGGGGACCGAGAAAATCTCAGTATAGTTTATAAAGGTTATATAAAGGGAAAACTTCAGCATGAGCTCTTTCGTATGATGGTTTAGCTGAAGACAGACGAGTCCGATTAAAGTGTATATTGATTGTTTACTATAAAGATTATTGTAATAACGGATGGTCCATAATAACCACTAACATTTTGATTTGTGACAGCTCAGCTAACTCATGGGTAGAGAGATGATTTTTGCGTTGAATGGTTCCTTAAAAAATAGCATTTTTTTAATATTAATGTTTTTCAAACTATTCAACTTTTTTAATGAAGGTAGCATTAAAAATTAATAATGTGTGAAATCTAAGCAATGTTTTTTTGCGGGTGTGTAATAAATAGATAAAGTGATAAATAAAACAAAGCTGTGTAAAATAGCAATTACAGTTTACTAAAACTCAAAGAAATATTTACAAAATATTTACATATCTATATTTGCAAAGCTATATTTACACCCCTCATGTGATGTCCACCGATATCTTAGCATGTTTATAATCTTTTTTTGAAACTTGAACACCCGTCGTATCATCGGCATTGGTATCGCGGCAATTTCTTACGGTCACGGATGCTGTTCCTCAGATCTGCAATATTTTCAGTTTGGGGTTTCGTGGCGAAAACCTTGCTCTTCAAGTAGCCCCACGACAAGAAATCACAAGGGCTGCAACCGGGTGATGGCGAGTTGACGATAACCGACGATAGTTCAACATTGCATAGATTTCACTCATTATTTATTTTTATGCCACCTTAATTAGAAAAGTTGAATAGTTTGAACAACTTATGCAAAAAATATGTTAATTAAGGAACCATTTTAACGCAAAAATCATCTCTCTAACCCACGAATTAGCTGAACTGTCACAAACCAAATGCAATCAGTTATTATGGACCACCCCTTACAATTAACTTTAATACTATAATTCAACTGAATTCCAAATTATGTGAACTATAAAAATAGTGCATAACAATTGTAAAATCCACCCTTAAATAAGAGTGAAAAATTGAGTTGGCGCCAGAGTGCACTCAAACGTCACCAACACGAAAAACCTCATCACTTGCTCTTTCCCTTACATCGAGTTATCTTCAGTGTAATCTTTGCTCTATAGTTACAACTATTTTTTTCACTTTGTACTGTATTTTATAATTTGCTAGTATACTGTGGATGGCTTGTTGTTATAAACACAAAATGTTACAAGTCTTTTTACTTTTTACTTTTTACTTGTTATTTTGTTCAACCAACATCGTTACTGGGCAACCCATAAGGCCGATGTTAAATTTTAAAATTTTCAAACGAGTTTTGTGCGATTTTTGTCAAGTTTACGTCCAATTTGTATCACAATTTTTATCTATGAAATAACGAACAGCTGTTCGGATCAAGATTATTTTTTCTATCTGTCACTGATATGTTTACAAATGTTGTTTACAAATACCATTACCGTGACCATTTCCAAACACGTTTTGAGAGCGAATCCCAACCAAGTGAGATTAGAAAAGTTTTTCTTTCATAACGGATTTAATTAATCGCAAGTCCGTAAAGTGTAACCTTAAATGAAATTAAATAACTAGGCATCATCCAGGTCAGGAACCAGAGATCATTTGTGTATAAAATTGTTCTTGAGTTTTGATAACCAGGAATAAGACCTTGAATCAATGTTGTATAGGGCTGGGAAACTTAATATTCACATGGTAGTGAATATTAATTAATAATTAAAAACACGTTGATGTCAGTGGCTAGAATTTCCAATAATGCGTAACACCTCTCTAAATCAACCAAATGTGATCAACCAAAGGGTATAACCATCACGACTCAAGAGAAGATGGTGAAATCGTCGAGTTAACACGAGGTAAGATTTAGAGCAATGCACTGATAGAGTAAGACACGATTTAAAACTGTCATGATGCAGCATCGTTTCTCATATTGCTAGTGATTTGCAGAATGGCCAATAATAGTATTCTATCGCCCTCAAACAACCAGAACAGTGTTACATAACCAACAGACTCCAGAAGTTTAGCAAAATCGTTGAACTCACGCGAAGGTCAGAGCGGAGAAGACGTTGGCAGTTTCCCGCGGGTGCGCTGGTTTGTCTTCCTTCTTCTTCTTCCCATCATCCATGCCTCCTCAGCACCTGGAAAAGACAACCGTTGTTAATTTAGAGGGTTGACATAATTTTTAGAGCCAATCAACAATAGTTTTATAGAAATGGGATTAATTTAGAGGTGCCAAGAGAAAGGGAAGCGAAAGTATTGACTGAACAGTTGGCGACCGTTTTTTACACAATTCAAATTAAGGATAAATCCAATGTATTGTTGGGCGCAGGAAGATAATACACATTGAGACGTCCTTAATATGATTCCATTTCCTTCGCCACCATGTGACGTAAAATTGTAGGGGGGAATAAACTCGTTTTTACACAAATCAGGCTAGGCCTACGCTTAGAATCAGCCACACTCGAATTTATCCCCCAGAGTGCTCAAAAAAATCCAGGGGTTCCGAAGCTGTTAATGGTTTTGACTGATTGATTTTTTAAAATCAAAGGTTCAGAGCTCTAGAAGTGCCCAGGAAATCCTACAGACGCTCAGTTGGAGCTATATCATCCTCACCTTGGTCAAAGTTTTTGGAAATTTTTACTAGCTTTTAGAATGACTCTCTAGGACAGATGAGTATAGCCTCGTTCACACGGGGCGAGTTTACAAGCAACACGCCGGCTTTTATACACGCAGCTAGTAAAATAGCTCAGTGTGAACGACGTACTCGCTCAAAAGCTGCTTGTAAAAAAGCAAATTTTATCAAAATGTGTCCTCCCTTTATAAAATGCAAACGCAAAGCTTGAGTATAAATGCAATAAGCATTTAATACTTATATGCCAACCCCGTACGAAGGACGGGTACTCTGCTAGTTTTCAATAAATCATTCGAATCACATCGGTTTAACTCTGCTAAAGGCAGCAAACATAATTGTTTGTGAATAATTACTGGTTTAATAAGGTAGCTTTGGCCTTGTGGTTCATGGTGATAAAAAATACTTTCCTGATTGGAATTTTTGAAATTGTCTTCGTTAAATATGAGAAGGCAAATAAAGGTGTGTTGAGGTTTAAGCTTAGTTCTTGGCCAAACCCGCTAAGTTAGCATCCCTACCCAGTTAATATTTCTAAGTTTTAATCTCCTTTTGTTATGGTTTAACAACATTAACAAGTGTAAAGTAAAGGCATCCCATTGACCAAACTAACTTAACCATAGATTTTTTCTGATCTACATAAAAAAACTACAATTAGTGCAAATTTATGTGGTGGTATTCCTCTTAAAGGTGCGATTGATGTTACATATTCTATCAAATTAGGCCTAGCCATCGGCTGATTATTAACTCTTTTGCGAGCAACAAACCTGTTTAAAATTTCCAAACAATATTGTTTTTCCTTCCATTGGAACTTGTCTATTTCCTGTACGAACCTATTCCTTCTTTATGTTCCAGGTTATGTTCTAAGAGTAGCCGTTTAGGTTATTCCACTTCATACAAAATATTGATTAAACACTGCAATAAATCTCAAATTTAAAATAAAGAAAGTGTAGAATAAATCTAGAACATATATTTTGAAATAAAAACAAAGCAGAAGTTTTCCATTTAATCTTTTTACTTTCTCCCCCTATACCGTAGTATACGGAGAAAGTATTGTTTCGAGTTTGAGTTTTGAGTGGATATATTCATTTTAGGTCCCCCTGGACCCAAATAAGTGGTTTTCGAAGTGATGTCTGTGTGTGTGTCCGTTAGCACGATAACTCGAGCAAAAATGATCCGATTTTGATGAAATTTGGTATAAACGTGTCTACATTTATTCGAACAAGTTCGTGAACCAGCATGATCGGACTATGGGAACGGGAGTTTATGGGGGGTTTTATGGGGTAAAAATAGGGGTTTTCCCATTTTTTACCCTAAAAACACAACATTTCACAATTTCTTTCCAAATCATTTTGTAGAACTGAAAAACACAAATAATTTAGTATATTGAAGTGTTAGCCTATTGTGCACCTAATAGTTAGGCCTACGGACAATATTAAAAAAAATTAAATTTAAAATTCTCATGTTATTTTTATGGAGAATAAGTCAACTGTATTGAGGTACATGTTTAGCGATTCAACATTTAAAAAATGAACCGTTATAACAATTCAAAAGGAAATGCATGAAAACATTGTAATTTGTGGATATTGTACATTGTAATTTTGTAATTGACATTGTAATTTTGTGTTATCACAGTATGAACACACCGATAACACTACTCTTAAGAGTTTATACATATTTATAAATGTATATTCCTGAAGTGTAAGGCTATACATGTGTTAATGATTGAAGCCATCCCAGGACAATCTAGTAAATAATAATGGCCACCCCCCCCTGTATTTCTAAACGAAGAATTTAGCGTGATAAGATTTAATCAATTTAAATTGCTTTTCTTCGTGGTGGATCGGGATGCTCCCAAAACTTATTCTTTCACCCGCAAAGATGGTTTTGAACTCTGAGAGTCTCGGGGTATTAAACGGCGAATTAACCAAGATAAATTTAAACGGTAAATTATAAACAAACGTGACTGTTATAGTTTCAGATTAATTAAATTAAGCTAACTTACGGCCACCGCTCGTTACTACTGGCGGGTATAAAACAAGTCGGCAAAATCTACGTTATTAAATTTAGATATCTTAAATCGAATTTGAATACGAGAATGCGTGTTATAAACGAAAATTAACGTAAAACGTGATCAACTATCAGCTAACCTTCGGAATATCGGCGATCGGCGTATACGATAAGCGTAGACAGCGTAACAGCGTAACGATAATGTTACCTGATCGAAAGCGTACTAACGAATAACCTTCTTCTATTTATGGTCATTGATAGTCGATATATCGGAAATATCGATGTTTGTAAGCCGATAGTCGATGTTTTTTTCCATCGATAGATTTCTTCCGATACTGTATATTTTTAGCATCGATATTTTACTCCGATATAGGCCTATTGGTAATATCGATGCTTTTACTCCGATATTTATTTATTTTTCACTTAAACCTGTCACTTCGCATCGGAAGTAATTATTTCTCTAGTTTAAGTTAAAACTACAGCTACGAGGTGACATGGCAACACTGTACACACCAAAGTGCCGAAAGTGCACACCAAAGTGTCAGTCAGTTTGTTTGGTTCACTTCATCACTTGTTTAATGCTACTTTTTAATTAATTATTTACAGTTCAATTTATTTTAAGTTATGTTAAACAAACGTCCAACAAGAATATTTGCCATTGCCGAAAGTAAGAAAAATCAGCCAATCAAAATCAAGCTATTAGCTCTGTTATTCTTCTCTCTTGGTTTAACCTTATTTAACCCATAGATCGGCAGTTGAACGGCCGGAGGGTTAACTTAAACCTTTCCAATAGTGAATGCTTAAACCTAGAACCGAGAAATTATTTTGGGGAAAGTGGAACTAAATGAAAATAGAGTCTAAACCACTATCAACAGATTTAAAGTTAAACTAGAATTGGGGAAAGCGGCCCTTTTGGGATAAGGACAAAGAAAACATTCAGAGGCTAACTTTTTTGGTTATACCTATTTTTATTTTCCTGTAACCTACAAAATTTTAATGGAATAAAGAGATATATTTAATTTATTTAGTATATAGTCGATGTTTTATTAAATATCGATGTTTTCTCCGATATCGATATTTTGACTTCGATATTTTTTCACATCGATGTTTAAAGGCCGATATGACTATCGATACTAATATTGATGTTATTGGTTCGTTCTATGTCCCAACACTAGTCCATTTCTCATGATAAAGGTTGTTGACAAGCTTATGGGAGAAAGTATGTGTCAGAATGCTGATACCGTTTATTATTATTGTTATTGGGTTTTCTTTTTTGTTGTTTGTTGGAATGTACACACTTTTAACTCTTCTATTAAAATACTTTTCTCTTAATTATTTGGTCGTAAGTTTATTTGAACTATACTAACAACCACGACCAAAATGGTGACCCCGACTGTTATCTAATGATTGTTATTTTCTTTGAGGAGTTTTATCCATTTTTATTTCCTCTAACAAAGATGTAATTGGTTGAACTGCAAATGAGGAACTGCGCCAAGCTTCGGACAACACATCACTTCTCATAGTCGCATGGTGTAGGCGGCAGAATATGAGTCATACCGTCATACTGGCCACCGTACACATCGATGTCTGAGCGTGACACTGTATCAGCCTCTTCCCACTCACACTCCCCACAGCCATCTAAGACACAGATCATCCAAAAAAAAAGTCCCAATGATAAATTATCCTTGAGTCAAATTTAATTTATAATGCCGCAATGGATATTAGATGGCAGTGGTAGTGTGAGGAGAGGTCCTGACAAAGACAAATCACAACTCCAAGGATGAAGAGGATTTTTTTCAACCACTTGGTAGCTTGAGAATGAACCTAGGCTCAAAACCTTCCACGCTTGTAGGTAGAACCACACTTGTCCATACTTGTAGGTAGAAGTATTTATGTTGTGTCTCATGTATGTTATTCTGTTTCTTTATTTAGAAGGGAACAGAGGGACAGAGTGGTCGGTTTCCCTGGAAGGTTCCACGCGCTCGGCCTCAACTACGGCGGTTGGCTGTACAACTCAAATTACTCTTGTGAAATCTCTATGGTACTTACAGGTCTGTACTCTTGTCAAACAAACATCTAAACTAGCTTGTTGATTGTGAAACGGTGAGTAGGGGTGATTTTTAGAAGCTGATAAAAGAGGTGATTGCAGAGGCATGGTTGGGGTAGGGTTTATTTTCAGGAGGTGTGGAAGGGAGGTGCTACTTTGTAGGAAGGATACTAGGGTGGTTCAGAAGGATGATATGAACTTTGTCAAGTGGTAGAGTTTTACCACTTTCTCTCCACTTGAAAAGTCCTCCAGGGGATAAAATATTGTGTGTACGTCTCTTTTGAATGTTCTATGGCCTTCCTACACTTCTTCAAGGTAAGCTAGCTGCTATCCTCCTTATAGGCCTACAATTCAAAATCCTGGCTTAAAGCCTTTCCTTGAACAAAACTAACCTTTTTAGAAGAAACTAGCTGCTGTACACGTGTTTTGCAACGGGAAGAGGACGTGAAAGAGAAAAATTAGCTCTTTACATCTATTGTATAAAATAGTTATGCTTACATATCCACCAATGGTTTTAGAATCAAAGTTCAACCGTACCACTTCATTATTTGATAAGATTTTATGGCTTTTAATTCAGGTAAGTAATGGTAGGTAATCACCTTTTGGTTTTAAATCAATTTTTAATCTTGTATAAGCTAATATGAGAACATCTTATTAATTTTCGAGTCTGCATTTTAGTTTACGTCCTACACTCATTCGAATGAATATATCGACCGATATATCTATTATTTCATTCGATATATCTTGATTGGTTAGTTAGTTTAAAACCTAACCTAACTAACCGAATGAAATAATCTATATATCGAATAATCTATGTATCGATATTTTCATTTGAATGAGTGTAGGACGTAAACTAAAGTGCAGCCATTTTCGAAAAACATTTTCATCACAGAGCATTCATACACTTAATTCACCTTCGTCTCCCTTATTTCCTTAAATTTTCATATTTTTTATTTCAATCTTGAAGTTTCAAACTAAAATTATTTAATTTAAATAAACAAATTGTATTATGTACAGAAAATATTTAAAAATTCCACCCACAATAAATCATTGAAAACAAATATCAGCTGTTATAAGCTTCAGCAATCTTGTTGTGCCTTTTCGATAGTGTTTCTAAATATTAGGGTAATGAAAGGATATCCATCGGCAGGCTAATTAATATACGAGGCATGTTTTTTAAGTAAGTACCGTTTTTAAATTTCTCCGTTCCAACACTGCGATTGGCAATTTCGACATTTGCACTGTGTGTGGGCATCTATTGGTAAGACCTAGCCGGAAATTCGAGAAAAATCGGCTGTGTTTACATCCGGTTTCGAGCATTCAAAATGGTGCCGCCAATTGAGACTGCCGCCGACTGTGAAGTGCACGCTGTAATTAGATTTTGAAGTGATTAAGGTGTGAAAGCTATTGAATATCATCGACAGATTAGTGAAATGTATGGCGAGAACATGTTCTCGCCATACATTTCACTAATCTGTCGATACATTTCACTGATCTGTCTAATCTGTCTGGGTTTACTACTCTGCATAGCTAAATCCAGATCAATGAAACCGATATTTTTATCACAAAAGTAAGATTATTCAGTGATAATAATTTTACAAATGGATTTGTCATCAGTTATAGCTTAATGAATTCACTGCTAGCTGCAGCAGTCTTTAAATAAAAATTCTCACCTCGTACAGTTTAGCTTTATGTGGAACTTCAGTAATATGCGTCTATTTACCGACAAGAACTACCTTGATCCAAATTCTATCTAGGTTAACCAGTTTATCAGGATTTAATTCCTGCAATGAAAAAACTTTTAATTTGTTTAACATTTTTATTAAAAAATAATTCTTATATTGACATAATTAACATATTGACATAACATGATTTAAACACTATCAACATTTTTGATTGTTTACAAATTATAAAAATATTATAGAACACATTGAACTAAATACTTATCTTCTAAATTACCTGTGATTGAATTGAAGCATGTAATGTAACAAATTAAAAACAAACTAAAGTACGAATAAAATAATACAATTAATTATGTATGCAAATTTAGGCACTTGGAAAGGCACTAAAATATAGCATAGTAAAAAGTAAACCACGATGCATATAATTTATAACATAACACACTAGATGATATTTTGTAAAACACATAATGTAAAACAATAGTGAATGAAATCTAAGATTTAAAACCCTGTTAATGTCTGATTCAACACTTTTATTACGGTACGTAAGTTTAGTGGAGCCCTCTGACTCAAGAAAATTTAAGGAGAAAAATAGTTGTTCATCTTTATCTTGTTTATTAAGGTGGTTTTTAAAATGAATATTTAAAGTGTTCATTGAAAAAAATATATTCAACGATTTTCTCCATACGGAGTTAATGTAACATGAAAGCTCTGAACAAACTAACAAACTGTACATTATAAGTTTTAAGAATGCTTACATCGTTTGTACATATTTATCCAGAGAACACATCTAAAGCACCACTTATTCAATAATTAAGTGCATCTAAAGCACCACCGGTACATATATTAGAAGTGATGTCAAAATTTTTGTCTTAGGTTTAATTGCAAATATTAAAGCGTATTTCTTTCATGACAAAGAAGAATTCAAACTAAACCACTGTTATAGAATTCTTTCGGAGATGATTGTTGTTTAAAACAATGTGATTCATTTTTTTATAACCAAACAAAGATTACATATCACAGACAGAAATCTCCAAGCATCTGTATAACTGATTATATCAGTTGATCACAATTAAGAACTAATAATAATGGAAACTCAAAGATACCGCTTATGTAAATAAATACGTATTAAATGAGTAGTTTACAGTTTATATGACTTGATGGAACGAGAGTCTTTAAAAACACAACACTGTTTACACAGTCGGAATACGAGGGTTTGTGTGAAACAGCTGACAATCAGCAGAGAAGATCACATAGGAACTACGGCGATACTAGACAGATAAGTTGACACTCGATTGTTGATGTCGAGTGTTTAGCACCAGCAAATTACCATGGAGACTGTACAACCATGGCTCGTATTACTTCTATGACGTCTTTTTACTTTCTGTACTCGATGTGACTTCTTCTTTATGTTTTCTCCTGTAGCTCTGCAAAAAAGATTTTCATTCACTTTAGCTTAGTTAATTTTGTAGATCTTTTAAAATGATATTTTAATGTTTAACGTAAATTCTCTAACTAAAAAAAATCTGGTATTTTTGTTTTATCCTCCTTAAAGAAAGTGTTATTGGTCGAGCCTCTCTAAACCCTTGTATTTGCCCATCTAAAGGCCTTGGGTTTGCAAGTGTAACATATTCAACAAAGCAAACAGGGCCGTATTTAGAATCTGGGGCCCCCGGCGGTTTAGACCAGAGATGCCTCTAATTCTTGATTATTTGGTGGCTTGTGACGTACTATTTCCAACTGTATCTCCACAATCTCAAATGCTACAAGACTCACTATATGAATAAGAGGAATTCTACTCTAACTGTATCCATCAACTGGGAAGAGATTGAGACATTATGACTAGTTACATGATAGTATGGATCAATCTCCTACTTTCAACAGCTGTTAACTACATATAACTCACGGCAGCGGCAATGTTGTGTAGAAGGTCTCGTGTGACTTTGCCAGTCTGTTCCACCATTCCATACAGAACTCCCTCCTGGTTCTGCAGCAGAATGTGAGGATGGTTGAACTCCTGCAAAACATTGTTAGAGAACAGTTCAGTACAGTTCAGAATCATTTGGAGTCATAATACTACCATGGTGATAATTTAATTAGTTTTGTTGATTTGATAGGGTACATCTCAAGGACTGCCACTAGGCTGTTTAACACATTTTTAAAGCTACTATGGTGTTCCTTTGTACTAACAAAGGAACACCATAGTAGCCAGCAAAGATTTCTCAACTTGAATCACTATCTTGGTAGAAACTGATGAACACATTGACTGCACAAATGTGTTGTATTGTGTACAGTGTTTTGCGAACACCTTAAGTTGCTGTTGCATATTTTTACATCATGCCACTTTTCTGCATTCACATATTTTAAATAGCATCGAGTTTAATTAAGGGTTGATCACCTTTTATAAACCTAATCACAGAACATGATTCATACTTGACGGGAGCATTGATTTTTCTTGGTACAGTTTTTGGCAACAATAAAGAGACTGATAGTGGCACAAAGGTGGTAACTGGGTAGAATAGTAGTGTGTGAAGTAAAAAACACAGTTCTGTTGTCACATGCGAGTTAATCCACTTGGTGGTGACAGGAACTCTAAGGAAACCTTATCATAGATGAACTGAATGAACTATTCGCCACTCACCACAGCTGTTCCTGCTGACATGACCAACACCTTGTCCGAGTCCATGACAGTATTGAGTCTATGTGCGATGGTCAGCACTGTACACTCGGCAAACTTGCGACGGATAGTGCTCTGGATCAGGCCATCGGTCCTATGACATGGAAATAGTTGAAACTCAAATAGAAAGAAACTTAAAATGTTATGTTGTGACGTAGTTTATTTCTGTACCTAGTACAATCATGGGTTCCTACAGTCACATTTTCATTAACCATCTTCCAGACAGCAATCTGGTTATTGAACCTCAAAACCAGTCTGACTCTGCCTTCACTTTCCACATTATATTTGTGAAAATGGAAGGTAAATGTTACTTCATACGGTATGTGTGTGATTTTAATTACAGTTCAGGTGGTCCTAATTACAGTCCCAATTGGAGTTACATTTGGTGGGGAGAAATTCTTTGATCTTCTTTTTCAGTGGCTGTCAGAAATTTTTGAAACCTTTCTTTTACGATTTGAGAAAAATTAATAAGGTTAAGTAAAAGTTTTGTTAGCTCAGTAGGCTTATCTCACAGGAAAAGAGTCCACCCTGGCCTGAGAAACACAAAAACGTTACTCAATCAATACAAAAGAGTTAAAACAACATTTAACAGTCTCTGGAAGAATTTTCAATCCAAGAGTATGAAAAAACTATTGTGCAAATGAGAACTCTTTTTTTATACTCACTGAGGGTCGACGTTGGCCGTAGCTTCGTCCATGACAAGTATGCGATTGTTGCGGACGATCGCCCTGGCCAGACATACAAGTTGCCGCTGTCCCACACTCAGGTTGCTGCCTCCCTCCGACATCTTGCCATTCAGCCCTCCTGCCAAGTCCTTGATGACTTCCTTCAGTTCAACCTGTTACACCAGACAAAATCAGTAAATTTTAGATTTTCTAAGCAATTAGTAAGGGGTATCTTATGGGAAAGCATAACATGAAAACTATAGTTCAGGGATTTATAGATAAACATAAAACATACATTTTATTCTTGCACATTTTATGCTAAAAGATTTACAGGGGATATTTTCAAAAACCCTAAAGGCAAATTAGGAATAATTTACCTCCTCGAGTGCGTTCCACAGCACCGAGTCCGTGTACTGGTCGAAGGGGTCGAGATTCTTGCGCACAGTTCCGCTGAACAACACAGGTTCCTGTGGGATGATGGAGATCTTGCTGCGTAGCTCATGAAGGCCGATGGAGGAGGTGACGATGTAGTCGATGTCTATCTCTCCCTGCACCTCGGCCAGACGGAACAGAGCCGCAATCAGTGAAGACTTACCAGCACCAGTCCTGCCTACAATACCTACCTGCACAGAGACAACGAGATAGGTTAGTTGTGGTTGTGTGAAATCCATTCACTTAATCGAAAGATCCTTTCAAAATTATTCCCATGTAATCTTTACGCCTTAGTTCATCTACAAAGGTATTTTGATTAAATCGTTACCTTTTCTTTGGGAGCGATGGTGAAGTTGAGGTTCTTGAGCACTGGAGGCTCATTGGGTCCGTATGACAAGAACACTCTATTGAAAGTGACTCGACCTTCGTCTGGCCAAGTGGCAGGTGGCTGCTTGTCTGTAACAAGTGAACAGCTGATAGAAAAAAACAATAGTGAAATCAAAAGAGAATGGAACTGCATACTACAATTATGAACCGACTCAGAAAATGTTCTGCGTGTTTTTTTTTCTTACTTAACTGCATAAGTAATTAAATACAGTTAATTAAATATAAGCTGCAAAACAACATACATGTCATTGTTTAGTTTACATATAACAGAGATCGGGAGGAGAAAAAGGCTGTGGACTGAGGGTTAACCTTTTCACCCACAGTGCATTTGCAGATTGAAAAGTGGTTTGGTGTATACAATTTGAGAAAATGAAACTGATTGCCTACCAGGAGGAGATTCTAGTGGTGGTTCTTTCTCAATGTCAGTGTACTCCATGACTCTCTCTACGGATGTCATCTGGTTCTCGAGCTCTGCGGATTGTCTCATGCCCCACTGGAACATCCCTGTGAGGCCGATGGACTGTGTGATGGCCAAACCAACATTGCCTCCAAACGTCTCTGTGAACAGTGGCAGTTTACCATCAGTAACTTGGTTCAGAGCAGAATGGAGTTAGGAGTTGTAAGAGGATGAACTTGTTTGTACGCCTTTACAAGGTAATGTTTTAGACGAGTTGAAGATAAATTCCCACAAAAGAGGTTGAAAAATGTTTTTAAAGGGAAAAATATTTTACCTAAATGTGTTTAATTACCCTCACATAATTATAAGAATCATATCATAATAATTGGCAAATTGCTAGTCACAGAGAAGTAAGATATAGAGGAAACATGCTTATGGGACGACCATGCACTTTCAGCTCTGATATGTTGTGCCGGATATATATTTGAGACGAGCAAGGAAGAGCCCCAACGTCGAGTACTGTCAGAAATCCTTTATTGTCCTTAAGCAAAACAATCATGCAATAGTCATTGTCACATAGGATTACACAGTAACCCAGTCAGACTGGATTATAAATGTTTATATCACAGCAATAACAGGTAAAAATGTAAAAGTAAAAAGTAGGCTATGCATGTCCTTTGTTATAGATTGGTGGTAAACAGCTTTAACAATGTGATCATTCAGAAACTTGGACGTATGGATGACGTGTTTAGACATACACTTTAAACAGTAGGTCCACCTTTTAGAAATACATCAAATCCAGGGAAAAAAGAACTATTCAAATTGGATATTCCCCTACAAAAAATCCAAAAGATAATTAATTAATGAACATCTACTCGTGTGCAAAAACAATATGCAAGTCAAAAAAATTACCTGATCCCATGAAGAGGAAACTAAATGTCACCAATGCAATGTAGATGAGACAAACTCCATCCAGCCAAAACCCGAACGCTCTACTTGACGCAATGAAGATATACCATGCTGAAGAATGGAGATCCTATGACAAAGAAACATCTGTTACAAAGTAAAAGTCAACAACAAAATAGGAGGTCAAATTTAAATGCCTGACAAACATTATTGAAGTTTTTTCAAACAGTAAATGCAATTTGTTTGTGTGTTAGGGTGATGTTTGTTTATTAGTAAAAAGTATAAGTGTTATTAATAAACATGAAAAGCTTGATTTCAGTCATTGGTTGTACAGAATGAAGCTTGCTTTTTACAAAGCTAAATTGATGCAGTAACAAGATTCCAATTGGATTCAATTGTACACCAACAAACTTTCAATATACTAGTAAATGTGCTTAGTGCTTTAGTGAACAAATTTTATATAATTGATCAGTGAAATGTTATGTTTTTCTTGGGATAGAAATAGTAAAACTTGAATTATTCCTTGACACATGTAAACATTTATTTATTTTTTTTATAATTGCTAATTGATCAGGGGATTTGAAAGAAATCCAGCACTACTCTGTCATGGTTGGTGTAATAACTGCGTAATGTTGACTGAACACATCCTTTACAAGTTTACAATCTCTTTACATGGTTAAAGTTTCATGAAAAGTTTCCTACATCTCAACAAGTTTGCAGCAAGTTTACATCAAGTTTGCAGCAAGTTTACACTGTGAGTTACCTGGTGGTTGTCAAACTCCTTCTCCAGGATCTGTTGTGCGTGGAATGCTCTGATGGTGGTAAGACCTTGCAGAGAAGCGTTCAGATGGGAAAACACAGGACTGCGAGCTGCAACAAAGAAGCGAATACTATCTCTTCCACAACAATCACAAATCCACAACATTACTGACAATTGTCATGTCACCAGTCTTATAATTATGATAGTGACGAAGCTCTAATCGCAACTACAATGTAGCTGGGTAGTCAGTGAAGCAATCATACACAATGAGAATCTTAGCAAATTTCAGTAAAAGACAGCACCAACCAATTGTAATCAAATGCGACCTATGGTCAGAATATTAATTCTTAAAACATAGATGGGAATGAAGGAGATTGTTAACAAAATTCAAGAATTATTGTGGAAAGAATGTTTCTCATAAGCAGCTAAGCCAAGAGCGTAGTTGCAGATGTTTGTAGAATAAGTACTTTAGGTGATGTAAAAGTTGAAAACCCTACCAATGCAAAGGTATGAGTACGGTTGTAAGTTAACAACATTAATTGTAGCTTCAAGAATTACGCTATTTTAGGGCTAACATTGTTTATTGAACACTTTTAATTTAATTTTTCCCAACTTTTTAAAGGTACAAAGGCGATTCAAATAACCATTATCACATTTTTGTTAGTAATAAACACACCTTAAAAAACTTTTAAAAATCCAAGGACAAATTTTGTAATCAGTAAAAAACTACAAGAAATGTATTCAATCTTATATATTAAAAATTATGTTGAATTTAACGGGAGTTTCATGCAGATTACTACAGTAAAATTATTCAGCAATAAACTACAGTAAATCAAGATAAGTAACTAAATTATAGACAAGCGGAGGTTACTGCTTACTGACTCCTTCCAAGCGTTTAACGCTGCGTGAGGTGGAGAGATAGAAGTTGCGCAGGAAGTAGAAGAGTATTCCGATGAACACGGTGGGAACCATGAGCCAATAGTTGACCAGGCCTACCACCACGATGATACCTATCAGGCTCAGTCCAATCTGTCAACAGAAGAGTCGTCTAGGTCAAGAAAAAAAAAACAACTTAAGAGCTAAAAGCTTTGTAGAAACTTTTTTTAAGGTTCAAAGCATTACTTACTAGAAGGTAATTTTAGAAAAAAAATAATTGCTTAGGAATATACAGTATTAAGAAGAGATAGTCACAAAACCAACCCTCCTAAGAAAATAGTTTGGGGCGGTTGATAGCACAGAAAAAGTAACAAAAATAGATAATACACGAATCTTGACAGTTCGCTAGAGTGATGGTAAAATTATTCATCTGTGTCTTCAGAAAAAAGGCTCCATAAGAACCACATAATGTATTCTTTTGAAAATACATTTAGATTATTTTAAGATCTTTTGAAGAATCACTCTAGAAGGATATAATTATCAAGTTTAAGGAATAAGTTCACTTTTTTGCATGTTATGACACGCCTAGCACTCTTTTTGTAGGTGAGTTAGTTCCATTTGCGGTAATAAAGGTTTGTTTAAATCAAGTGACTCACCTGTAAGCAGTCTATAAGAGCGGCTGGCAGCTGTTCGTCAATTGACCCCATGTCTTTGGAGAATCTGTTGAGAATACGACCTAGGAAAATAAATTCCTGCATTAGACTTTTAGAATGAAAATAAAGATTCACATCAGAAGGCAAGCAAGGGTTTAATTCAATGTCAAAATTCATAAGTTGCCAGAATAGTATCATTAACAAGGGAAAGAGTGATGCAATAGGGGAAAAATAGGATTAAATGTCAAAAAAATGTGTCAAAATGTTCCGATAATTAAATCACTATCATGGATTTAGAACATTCCTCCTAGCCAAGATTAAAGTTTTTAGTTAGAGCACTTACCAGAGGAGTTAGTGTTGAAGAAGTGCATGGTGGCGCGAGTGATGGAGTTGAACATGGTGTCATGCAGACGACGGGACGCTCGCATACACAGGTAGAAGAAGAGATAAGAACGGAACAACGTGACGATCACAGTAGCTGCAGTAATGGCGGAGAACACATATACACACATATCTCTAGTGAGCGGCAGACCTGCAAAGTATACAGCTGAGGTTAGAATATATGCTACCATAAAAGTCTAACAAATTAGGGAATAGAATACCCAAAACCGGTATCTCATTATTTTACACATTCAATAATTGAGCTTGAGTATAACGTCTTTATGATAAATAAGCCCCCCTTGACCGGCACATTTGGCAAAATTTATGGGATAACAAGTCTTAATTAATTGTCAGTGTTAAGTGTTGGTGTTATTATGTCATGAACTACCGTATTCTGAATTAAAATACAATACTCCAGAATAAATATTTGGCTGTATTTTTTTAAAAGTGTTACCTCACTTTTAAATTTACAAAAGAACATAAAAATTTACCTGATTACTATTAATGGATTTTCTTCTTGCTCTTTATTTTAGCTGTCAGTCTGTGTTATCCTCACAATAGAGGTTGTTTAAGGACGTTGATCATTTATCTGACATGTTCGATGACTAGGCAACAGCCAAAATCCCGATTGTGTCATGTTAATAAGTATCTGTGTAGTTGAGCCACTTATCGGAATCAGAGGGTTGCCAGTTCAATGTTAGGGAAAGGCGGCAGCTTTTTGATGGTTCTAAACTGGACCTATGATCTTTGGACTTTTAAGTAAACACAGTAAATGGTCTTGAATAAGAAACAAATAGTCTGTCAGGAACAATGCAACTCAACTCTCATCATGCAATTGGGTTTATTTTATGGTTTATTTTTGGGTGTTTATTTTCTAAAGAACAAAATTTTAGAGATTAATTAACCAAGTTTCCAACATACTCAAGAGTGTGGTCTCTGTAGTGTTGGTAGCAGTGCTTGGCAGCATTGTTGTAGTCATAAAGCTGGCGTTGGCAACCTGTAGAAGGGGTTGGGCTAGAGACTGCTGTAGTGGCTGGGCAATGGATGAGGCACTCTCAGACTTAACGTATCCGTACTCTTCCAAGTTAACCCTGTACAAATCAACCAAAAAAAAAACTTTTTTTTATTTATTTAAGGACAGTGGCTATTTTTAATTGGGGAGAAGGTCCTAAGCCCTTGTCTTTTTACTATCTGAAAACATGTAGTTGGAAGTCATGATCAAATGTTGACTGAGATAACAAGGCCTGCCAAGCCTAAAATCCAAAAGATAGAGGAAGATCTGTTAACTACCTACACAATTCTTACATAGTTACATTAAACTATTCAACTTACCAATATGTGATCCAGTAGTCCCCACCACTGGCTAACAGTTGAGTCAATACAGCAGTTGCCAGAAAGAACATGAGCATACAACAGTTGCCTCCTGACTTCATGTAGGTCTTGTATACTCTGCCACTGACTGTACCCTTGGACCTCATCTCTGCTATCTCAGGGGGCTCATCCTGTATCTTGCCATCCTCCATGGAAGAGGCTACACTCCTTACTGACTGTAACATCACCACAACAACATGAGCACACAACAGTTGCCTCCTGACTTCATGTAGGTCTTGTATACTCTGCCACTGACTGTACCCTTAGACCTCATCTCTGCTATCTCAGGAGGCTCATCCTGTATCTTGCCATCCTCCATGGAAGAGGCTACACTCCTTACTGACTGTAACATCACCACAACAACATGAGCACACAACAGTTGCCTCCTGACTTCATGTAGGTCTTGTATACTCTGCCACTGACTGTACCCTTAGACCTCATCTCTGCTATCTCAGGAGGCTCATCCTGTATCTTGCCATCCTCCATGGAAGAGGCTACACTCCTTACTGACTGTAACATCACCACAACAACATGAGCATACAACAGTTGCCTCCTGACTTCATGTAGGTCTTGTATACTCTGCCACTGACTGTACCCTTGGACCTCATCTCTGCTATCTCAGGAGGCTCATCCTGTATCTTGCCATCCTCCATGGAAGAGGCTACACTCCTTACTGACTGTAACATCACCACAACAACATGAGCATACAACAGTTGCCTCCTAACTTCATGTAGGTCTTGTATACTCTGCCACTGACTGTACCCTTGGACCTCATCTCTGCTATCTCAGGAGGCTCATCCTGTATCTTGCCATCCTCCATGGAAGAGGCTACACTCCTTACTGACTGTAACATCACCACAACAACATGAGCATACAACAGTTGCCTCCTGACTTCATGTAGGTCTTGTATACTCTGCCACTGACTGTACCCTTAGACCTCATCTCTGCTATCTCAGGAGGCTCATCCTGTATCTTGCCATCCTCCATGGAAGAGGCTACACTCCTTACTGACTGTAACATCACCACAACAACATGAGCATACAACAGTTGCCTCCTGACTTCATGTAGGTCTTGTACACTCTGCCACTGACTGTACCCTTAGACCTCATCTCTGCTATCTCAGGAGGCTCATCCTGTATCTTGCCATCCTCCATGGAAGAGGCTACACTCCTCACTGACTGTAACAACATCACAACAGTATGAGCATACAACAGTTGCCTCCTGACTTCATGTAGGTCTTGTATACTCTGCCACTGACTGTACCCTTGGACCTCATCTCTGCTATCTCAGGAGGCTCATCCTGTATCTTGCCATCCTCCATGGAAGAGGCTACACTCCTCACTGACTGTAACATCATCACAACAATATGAGCATACAACAGTTGCCTCCTGACTTCATGTAGGTCTTGTATACTCTGCCACTGACTGTACCCTAGGACCTCATCTCTGCTATCTCAGGAGGTTCATCCTGTATCTTGCCATCCTCCATGGAAGAGGCTACACTCCGATCACTGAGTAACTTACTTAATTTTTTTTTGTTTCTTGTTTTACTTTTGGAAAATAGTAAAAAATCAAACATCTAGGAAATCACATAGAGATCTGGATAGATCTCTGTGTGATTTCCCAGCTTTGGCTGGGTATTTTCTCACATAATTCTCATGATGTTCAACTCCAAAGAACAATTTACTAGATGTATTTCCAGTTGTAGTACTTACACGAGCATTGAGTAAATCAATGTACGAGGTCAACCCTTCAGAAGCCAAGGGGATGTGATAGGAGGATGTGGTGGGGAGAGGCTGGAGAACAAGGGTTGGAGGGGAAGGAAGGGAACTGGAGGCTTCTCTAGGGGTTGGATCTGATTCATCACCATTCTCATCCTGGCTGGAAGTACAAGCACTACAGTCTACGGTGAGGGTTTAAATTGTAACTAGTAATAAATACTAGATAATCAGACTTAATAGTTAAGATGGTGTCAAATAATTACAACTCAAGACATGACAGCATAGACAAAAATAAGGGTGAGTGAAGCCCATAAATAATCTTCATAAACAAACAACTTAAGTTAAAAGCTTAGGTGTCCCAACAAATTCTGGACATCAGGTGGCAAAATTCCTGGTCGTTAAACTGAAAGGAGTGTTATATTTATTGCGTTTTTAAATTAAGTCAACTATATTATATATAACTATAGTATATTCACTAATAGAAACATGTGATGTGTAAATATTTCATAGATGAATTGACATAGAGAGAGAATCTACAGGTTTAACTTCAGCAACCAATAGTTTGCAACGATTGTTGGATAGAAATAACTTGTACAAATAGCTAAGAGCAAATGTGTAAATGAGTAAAACAATTAAATTTATAGGCAATGAGTATATTGTACATATGGAAGAATTTAAGAGCATTTAAAACAGCTAAAAGCCGCTGGCAGTTAGCAGAATTTAAACCAGGACAGACGTCCTACGCCCTAACCACTAAACAATCCATACAACTAATAATTTTGATTAATAATATGCTAAATCTATCTGAACACATTACTTTTGTAGAAATTTGATGAAAACAAATGTTACCTGGATGGAAGCATGTCGTTTGTACAGGTTTCTGTTTTGATTGCCCTCTTCATTAGCCTCTTCTTCTGAATTGCTTAATCTCAAGAACTCCAAATTCCTTCCTTGCAGCTCCTGGTAGGTTCCCTCACTGTCTATGCTGCCCTGCAATGCAACAATCAAACCATATTTAACCATTTGTTACATAGCCTACATTTGCTTTTACTTATCATTCTAGGGAAACATTGGTAATTGAAACACACAGTAGCCAACGGTCCTAACTTATGCATTTTCATATTGAATCCAGCAAGTCTTAACCAATATAGCTAGGGTAGGTAAATAGCAGCTAGGACAGTAAATTTTGATTCCTTCATATAATTTATAAATCAGCAAAATGTAAAACATTACAGTTAGTTGTCAACAATGTCATTGACTTTGTATGCAACAAGAACCATCATTGATAACGATATGACACAATTATGATCCTTACAAATGGATAGCTAGTGATTTATTTAATTTCAAATAGAGATTTGATATACAGTACATAACAAGGCAACATTTCCCTACCTTAGGTAAACTTCATACTATATACTTACATTATTCATCACAACTACGTGATCGACCAAGCCCAGGTACTGGATTTGATGCGTAATCAAAATTACTGTCTTCTTCCTCAAGTAGCCTGTAAAAAATATAAAAGCATTTCTATCCCATTCAACAACACATTACATACTTCAAACAGTTCATCAAACACAGTAACTAAGTGGTGTTGTCTTGAGGTTAAAAGCCAAGAATAATAATTTTGTGACTCCTGACTTGCCCATGTAACACTGTTTCAGTATTTCTATTTCTTTAGACCACCCCACAAGCAGGTAGGTCTAAGGTGGTAATTTAAGTAAAAAAAAACTTTAAGCACTCAAGCAAAGTTACATACTTACTGTAAAGTAGAAAAATGTCGTTCACATAGAACACAGACTAAATTGTATATTAATTATATTAAAATGTTCAAATTTACACTATGATTAAAATTGTTTTTTTTTCACCTGTGACACAATCTTCAAACAGATGTTTCCCTACATGAGTGTCCACAGCTGACAGAGGGTCATCTAGTAGATACACATCTGCATCCTTGTACACTGCCCTGCAAATCATACACAGGGTTACTTTCAAATGGTTTGCAGTAACTTGAAAGATCAGAAGATAATATTATCAATAGGTCTTAGAGCCTGGTTGTTTAAGAAGGGTAGGACTACAATATAATTAATTTCATGAAGCAATAAAGAAACTCTTCGCTAGGAAGATCTAAAAAGTAAAAAAGGTTCTGATGTTTTAAGGACAGCTAGAATCACTGGGTCTGTCGTTTTAACCGTACTGCTTAATGAATATGGAGTTGAGTACAAGAAGATACTGACCTGGCCAAGTTGATGCGAGCTCGTTGTCCTCCGCTCAGTGACACCCCTCTCTCTCCTACAATGGTCTTGTCTCCGTACGGGAACTGTTCAAAATCAGCCTTCAGAGCACACACTCGCACCACCTGGCGATACCTGTGACAAGACAACAAAATTTCATTCACAAATAATGGTCCACAGATTGAGAAATATATAAAATAACATTAGTAAGATTACACCAGAAGTAAGGCCACACTAATCTACAAGGCCAACACACCTCAATTGTCTTTCAATTCTTTTTCGAATACATAAAGTAGCCAAAGCAGAAATAACACAAGTAAATACACAGCCCTGAGAGGTTCAGAATAGCTGTGAATGATAGAGACTCAAATTTAATAAAAATAAATTACTCTAAATTTTGTTTATTAGATTTTATGATAAAATTTTACTAGTTTGTGATAATAAAATATATATTTTCGAATGAAAAAGTTGTAAACGTTTGGGAAAATAACCAATCTTAAAATCTAGTCATGATGATGGCTAATAAAGAAACTCCAAATACTGATTTTGAGAGCATCAGGAAGCAAGGGGGTGTAGAGGAAGTGATTTAATTAGGTTGTGATTGTATGAACTACGACGGTAGACATTCATTGTCTCGCTAGACATACAATCCTCAGACATACAATCCTCAAGCATTTTAATGTACTTTCATTATCCCCTAAATTAACCCCATTTAAAAAATCTACATTTCAACAGCCACGAATAACAAAAAGTTAATAAATCTAGCTTTACACACAATACCTACCTTTCTCTGTCGTAGGGTGAGCCAAACAATATATTCTGACGGACGCTACCAGCAAACAGCCACGGTTCTTGACTGGCGTAGGACACGTTCTCTGGTATAGACACACTCCCTGTCTTGAGAGGCAGTTCTCCCAACAACGCATGCAGCAGTGACGTCTGCAACCCACCACTGACTGCTTAGGTTTCAATACATTCAACAGACCAAGTGAGACACCACACTAGATCTACAATCAACATGTCTAGGACACATTCTCTGGTATAGACACGCTCCCTGTCTTGAGAGGCAGTTCTCCCAAAAACGCATGCAGCAGTGACGTCTGCAACCCACCACTGACTGCTTAGGTTTCAATACATTCAACAGACCAAGTGAGACACCACACTAGATCTACAATCAACATGTCTAGGACACATTCTCTGGTATAGACACGCTCCCTGTCTTGAGAGGCAGTTCTCCCAACAACGCATGCAGCAGTGATGTCTGCAACCCACCACTGACTGCTTAGGTTTCAATACATTCAACAGACCGAGTGAGACACCACACTAGGTCTACTATCGATTTGGTTTAGCACAAATATTTAAGCTTTTATTTTGTGTGTCTATAACCTACAATATTGCAACATTTCATTTTGTAAGTGGAATTACCTATACCATTTTGCAGGGAGCATTTAGAAACATGTTCACTGTCGCCTGTATTTCATTGTTATTTTAAATTGCATCATGTTACCAAAAAGCATCATAAATTCATGGCTCTTATGACAGGGAAAGGAGTTCTTATTATTTATTACAGTCAAAGGAATTTTTGTTAGTTAATTTGAAAATTACTGGTCGTATAAACTCAATTTAGCAGTAATTACTCCTAAATATGTATTTTTTCAAATATACACTTTGCAACATTTAAAGAAAATGAAAGTGACAGGTTCAGTTGTACCAACACCAACACCAGTTAGCAATACCTTGCCGCTGCCCACAGGCCCGATGATGGCCGTGAGCTTCCCAGGAACAACTCGCAGATTGATGTGGCTCAAACTGTCGTCTGCAACCTCAGGAGTCCATCGTGCCGTCGCGTTGGTCACAGTGATGCCCTCGTCTGCCGCCACCTTTGTCCTTGCGTCCTCTCTGGGCGCTCGGAATATTGGCTCCACTTCCTCGTCCTTCTCTGACTTTGTCCCGTTGGCCTTCATAATCTCTGGAGCTTGCTGTAGAGTGGTCTCGTCGTAGTTGAGGAATGTCTGTTGAAAAGTATATTTAATTAAAATCTGGTTTCAATAAAAAGTAGTTTAATCAGATTTATAAATTACTAAGATATTTGTATAAGACAACATTCATTCGCATCTGAAAGTTGTAACCTATTTTGGACTTAAAAATAAAATCAATGAACTTTAATTGAGCCATTGACATCTCACCATTGTTGATGTAAATTAAGAATTCCAGTTGAATACTCCAACTGTTTAACCAAGACAAACTGATTGGATAACTTAATGTAAACTATAGTATATTTATGTCATATCAACTAACACAATAACAAAAATAAATGGGGAAAATTTACTTTTAGATGTTACCACGCATTGTGAATAGCTCATCAAACTATGTTTTACATTTTTTGATGGCTTCATCTGTTCCATATAGATGAGATGTCTACTTCATTATCCAAGAGCCAGCTTCTATAAAAATCTATTGATCATTTCACTACCAGTGTGAATGTTTAATCTTCCAAACACTAAAGGAAATATGGACCTTTTGAGCAATTTTTCCCTCATTCAATTTTGAGCCGTGACTATTTCCACCGGGCGAATGTCACAACTCATGATCAATGGTTCAAGTGTTTTTTTTATAGTAGGCTAGTTCAGTGTTTCTCACTCCACGACCCCGAACAAGGCTGTGGGTTTTGTTCTTATTACTCCCACCGCCAAGCACTTCAGAGGTTGCGTGACAATCAACTAGTTAACCTCGCTGACATTTTTCCATCGTTTTACATCGCCCTTTTGGCACATGTTTTATGCAAAATCAATTAAGTTTTTTAATTTGTGCTTAGTCTGCGAGGTTATGGAGTAGTTCAAGTGCGCCACGCGCGCCTTTTGGGGCCTGTGAGGAGGACATGAAGCAGACCCGAGCTATTTTGGTGGAGAGGAAGTTTGTTTCGCCTTGCTGTCTCTGGGATTATGGCCTGCCTCTCCGTTCTGCTCGTTTTCCCCTCCCGTGCTGCTCGCCTAGGAGATGGACCTTCTACTGGTAGCAGAGAAGCTTTTCCTACTTGGGGCCAATCTTTTGGACTTTGGGATGCCCCCTCTCTGCCCAGTTTCATCGCCCCTCCACCTAGTGACTGAGATGCCCTAGACAGTTACCGCCTAGTTACCGCAAGTTACTACTGTTGTTATTTAGTGTCATTTATTGTTGATTAATTTTTAGATGTTTATATCAAGATTTAAAGCCTATTCATTGTTATTCCTTTTAAATTTTAAATTCATTAGCCTATTTGTTGATATTTTAAATTTTATTAATTTTTTTTACATATTCTATTAAATTTCAATTTTGGGGCCCCTAAATTTTCTATAGTTACCATGAAATGAATTTATTAAAAGAGTCATTAGATATTTCATTGTTGTAATTTGTTAATTTAAAGGTTAAAACTGATTAAATTTACTTTGACTGAAATTAACCTATTTTGAATTTTTTTAAATTAATGTTTGTAAGTGAGTAGGTCAGAGTGGTATCAAAATTTTTTAAAGTTTTATTGAGAGTATTTAATTCATGTATTATTGTTAATTATTGTTGTGTTATTCTTTTAAATGGTTAATTACAGCTCGTTTCTCTCAAATGGCGTGTTGTTCTTGAGCCTCCATCCATGGTTCTTATTTTGTTAAGTAAAGTTTTGTGAGCCGCTCCTCGGGCCTGCGCATGGATCACGCTTCCATTTCGTTAGTCTGGGTGCAGGCGCGAGGGCATGGTTCATCTGGTAGCAGAGCGTGGTTAGTGGGTTGCGTCCTGGGTGCCTTGTCGTGAAACTTGGTTTCACGACTCGGATACTTAGAGATGCGATCACTGTCCGAGTTCTGTTTTTTGTTTTGTTTTGAAGAGCCGTGGATGGATTGGTTTCTTGGAAATGTTCTGGCCTGGCAGTTTTGGAAAAAGGTCTTGTTGTTGTTGTGGTGGGGCGTAAACACATTTTATTAGGAGCTCGCCCTTTGGCCGAGGCACCGGGTGGAATCGGTGGTAATGACTTGCATCCTTCGGGAGCAAGAGTGTCAAAAGCTTGGTCATGTGTCAAAAAAAAAAAAAAAAAAAAAAAGTTTGTGTGTACACCCCATCACACAAGTGTTAGGTGTTGTCTAGTGTATGTATCGGTGTATGTTTGTGTGTGTGTACGTTCGTGGGTCATTTGTTGTTGTTTTTTCTTGCGGTACTTGCGGTATGAATGGGCAGGTTCTTCTTTTGGGCCCCATCAGGTGCGTAGGCATCAACGTCCAGAAGCCTTAGGAATTAAATTTCTGTGTTTGTTTTGTGAAAAAATTTTGTTGGCTGTTATTTTGAGTCAAGTGCTGGTTGAGACTCGGTATGGCGTCAATTGTGCCGGAATATTTGAGGAAGCCGGAGCTGGTGTACGAGGTGCGGTCCCGGGGGGAGACTCCTGGAACTGATGTACGCACTTTGCGTACACAGTTCAGACAAATTGCTAGCATGCCTCAAGCTTGGGTTGAGTCGCTCAGTTTGGATGAGGAACTGGAGGCATGTAAAGAGAGGATGGAAGAGCTAAGTGGGGAAATTGATAGTTGGAGTAGTTTGCCTACGGGCTCAGCTAAGGGTTCTGCTATCACACAGCTGACGCACTGGCGTAAGCGTCTACTCTTGGTTTTGGGGCAACCTGAAATCCAAGATGAGGACAAGAGCTGGGTGGAAGCCAGAATTCTTGAGCTGGAAGGAATTTTGGAGAGTATTAAGGCAGGAAAGTCTGTCAAAGAGAAAGTTGAAATTTTTGAAGACAACCGTTCTTTGGAAATTTCAAACGAAGTGCCAAAGTCTGTTGTTGAAGTTGTGGCTCCAGTGGGTACCCCCCAGGCTCCGCCTACGCCAAGTACACTGCTCCCGTTGCCTGCAAATGTTCAAATGTCAAATGCAAATGTCACACCGTCCCCCTCTCACACGTCCACCTTGGCTGCGGCTACGCTGAATGTCCAGTCCCCATCTCCCTTTCCTTCTCAAGTTCATAGTTCCCCTTCCATCTCTAACTCCTTTGGCAAACTTCCCCATCCCCTTGCCTCTGTCCTGAGTGGTTTCCGGCCGGTGGACGGGTTAGATGTGAATGGTCTTTGTTTTTTTCTGGAGAGTGTTTTGCGCATGCGTGAATACCCTGGCATGTCAGACGCAACTTTGATGGAACTCATTGCTCCATACTGTCTGAAACCGTTGGGGGACAGATTGCTTGATTGTTTGCGCAGAGGCGTCACCTTTGATGTTTTCCATAAAGAAGTTTTGGAGCTTTTCATGCCCCGTCGGGTCATGGAGAAGCTGAAAGTTGAGAGAGTTTTTCGTCCTCAGCAGCCAGCCGAGTCTCTCAGCCAGTACGTGGGGGACATTCGCACGGTGGAAAGGGTCTTGCGTTTGGGGATCAGTGAGCTTGAGCTCATTGACATTGTGCTTCAGGGGTTGAAGCCTGAGGAACGCTCCCGTCTGGTTTTTGCACCACGGCCTTCATCTTTTGCGGATCTGGACAGACTTTCCATCCTTTCGAGATCTGTCCAGGACGCTGATTTTCAGAGAGACCAAGTGGCGGGGCATCTTCCCCTAGCTGGTCATCATGCTGTCGTAGCACCCGTGGGAGTGTTGAGTCCTGAACCGCCGCAGTGGCAGAGGCAACCTGTTGTTTGTTTTGGTTGTGGGCAACCAGGTCACATTCGGCGGCATTGCCGTCAAGGTGGAAATTTTGGACGTGGTCCAAAAAACTAGTTTGCTCACAGGAGGAAAAATTGCCCAATCCTTCCTGTGAGGTTGTTGGTGATAATGTAAAGGGCAATAATTCGAAAGTTTTTTCAAGTAAGTCAAAGTTTAAGTTAAAGTCAGTTAATGTTTCTGTTGCCTCCCCTTCTGGGAGTGTTGTGCCTGTGACCGAGCCTCTGCTGCGGGGGATTGCGGGCCTTGCTACCATGGGCGTGAAAGCGGCGCGCTCAACTTGCCCACGTCTCAACATCTTCATAGGTTCCACGGTGCAGAAGGCCCTAGTGGATTCTGGGTCAGCCCGTTGCCTCATTTCCTTGTCCCTTTTTGAAAAACTTGAATCGTCTGGGCTTATCAAGCAAGTTGAGCGAAAAACCCCTATCTGCTGGACTGCGTCAAATTCACCCCTTCCCATCATCTATGAAGCCCGTTTCAAGTTCAAAATTGAACATTTTTCTTGGGTTTGGAGTTTTTGGGTGGCTAAGGACCTTTGTTTCCCTGTCATTTTGGGAGCGGATTTTATCAAGCACACTGGCCTAATTTTGGATTTAGGCAGAGGTCAGTGTTTTTTCCGATTTGCGAGACGGGTATTAATATCTTTTGCTGATGAAATTGGTGGTGGTGCTGCGGTAGTCGAGCCTGAGATACCCAGCAAGCCAACAATTGATCCGTTAGGGCATCTGACTACTTGCGAGGCTGAAGCCATCAGAACCTTGTGTTCTCGTTTCCCAGATGTGCTGACGCCAAAGCTTGGAGTCACTAACCTGTTAGAGTACGAGATTCGTCTAACAGATACCCGTCCCGTTCGCTCTCACCCATACAAATTAGCTCCACCCAAAATGGAAACTCTCAGAAAAATCATTGACGAACTTCTGGAAAATGGTGTCATTGAACCTTCCCGTTCGAGCTACGCTAGTCCAGCTTTTCTCGTCCCAAAACCCAATGGCAAGTCCCGAATGGTTTTGGACTATCGCAAATTGAATGCGCAAATTGAAATCGACTCTGTGCCTCTCCCCGATTTGCATTCTGCTTTTGACTGGTTCGGTAAGGCCAAGTATTTTTCTGTTTTTGATCTGAATCAGGCCTATCATCAGATTCCTTTGAAACCTGAGTCTCGACCTCTCACTGCTTTCTGCGTTCCGTGGAATTTGTATCAGTTCACAAGAGTTCCGATGGGTCTTGCTGTGGGGGCCCAGACTCTCACCAGACTCCTTGATTCCATCTTTCATGATGTCAAGTTCAAGTTTGTGTTCAATTACCTCGACGATCTCTTGGTGTACAGTGAGAGCTTCGAAGATCACCTGATTCATCTTGAAGAAGTCATGAGTAGATTGAATAGGGCTGGCCTTACCGTGAATCCTGACAAGGTTAGTTTTGCAAAGCCGGAAATTTCGTTCCTTGGTCATCTTATCTCTCATAGAGGCGTCTGCATCGACCCCGCTAGAACCCAGGCTATCAGGGAGTTTCCTCCTCCCAGAGATGTCAAGGGTATTGCTAGGTTCATCGGCATGGTAGGTTTTTACCGACGCTTCATACCCAATGTTGCTGAATTGGCGGCTCCTCTCAATGAGCTTCGGAAGAAGGGCGCCAAGTTTGTCTGGGGTGAAGCGCAGCAGACGTCTTTTGATCTTCTCAAGGAGGCTATCATGCAGCCCCCTGTTTTGGCGATGCCGGATTTCAATCAAAACTTTGTCTTGCAAACAGATGCTTCCTCCGTCGCAATTGCGGCTGTGTTGTCACAAGAGGTGGATGGTGTTAGGCAGCCAATTGCGTACGCCTCACGCACTTTGAGTCCCTGCGAAAAGAAAAGCTCTTCTGTGTATGAACTCGAGTGTTTGGCTGTCGTGTTTGGAGTCAATAAATTCAGACGCTTTTTGGAGCACAAGGAGTTTTTATTGGAAACCGACAACCAGGCACTCTCGTGGCTTCTTGCACATCCACGCCAGCTTGGGAAAATTGGTCGTTGGGTTGTCCAAATATCGTCCCTTAAGTTCCAAGTGCAACACGTTCGAGGCACTCAGAATGTGATTGCGGACACACTATCTAGGATGTACCATTCACCCGACGATCCTCCTTCTGACCAAGAGCAACCGGGTTGTGCCGTGCTCTTGGAGTTTCCTCTCGCCTTTTCTGATTTCATTCCCCATCAGCTGAAGGATCCTGAGCTGGCAAAGATCATTGGTGAGCTTCAAAATGGGGGAGCCCACCCCCCATATTTTCTGTCCCAGGGTGCCCTTTGCTGTCGCGCTCGGCAGCGAGGTAAACCTAAAGTTGTGCTGCCTAGTCTTCTAATCCCTATGGTCTTTGAGTATTTTCATTCTTCTCCTGTGGGTGGGCATCTAGGTATCCACAAGACCATTGCGAAGGTTAGGGAAATGTTCATCTGGAAGGGTATGGATCGGGATCTTGCTGCTAGGGTGCGTTCTTGTCAAACGTGCTCACTGAGCAAGCCCGCTCAAAACTCTAAGTTTGGTTTGTTGTCATCTGAGGTGGCGGAAAGACCTTTGGAGAAGGTTTTCATTGACTATGTAGGGCCTCTCCCGCGTAGCAAGTCAGGAAATAAGTTCCTACTTGTTTGTGTGGATGCCTTCTCCAAGTTTTGTTGGCTTTTTCCCTTAAGGAATGCCACTGCACAGCTCACCGTGCAGGTACTTCGAACACACCTCTTCCAACATTTTGGAATACCCGCCACCATTGTTTCCGACAACGGAACACAGTTTGTTTCCCATCTGTTCAAAAGAATGTGCTTTGGGCACGGAATCCGCCATGTGACTACTTCCCCTTACTATCCACAGCCTTCTCATGCTGAAAGGTTCAATCGCAATCTTCGCTCCGCTCTCATAGCTTTCCATGCTGACAAGCAGACCACCTGGGATCAGGAACTCCCTTGGCTTCAGTTTGCTTTCAATACTGCTCACCATGAGAGTCACAAGGCGATCCCTTTCGAGCTGTTTCTAGGCTATCCGCCTAACAACCCGTTAGCGAATGTGTGGGGAATTGGCGACCTTCTGCCACCTCCTGGTGCGGCTGATGTCAAGGCAACTTGGCAAGCGGCCAGGAGAAACTTGATCAGAGCTAGGGAATTGGTCCGGAGGAAGCACAATCGTGGTAGAGTAGACAACCCTTTCCAGGTGGGGGATTTGGTGTTTTGTAAAGCTCATCCAGCCAGTTCGGCTGTGGACAAGAGAGCTGCAAAGTTGTGTCATCGGTGGTCAGGTCCCCACCGCATCCTGAGGTTTTTGACGCCTGTCACGGCGGAGCTTGGAGATCCGCGGACTGGAAAAGTGTTCCGGAGGGCGCACATTTCTCATCTCAAGCCCTTCCGCGGAACTCTTCCGTAGGCAATTTTCTTTCCTCTTGTGTCTGGGTGGGAAGTGCACTGGGCCAGAGAACCTGATCACTTCTCCTGTCCCCTGTGTTCTGCGAAGGAATTTCCCTCACAAAATTTTCCAGCTCTGGCCAGAGCAAACCCTGGGGGTGAGTTTTCCCCTCAGTTTGGAAGTCCCTTGGCGTTCCCCACCACAGACACCTGAGTTGTCTTTCAGGTCAATTTCTTTTCAGGAAGTGGGGGAGAGGCTTGTTTGTTTGTCCCTTTTGGAGAGGAGTGTCCTCTTTTGGGGAGGGAGGTTGAGCCGTGACTATTTCCACCGGGCGAATGTCACGACTCATGATCAATGGTTCAAGTGTTTTTTTTATAGTAGGCTAGTTCAGTGTTTCTCACTCCACGACCCCGAACAAGGCTGTGGGTTTTGTTCTTATTACTCCCACCGCCAAGCACTTCAGAGGTTGCGTGACAATCAACTAGTTAACCTCGCTGACATTTTTCCATCGTTTTACATCGCCCTTTTGGCACATGTTTTATGCAAAATCAATTAAGTTTTTTAATTTGTGCTTAGTCTGCGAGGTTATGGAGTAGTTCAAGTGCGCCACGCGCGCCTTTTGGGGCCTGTGAGGAGGACATGAAGCAGACCCGAGCTATTTTGGTGGAGAGGAAGTTTGTTTCGCCTTGCTGTCTCTGGGATTATGGCCTGCCTCTCCGTTCTGCTCGTTTTCCCCTCCCGTGCTGCTCGCCTAGGAGATGGACCTTCTACTGGTAGCAGAGAAGCTTTTCCTACTTGGGGCCAATCTTTTGGACTTTGGGATGCCCCCTCTCTGCCCAGTTTCATCGCCCCTCCACCTAGTGACTGAGATGCCCTAGACAGTTACCGCCTAGTTACCGCAAGTTACTACTGTTGTTATTTAGTGTCATTTATTGTTGATTAATTTTTAGATGTTTATATCAAGATTTAAAGCCTATTCATTGTTATTCCTTTTAAATTTTAAATTCATTAGCCTATTTGTTGATATTTTAAATTTTATTAATTTTTTTTACATATTCTATTAAATTTCAATTTTGGGGCCCCTAAATTTTCTATAGTTACCATGAAATGAATTTATTAAAAGAGTCATTAGATATTTCATTGTTGTAATTTGTTAATTTAAAGGTTAAAACTGATTAAATTTACTTTGACTGAAATTAGCCTATTTTGAATTTTTTTAAATTAATGTTTGTAAGTGAGTAGGTCAGAGTGGTATCAAAATTTTTTAAAGTTTTATTGAGAGTATTTAATTCATGTATTATTGTTAATTATTGTTGTGTTATTCTTTTAAATGGTTAATTACAGCTCGTTTCTCTCAAATGGCGTGTTGTTCTTGAGCCTCCATCCATGGTTCTTATTTTGTTAAGTAAAGTTTTGTGAGCCGCTCCTCGGGCCTGCGCATGGATCACGCTTCCATTTCGTTAGTCTGGGTGCAGGCGCGAGGGCATGGTTCAATTTTTAAATTGTTCTAGTATCTTTTGTCATTTCTGAAAACATTTTAGAGAATCTACACTGGTGAAAGCAGAGTTTGAAGTACCTGGAGTCGTTTGATAGAGATGAGTACTTCTGCTACTTGTCCGATACCTTGAGGGAAGAACACAGTCATGGTCTGTCTCAATACATTGAAGTATGAAGTGACGACAAAAACCTGCAATTAGAGAATATAAGCATTAGTTTGCAAACTACTTACACATGATGGTTATGGTTTTTGCAATCAACTAAAATGAATCCAACAATATATTTTGTTAAACTCTAAGAAAACTAAGCAAGTGATTTTAAAAACCCCATAACAATTTAAAGACATTGAATAAGAGTTAAAAAGAATAATCATTTAAATACCATATTTAAAAATATTACAAAGAGGCACATCCAAATCTATCATCAAATATAACCTGGATCCCTGGATGATATTCCGCTTAATAATTTATTGTAAACTCAAATTAAGGTAAAAGAAATTAAAAGAGACAAAAGACCAATAACTATCATTGTCATCATTAAGTGTAGCTGCACAGATAAAGTACACTTGCCTTTTCAGCGTTGATGGCGTTGCCCATTAGAATGTAAACGAAAATACTGACAAAGATGGCGACTCTGGAGTGGAAGATGATGAAAGACAGCAGAAGTCCTCTGATGTAGGAGGCTCCTCTAATCTCTTTGATTTCTCGCCTGATAACATTCAACAATTGGTCAACATTTGAAAGAAACAACAAGACAAGAGCTAGTAACTAAAAACTAAAACAACTATAGCTAAAAATCATAGAAAAATTCAAATGCAAACCTGTGATTATAAAACATTTATAATTCATTGTTGTTGGGTACGAAGACTACTTTCTTTCCTTAGAACATCATCGGGTCATTTTGTATTGTAAATGGGTACAAACCTCAAATGATTGGTTCCATAATACAAAAGAATACAGCAATCCAGTTATGCCAAACATTCAATATCAGAATTGCACAACTACACTATAAGAACTATACATAATAAGAACATGAATATAGTTGAAGTATTAACAAAGAGTTTTAAGCTTGATGTTAAAGACGAATTCACCATCTACAGATCTAAAAAACTCGACACATGTATAACATTTGTAATGAACAGTCATGTTTTCAGTTAAATATTATTTTAATACATATATTGACAAGTAACAAATAAAAGAAGTATAAAATAAGAAGAACAAAAAAACTGAAATACAGGTGGCACTGGGGAGAAGAAGAAACATCATGATTCAGTCAGTTTTATTTAGTCAGTGGCAGTGATAGACAGTGCTGACCAGTATGTACAGTTTTTATCAGTTTAAGCAATTTTATTCCATTTTATCAATATGGCAAGTTTTAATTATTGTGATTGTGATTTTGTGAGTTTTTTTTTTTTTTTATCTATTGACATACCACAATATATTATTACATTGACGATTTCGTTGCACACAAAATGACCTGATGAAGTTCTAAGGAACAGAACTAGTCGTCGTACCAACAACTGGGGTTGGATAAGGTAAGTTAATCATTTTATTTTATCAATATATAATAATTTTTAGTAGTAAAAAACTAGATGGCTAATGGTTGATCTATATGAAAAAGAAATCAAATGTTAAATATGTTTTACTATTGAACAAATCCAAAATGTTTACTGTGTAAATTAATTTAGACCAATGATAAATTGCTATAGATAGAACCTTCTTTACTATAGACAAAAATAATTAAATACAGACCGTCAGCCGTGCTGTGGTTACTATAGGTTCTGGCGCACACTGCTTGGAGTGCCATGTAGTTACGGGTACACACTGCATGGCGCTCCCAGCGGTGTACGCCAGAACCTATGGTAACCGCAGCACGGCTGACAGTCTATATTTGATTCTTTTTGTCTATGCCTATACACACTTCACAAGCAAAATAGTTGTGTAATTTTGAAACTATATTGATGATCTACACTGCTGCAATTATCTTCAAACACAGTACTTGATAACCTAACACTTGACACTTTGACAAACTCAGTAATCTGAGAATAAAGATCATAGGCCTGTACGATTGTAACAGTAGCCTAACACCTTTCTAGTTGTAGTGTTCAGTCCTTACAGTGAGTTATTAAAGTGTATAGCTTCATATATTAATATTCCTCCCAACATTAATGTTTTCCAACAGCAACAAATATTAATTAACCCTGTACATACACTATAACTGATCAACTCACTTTCTAGCCTGTGAGACAAGGTAGGCGAAGGGTTTCTCCCACGTGTACATCTTGATGACTTGTATTCCTGAGATGATCTCGTTCATCAGTCTCACTCTCTCGTCAGTCCGCAGAGCAGTTCTCATCCTCAGCCCTGACGTCATCTTGCCGAGCCAAGCTGTGGAATATAAGTAGGTTAAAAGAACCATCATCATTAACCTCATTTTTGAAACAGTAACGTCTCCTGCCTATTATAAACTGGATAAGAATGTAAAATGAGTGTAGAATGGAATATCTAAGTATGAACTTTTATTAGGAGAACATTTATTTAGGATCCCTATGATCACAAGGACAGCTTGGCCAAAGTTTCAAAATGTGCCCACTCGACTCACCACACACGACATGAAATTAAATTGATAAATCTTTTTAACAACAACTACAATTTTATGAGAAGTACTATCTTTTACGACACATCAAATATCTCTGTAACAAAAACTAGGGGGAGAAATACAGATTTAGACTCTAGCTCTCAGTGAGTTCATTCAACTACACAATACTACAAGTAAAGTAACATTACCTTGCAGAGGTATTAGAGCAAGCAGCACACATACACCGAAGACTGACGCAGGTCCTACAAAGTTCCATAGGAAGTACAGCACGACGATTGTCTCTAGCGGACCGACCCACAGGAAGTGTACGAAGATGGTGCATATGTCAAACCTGGAGACGTCGTTGGACAACAGGTTGACCACTTGACCTACTGTGGTCTGTCCTAGGGCTGTCTTGCTGAGTCTCAGGGCCTGGAAACATAATCATAAGTGATTGAGTAGATGATTGGTTATAGGGCTTGCCTTCAAATCCGAGGGTTACTAATTGATTTTGACCACGACGATTCTGAGAACCTAGATGACATTTATCATTGGGATAGGCCTATCAATTGATGATGCTGTTCAACAAAAGGTCAACATTCAAGTTCCCTCCAAAATATGTAAGAAAATGCCAAAAATATTATCTAAGTTTTCTCTACAAAATTTTAGCATCCTGGATAAATGATTTTTTATGCACTAAAAACAATTAAAGGATATAAGTTTTAATTTCTTAGTTTATATTGACTATCAATTTATATATGTAGACGTTTCGTCTATCAACGTTTCAGCAGTAGGTAGTTTTTCACACAAAGAGGATACAAACATTGATGAATTATCTAAATAGTTTTAAATTACTTGTCATCCGTACCAAATTGTAACATTCAACGTAATGAATTATCCTCTCATAGATAGCTGATGGGAACATAAAAGATGTTACAGTGTGCAATAATTTGCTCTTTCAGTTATGGTATGGTTAAAAATTTGGTATAAGATATAAAAACCATAAGCTAAAGCAACACCTGTTGTTTCATCCGTATCTTGATACTAAATTATTGAATTTACTGGCAACAACTTTAACATGAAAACTGAACATTTACTTCACAGTAGAGTATATTCAATCAAAAGTATCACATAAAATACTAAATAAAAGTTTATATTAAATCAAAGTGTAATATTTTTCTTTTAGACAAAATGATTTGAAAAAACCTCACTCATACAACAATATTTCCGAAACTAAAGAATTATAAGCATAAAACAAACTATTTAAACTTTACCTTCCTGTATATGAGCGAGCAACAGGCCACTCTTATCTTCATGCCTATGTGCATGATGCCGAGCATGTACGGATGCATGATGAACACGCTGAGTGCTGAACACATGACCACTCCTCCAGCGTAGAAGTACGCTTCATCCTTGCTCACAGTGCCACCTCCGTCACGGGTGAAGTACTCTATTAGCTTGCCAAGGAATAATGGCTGGGATACCCTGCAATAGAAGGAAACAATTAGGTCAACTTCCAGATGAAAAGTTCCTGATTCTAAATAATAATTGTCAAATACTTCAAACTCTCTTCTGGGGGTTTACCCTTCTACAGTTAATAAATTTACAACTATGATTTTATTCATCAAATACAAACAATGTTCAGCTTGCGAGTTTGCAACATTAAAAAATTCTAACCTCACGCCAGACTCTATCTTGATTCTTCCAGGGGAATACTTATATGAACCCAAAGCCCTGTAATTGTACGTTGCAAAAGATATATTTTACGGCATCACCTAGGACTTTTTCTGGACTATTTATTACCTCCTAAAACCATACTAAACAAGTATATCCATCTTATTCGTTTACTATACAAGTGTAGTACTTCTCCATATAATTACCAAAAGGTATTTGTTGTTGACAAGACACTGCTATTAGTCTACAGCTCATTGTTTGATATTTTTAGCACAAAAATTATCATCTACACAAACAAATCTTTAATACTTTTTCTCTGAAGGATAATCTAAACAAAGCATAAGAGACTTGTTTGATCTCTTGTCTATTAGTTAATTAGGTGAAAACCAGCAAATCTTGACTGGTCAAAGGTGACCACTAAATGGCAGAGTTAACATAAAAAAGTTGAATAATTGAATAAAAACATAACAATGTGTAACGAGTGACCTTGGCCTTTGTTATCATTTTTACAAGAATAATGCTGCATTATTCACTGTGTTATCACCTCTCAGCTGATTACTTTAGTTCTAATGACACGACCTTGGCCTGCATTGTATTGTTACTTTAAATATCCATTACTGACCCATATTCACAGTGTAAAGTTTAGTAGCCTAAATTTAATGGGAACACGAGTGCTTAACACGTTGAAGTGAATTGAATTTTTAAAAATGTGTAATAAACAGATGGGTAGTTGAGTGGTTTAGTGCTCTCCTAATAATCAAAAGATCTCCGGTCCAATCCTTGGAAAGGTTAGTAGCTTTTTGATGGTTCGAAACATGAACCTACTGTATTGGAACAATGGGCTTTCAATGAATGATCCTGAGTAATGAAAAAGCTAATCTTAGTCGTATGACAACAAAGTTTTAAGGACAATTTGTAATTTTATGGTGAAATTTAGGGTAAATAACCTATTCAAATTCAATGTCAATATACTATAAAAATCCACTAACATAAAGAAAAAACTAATTGCGCAATGCAAGTATTGAGGTTTAAACAAAGAATTTTCAGAGGGTAGAAAACCTTTGGTTCGTTTTTTTAGAAACATAAATAAAAATGTCAATTGCCTTAAGCACACAAAATATCTCGTAAGGGCATTTTACCTGAAGACATTCTCGACTATAGCCAAGACAAGTCCATAAGCCATCAGTTTGGGTCCGAATATTCTGAGCAGAACTCTCAACAAACTGGGCTCTCTCTTCTTTATAGCGGCTCTCTTGCACTCTTCCCTCCATTTCCTGCAAATCAAATGTAATATTCGTTTATTTTATACATCAGTTAAAACCAGTCTGCGCACAGAATAATTTAATGGGTTCTCTTAGGCATAACCTCATTGGCGAGTGGCTCATTGAAGTGTGTTATTGTTTATAAAATAATTGGCTACAGATGGTCAACTATGGTTGGCTACAGATGGTCAACTATGGTTGTGTAAGCCTATCTTGAGCGAGGTGACTACTTACTTCTCTATTCTGTCTCCCAGTACGTTGGAAGTGTGTTCCTTGAGGGGAACGTAGAGATCTTCAACTTCCAGGTCTCTTCTGTTACCTTCTCGGAACAGACCCAGCGTCCATCTGAAACCAGACGCAAACGTTGAACTGTTGAACTGAAATGAGAACTGGTACTAAATAATACCAGCCTTACAATTTGTTATCCTCAACAGCGCAACTTTGACTAATAGTATACTTAACAGAGCCGCAGCTGTGTTTAGTTGACTTTTGAACAATGTCTAAATAAACCAAACGCAAAACTTGGAATTTTTATTAAAAATAAAATTTTTAAACTAATGATGGAACCAATTACTGAGGGTTCAGGTGAAATGGGTCACTTGAAGAAGGAGATAAGACCAACAAACAAAGAGTTAAGTTTAACATTTATGGCTGAAAACAACACTTTTGTAATCATTCAACCATATTTTGTTTATATACCAAATGTAGTAAGGTTATAAAAGGTCTATTTACTTTCATATGTTAGATAAGACCTAAGCAAATTTCTTATACCTGTGGGGATGGGCCTGAGTTGTTAGCACACCATTTAATATTATGTCTTGATCCAGTTTGTTACATAAAATGTAAAATAATAGAATAATCTAACATGGAAACCGTGACTCAACCCATCAAACATACCTTAACCTCTATGACAGGTAAACTTGCCCTTGACCTTCATGTCATGGTTTTGAGTTACTGTTTGCCATCATTTTAGTGACATACACACCCAGAAAAACGTCATGGTGTTGGGTTTCTCTCTATGTTTACCATCACGGTTAGAGGGACAAAGTCACCACCCATAAAGATACCACAATTCTGTCAGTTAATATTTTTATTTTGCACTGATATACATCATGACAAGCATCATGAATATTAAACCTATTGTGTTTACCTCAGTTCTAGAACCTAATCACGAGTAAAAATTAACTTGTGAAATCTTACTTCAAATCGCTTTGGGGTTCCCATACATAAAACATAGCATTGAATACATAGGTAAACCAGGCATGAGCAAGATCAAAAGATATTTGGGGTAAAATGTTGGTGATAACAGCTCACTGATATCAGCTACCATGACTAAGGAGATAAGTGTTATTTTAAGACCACACCATGTATAATCAGTCTTTAGATAACACGAATGAGTTCAATATCTGTTTGACAACTTTGCGACATCCATGAATGATAAGGGAATATTCACAGCTGTTAACATCAGCCAGCTTGATCATAGAGATTCCTTTTTAGCGAAAGGGGTTAAGCTATTGCCGTTGGTCTCATGGTAAGACCTAGACCCAGAACCGATTTAATTGTTCGTTTTGATGTCCCAAGAGGTCAAAAACACCACCCATTTAAATTCTTAAATTTAATAAATAGATTAAAATAATTCATTTTAGAACGATAAAACCCACACTTACTTAATATGAGTTAGCGAACCAGCATGATTGGACTAAGGGAATTGGTTTATGTGGGGAAAAATTGATTGTCCCATTTTCTACCCCGTGAACATCAAATTTTGAAATTTCTTTCTAAACTGTTTTTAGAGCCTAAAGAAATAATTTAGTAAATTAAAGCATTGTTACGTGCGTTGTTAGCTCCTTAAAAAAGGTTATGGACAAAATTCCAAAAACTGCAAATTTAAAATTTTTGAGAAGTGATTTTTATGGAAACTGTTATAGATTGCTTGTTTAGGGATATATTTTGATTAAACTCGGCAAAGCTGTTAACAATTCAATAAAAACCCCTTTATTATTTTTCTGTAGCAGAAAACCTAAGAACGCATTGAAATTAAGTTTCTTTAAATTGAAAGAAAATGCATCTCACAATTTACGAGAATATTTTTATGAAATTTATTGGTAAATTAGCAAAAATAAAACTTTAATGTTCCAAGAAGTTCGGGAACATTTTTAATTTACCAGAACAAAAAAGGGCAGTTTAAATATGTAGTGATGTTAACACTTCTGCCTCTTAAGAATGCCATTTCCAAACGATGTCTTTAACAATGCTTATGTCGTTGTACCAAAAAAGAGATTCTATTGAAGAAAGACTATAAAAGAGATAACATAAAAGAGGGATTCTGGAGGACTATAAAAAGAGGAACTGCAAACGATAAATTATATGGGAAAACCATAAAGAGTTTTATGTAGGCTAGGTAATAAAAAATGAACTAACACATAGTTTCACCACGAATGTAAGCTGGTATGTCGCCTTAGAAGTTTTTTATCAGTTTACGTAATTCTAAAATTTCTAATTCGAGCCACTATTGACTGAAGATGCGTCTAGAATCTCACGTTGCTTACAACGTGAGGCGCGGGAGGGGCGTTGCCCAAAATCTCCTAATTTAAAAATATATATATCTTCGAGATAAAAAAATGTTTAAATAATAAAGCACTTAAATTATTATCGTTGAAAGAATATACATACACCATCATCAACAGGTGCCTAGTTCAAAATTGCGTAAGCGAACAAACTGGATAAAATGGTACCGTTATTCTAAAATATTCCAATAATTCCTACAGATCATGAATAAAATATATACACATTTTAGGGTAAAAAAGTAACACCCTCCCATGTATTAGGACTAATAATACACACAATATGTGCTTACCTAAAAAGCAGTTTTATGTAATATATGAACAAATTTATTTCCCTGCTGCAAGCGCCGACAAAATCGTAAACAGGGGCGAACACAGACATCAACAGCAAGGGTAGATACACCAACGGTATCCGCCGAAGATCGAAAATCAACATAACCATGGTAAATTGCACCCAAAATGAACTGGTAAAAAAAACTCTAGCATAAACGTATCAAACCAACACTGTCGGACGTATTTAAAACACAGCCAGCGGGGGACCACTGGCCACCAAACTGTAAGATAATAGGAGATCTACTAGCTCCAACTTCAAATATTGAATAAGTCTTTCGTTCACGTTGGTGAAAAATGTGTTGGACATAGGTCAAAGTGTGAATGGTTTGGAATAATTTGTCTAGACGCTATGTAAAAAGTAAAAACATAACAATGAATATCTAAACTCTTGAGAGGGATAAAAGATAGGGGTAAAAATAATTCTAATCAAACGAGGTTCAAATGTACAGAATTAAGTGTGGAATATTTTTACACATGTAGAATTTTCATTGTTTAAAGTTTACTATTCATGATCTTGGAATCATGATAGTTCAATTTTGTCAAAGAGCGCCTTTTATTCAGCTAAATCTTAACTAGAGTGACTTAATTTATGAATTGTGATTGAAACCCCTACAGTAGATATATAGGTTTTCTTTGTAAAATCGCTATCAACAACAGCAACTTTCCACGAAATTAATTGTCATGTCCTCACATCTCATAATTGAGTTGAATAACTAGTAAAGTGAAGCATTGCATTCCGTTTAATCGTCACAGGAAAACCCGAGAGCAAGACATTACTCAGGGCAGTGGCCTCAAAACTTGCAAGTCATCCTTCACGGAAATGCTGCAGCCAGAGGAAGTGAACAGCATTGCGTTCATGGAATATGAGCCTTTAGTGACAAGAATACGTGTGACAAGCTCGGAACACACACCTGTTCTGTCAGATGTGTTAGGAATACTGCAGGCGCAGACTTATGTGGAAGCGAACTCAGATATTACTGACGAGAACTAACGTAAATTTGCATCTACAGTATAGCAGGAGCACAAAATGATGCTAAGGATAGAAATAGGTAGAATAACAAAGCAGTGTGAAGAATTAGCTAGGAAAACTAGATCGGTATTCGCCTCGAAGAAGACGATTCCTTGATCTCGAGAAACAGTTTTGTGCTAGAAATTTTGTGTTCTCATTAAAGAGTAACTTTGACGAGTGCGTGGTTTATATACCCAATCAATAACGAGGACCAAAATAACGCATCTCCAAGCTCACTCCAGTTATCCAACAACAATTTTAAGTCTCACAGTAATGTGAATTAGCAAATTATGTACTTCCAACGAATCGACTCATCTGTTGATTCATTGCATAATTAAATGATTTCACATTCTTCGTGCACCATTCGACTATCAAGGTTTCTGTGTGTGAAATTCCGTCATATGTTGTAAAAATTCCATTGCAAACATTTGACTGTTGTAGCTTGTTTGAGAGTTAAAATTAATTTGTGCTGAATTGAGCCACAAACTGTGTGATCATGTCGATTGGTGAAGGCTTCCCTTGAAAATAATATTTAGCCAATAAAACTGAAAGAATTAAAGTACTGTATTTCAAAATTAAAATTTGAAGTCTTAATGTCTACGAGATCTCTACAGGCGACATTTTACCACCAATAAGGTTCACATCAGCCATACGTTGAAATATCTAGGAAGGTCTTGCTCATTACCTGTACTTGCATCATCTGTGCAGTGTTCAGTCAGCTGACTAGTGACTAGTGACCAATCAGCTGATCATTGTTGTCGCCCGATCAACCATGCAGAACACACCGCGACGCCGACGCCCGACACACACGACACAATCTACCTGTTATAACTACGTGATCGGGCATACTAGCGGCTTCATTGCGTCATTTAGCATTCTCATCACACAACATGTGTCTGGCCTAAAATACACTTCTGTTTTAGAAACCAATAATATTAATTCAGAAACTTGAAGGTTCTTTTTGTGTATTAATTGACTAACTTTATTCAGCATAGAAGACAAAAATGTTCATCTCACAACAATGTAATATATTTTACCAAATATTAAGTAACTGCAAAATACCGTTGCCTATAAATATCACAAATTATTTACCCGATACAGTAATTGCCTTTCTTTAGACCAGAAAATAAGTATGTGTACCAAAAATATTCTTAGGTAAATACAAAATTAAATTATCTACACGATAATTAACTATTATCAGAACAAAAAATATTTCTATTCCAACAGTGCACCATTGAATTGAAACGAAGATGAAGTAATCACCAAATTTACCTTGATCTATAACTTCATCTATCTAATCAATGAGCGAATTCACATTTTAATATCTACAGAAATGATTTCTACTTGAATAAAAGTTTCTATCCATTAATCAACAAGCTTATAGTTAATCCACACTAGGCTATCGGAATTCATTAAAATCTTACTTCGAGTAATTTGGT